ACTCTAAATTTAAAAATAAACCGTATACACTAGAAAATAAAATTGGCAACAGTTTAAAAAATCGCTGCCGCTTATAAAATCACTATCACTGACACCACCGATCAAACGCCGTATATTTTTACAGTGTAAACAAGACTGTTCTCAGATCAAAGGACCAACGCCATGTGGGAATGACGGGTCGAGTGTATTATGACAAGACGTGTTAACTTTCTAACTATGCAGGATTTGAAAATAAAGATCGAATAACGAATAGCTTGGAAAAATTGCATTTAGTAGCAATTGCAATTTAATAGGGATAAAAAATTTAAGCTAAATGAGATCTAAGGCTTTCACGAGTATTCATTTAAATGAAACTAATTTTATTCGAATTACTACGCGTATTTTGTTACTTTAAAACTACATACGTTAGTTTCGGTTACTTTTGAGCAACCGTGATCACGGACAGACGAGATGTGAAAAGTAAAAGATGTGCTTTAAATAAAAGATCCTTGGTTGTTATATATATATATATATATATGTATATGTATATATATATATATATATATATATATATATATATATATATATATATATATATATATATATATAGGGTATCTAAATTCTTCCTCCGACTATGCTTTTAATATCTAAGTATCTTTTGATAATATGGATCTGAACTAAGAAAATAAGGTCATACATTTAAAAAATTATTTTATTCGTTTTATGATTCTCAATATCTATTGTAAGCGTTTACTATGTTATAAATATATCACATAGATTAATTTCGTATAAAAACATTTAAATTTTAATTGTTCAATTAGTTCATACAATTTAAGTAAAGCGTAATCGTAAATTATTATTAAAAGAAATTCTAATGGGAATATAATTAAACTAAGCTCTTATTTATTTACTTTTTTTCATATAATAGAATTAATTCTAATGTATAATTCTGAATTGGTGTATGCATTTTTTTCTTATTTAAAGGCTATATTTTCATGGTTTATTCAAAGGATTTATATATGAGTGTTATATATTACATGCATCTTTTAGTGAGTATGTAGTTAGCACAACTAGATTTTGCTCTCGGATTTACTTGCAATTTTATTCATTTTCCTCTTATAAGTATATGTCCCCCCATTTTGTGTACAATTATGTACTAACCCATAGTTATGACGTACAAATAAATACACAGACATATTTTTTATAATGTTTTGTGTTATAAAGTGTAAAAAATGCCTAACGACGCTAGTGATTTATTAAATGGACCATCAATCCGTCTGAGTTACACAATCTCCTAAAATAGTTTTAAACGAGATTTGATCTGTGCCGGTGGCCGCGTGTAAATTTTGGAGTTAAAATATTATAAAAAAGCTATTTAAATATCAAAACTTCCAGTATTTTATATGACTGTGTTATAAATAAAGGTGCAGTGTTTAAAATAAGTTAAAAAAATATATCAAAATGAAAACTATGAAGCAGAAAAGAAGAAAAAAACGTGTAAGATTCGACATGAACACAATGGTAAATAACAACCAATATATTCATACATAATAAATATAATAAAAGCAATTTATAACCTTACAACAATAGGTATAGGTTCTAAATTGCATTTTCCATAATCTATTACCAATTTTGGAAGAATAATAAAAAACTAATAAATATTATGTGTTGAGAAATATTATATACGATTAAAAATATAAAATTATAAATGCAAAAACTTGAAAACAATTTTCAAAACAAATCACAGTTATTTCAAATCTTCCAATCAATTGAATCTCTACAAGTACGAAGTTTTACGATATGGTATATTTATTAATTTTTCATAGACTTATATACTTTTTAAACTAATTTATTTTATTTGTGCACACTGTTTCATTTATACACAATAAAAACAAAACACGGTGTTACTCTCACCCAAATATATCATGATAACTGTGCCTTCGCAATTAATTATAAATTTTTAGTACGCAAAATGATATCTAATTATTAGTAAAGATTTATTATAAATGAAACTAATATGTTTCTGATTATACTACGCGTATTTTATTATTGTAAACACTACATACTCCCGACGTTTCGGTTACTTTGCAGTACGAAATGAAAAATACGAAATTATTAGTTTTATTTGGAACGAAAAGTAATTTTAATTGAACTGAGAAATCGTATAAAACTTTGTGATGTTTAAAATTAATCTTTATAACGGTTGTTGTATAAACAAATATTAATATTACATGTTCAAACCGCATGTTTCGTAGAAACGATAAAAAAATTCATAACTATATTATATATACAAATAAATAAACAAATAATTGGAATGATTCATATATTCTAGATCCATCGTATTTGACGTTAATGAAAGTATAAAAGATGATGTGATTAAAGATAAAAGATATAAAATAAAAGAAAAGAAAAGATAAAAAAAATAAGATTAAATAAAACTATCTTGGATGCTGAATAGTAAACATAACGTCGGGAGCATGTAGTTAAAAAAAACGTGTTTAAGAGAATATTATTTTTATTTAAAAATAAGATAATTAATTAAGAAATTTATATATAATAAGTAACTTATACGATAATCATACAGACAGTGTATGTAACTAAAATAATTATTAGTTACGTCATCTTGAAGCAATTCTTTCTTGTATTAATAAAAATAAATATATCCTTATATTATAATTAGGTATTAAAATCATACATTATAACAATACCTTTTAACGTCATTGAAAACAGTTAAGTTTTTTTTTATTAACTTTAAATTCGGTTTATATTTTATTCTTAAATCAGAAGGATAACAAAGTTGAATTAAAATAAAGGTCTATTATAAATACATATAATTATACTGATCCATATGTTATAGTATGTAATTCGTATATATAAAGAAAGGGGATATACCATCTGAATGTATACATATATAGCAAAGAGGACATTCAAGACAGAAGCATGTTTTGATCAAATATATAGACGATTTCGGAGTCCAAATTTTGATGATTCATAAAGCGGATAATTACATATCACTTAAATTTTTAAATGAAATTATTTTTTGTCGGATACTTTTCGTTTTTCATTATTTTATATCTACATACACCCGAACTTTCTGTTCCTTTACAGCAACTGTGATCACGCGTAGACGAGATAAAAGATCGTATTAAATAGCATAAAATAAATTTATTCTAACATAAGCAATATTTTATATTATTATAATCGAACAAATAGCTTTGTTAGCTCAGAAGAGTCTAAAAATGCAATCTCATACTTAAAACATACAAAATCAATTTATAATTAAATAATGATTTAATTAAACGAGGTTAAACAGTTTTTTTAGTTTATAAAATTAAAAAAGTATATAAATTATTAGTATCACTGTAAATATTGACTTCGCTGATAAAGATATACATATATAGCAACCTTTAAAAAACTCTTTATCAAAACAATTTTTAATCAAACTAAATCTGTTTCATAGTTACATACACAAGACTTTTTTGTTTCAAATACGTGTAATATTTTTTTGGAAAAGTTTACTTTTATACACGTTTTCACTAGTAATTCCTCTGTATTTTTCCAAGATTGTAGTAGTTTCATTTTGTGGATTAAGTGCAACGAATTCGTTAGTTTCTGACCGAAAATATACAAACATAGCAACTTATACATTTGTTATACAGAGTCAATAGTTTATACAAATCGTAAGTAATATTCAAACACATTAATATAATATGAACAAAATAATTTCAAAAAATAACAAAAAATATACAAAAACAGTTCTATTTACCAATTCATTTGTATGTACAGAGTTTGTCAAAGAAAGTTTGCATATCATTAAAAATTATTTACTTTTTGTTATCGTTTCTAAAATTATATTATAATTAATAATAATTATATACATTTTCTTACAAAATATTTTATACATATGGCAAATAAAGACAATATTGTATTGCTTGTAGTCTATATTAAAAATCGAGGCAGAGGAAACTTACAATAATGAGTAATTTTTACATTAAAGCTTTTTGAAAATTCGGTTATACATGAAATAATAATAATGGTGCATTTGAAAGAAAGAGTCTTTAGAAAAGGTCTGCAAAGATTGCACTTGCTTTTTATTTTTAAGTTTTAGAACAAAAAAACGGGTTATTATAAGTATGTCTATGTGTACGTAGATGTCTGTCTGTGTATATCTTTTTGTGGCATCATAACTCTTAAAGGGATCTTTTAAATTTAATGCAATTTTCTTCTTATGAAAGCCAGTTTCCATGTGAGAGTCTTTAGGTATGTTTGGTTAATATCGCTTCCACAATGTAATAGTATCAGCTGATTTCCAAAATCATTTAAAGCATTTTCGGTCTATAGTCACTCGATTAAGTGACAAAATAATTTTTAAATGACAATTATTGCGTCGTTTGTTGTAAATTATTACTAGAACTTAACTCATATCAAAATTCTTCTATGGTTTTCCCTAATCCTTTCAACACAATAATAAGAAGTATTAAATATATAACCTCTTACAATCAGTTGTAATCCAAGTTAATAATATAATAAAATGAAATCAAGTGATCACATTTCATACACAAATAATATCCGTATTGGATAAATCTGCGGTTGGATGAAACCGCTAATTTACAAATTATCACAATTAAATATTATACTTACAGTCTGCGGTTATTATCTCATATAGAAAACAAATTACAACGCTTCTATAAAATGAATGAAAATTTTGTATATATATATAAAAAAAAATATCTTGTATGACCGTGATTTGATATCCATTTAGAATGTACAAAGAGTTAAAAGCAGTCCCACACGAGGGTACATTTACTTATATTTTACACCCGAAATGTCATTACATATTTAATTGGCCATACGTACCTTTTTATGCTCAAAACAAAATCTTTTTTCGCATAACCTGACATTACAGCATCAATGGGATCTGAAATATAAATTCTATACAAAAAATAATTTATGTACGGAGGATAGTAGAAAGTGGTATAAACTTGTCAAAATATAACCATTTTTTTCTGTTTTAGTTCAAAATGAATCGCGGCTCCAGAGAGGAACTCCTCGGCAGTTCCACAGAAGCCATCAGGAACAGTCAGCATGACTTGAGAAGCATCGCTGAAAGACCTCTTACGAGAGAAGAAAAATCTTTTCTATTGAATGCCGATAGAGGAGATTATAATACAGTTAAAAAGTAAGGCAACAAAAATATGCAATTTATTATGGCTTATATTAAAAAACACTTAATTTAAATATGACTACTTATATATAATTATGTTACTATATTTTATTATTTTGATAGACTATTAGATCTAACTGCATAGATTTAAAACACCCATTGCTTTTAAAATACGTATGAAATCATTGCCTAGTCAATGTTAAACTTATTAACAGCTTCTTTAAGCTCTTTAAGGTTCCCATACAGTTGACACATAACTTAGTCGTATACCTACTATTATGTTAAAATAAATAATTAGCTTGTATAAAAACAGTGACACTATTAACTACAAAGTGGATTAACTGCCCTTGTAGTGATTCCCGCTGGCTAAGCCCAACCCAAATCATTACCACAAAGTTGTGAGATTTGATATAAAAGGCTTCTAGATGGATTAGATTAATCATCTACATTGTAAATCCAGTGATTCAAAAACAAAATGGATCTCATATACAACAAATCTTTTGTATTTTCTCTATGTATTAATAGGCAAAATTACTAAGATTTAGTTTCGGTAATACATAATAAAGATCGCAGTCTTCCATGTTATAGCTATTTAAAACAATATGACACTTAATATTACTCATATTTATGGAGTATTGTCATAAACTAGTATATTATATAAACTAGATTAAATTAATTCGAAACAGTTTCGTTGCTTTAAGCTGTAGAAGTAGAAAGTATGTAGATACAACTAGTATTTATTTTAATTATCAAATTATTTGAGCTATTACAACTTCAAAGAAAGAAACAAGCTAATCAAATTCAACATAAAATAAAATTCCATTTTAAGATAAATACATTTCTTATATTTAAAATGTGCCATATCTTTGAAAGTCATAATAATTTTACAATGAGATTTTCGAAGCCCCTACATATTTATATTGAAACAGCTTCATTTATTCCAATATTATCTTTTTAAATTATAATAATAAGTATTTCTTTTCCTCCATTAAATGTTAATTATCATTATAACAGCTGCTTATAAAATAGTTTTGCTTAAATAATTTTCATTTACCTATCGATTGGTGATGTTCAACTTATAATATTACATATAATATAACAAAAAATCTTATTTAAATATAAATCAGTTACATTCAATCATAAACTAATTAAGATTAATAAAATTATTGATTATAATTCGGAAAAACATTCATAATTTCAAATCCTTTGTTATTTTTTTTTTTATCATTTTTGTCTTGTTAGAAATGAGTCATTATATATGCTACATATTTTGTTATAATAAATAATATTTTAGGTTAATAGAGGCGTACTCGTCAAAGCCAGACGTCCTCGATATAAACTGCGTGGATCCATTGAACAGATCGGCTCTAATAGCGGCCATCGAAAATGAAAATATTGAACTCATCAAACTACTGTTGAATTCAGGGATCAAAGTTAAGGTGAGTTATCATAATGATCATAGATTTATTACATGAACTGGACAATACAAGTGAATGGAAGGTGAAGTATTTTAATGCAATAATAGTTGACAATTGCATTTTCGTTCAGAGACTACTACAGTCATTATATGTTTGTCATTTCGTTTTTAAATGAAACACGGTTTAAAAGGTAAATACGAGAAATTATTAAGATTTTTTTCAAAGATCTGTTGTAATATTCTTTTATATAAAATCGTAAAACATATATTATATATTAAGTTGTAGTAATGTAACTCACGAACGGGAAAAAAATTTCTGACTGGAAATGTTTAACCTTAATTGTTGTAAATCTTCTTCTTCTACTATTCCTTCTACTTACAAAATATAGAAGATTTAAGTAAATCTTTATATATCATTACTTCAGAATTATTGAGCTACAAAGAAGTTAATCAGGATTTCTATCAGTTATATGTACGTTACGTTCGTTTATATACGTAGTAATTTGATATATTGTATCCCATATTGTTGTTAAACATAAAATTTAAAAAAGAACGCAGAAGAATCCGTAATTCTTAAAACTTACCTCAATGTAACACGTAAGTAAACTTTGGTTTACCTGTCAATTGTCGCTAAAATTTAGGACCAAATGATTGTGAAGGTGCCATATTTCAAACATCCGTGGGGAAATCATTCTGTAGTTCGTTTTCATATTTCACACTTCGCAGTATTTTCTTGTCACTGACTTCTTATAAAATCTCTATAGACAATAAATATGATTTTGCATTGATATATGATATACGGGTAAATATTTTTGTCCTTCATTTTGTATGAAGAAAAATATACTCGTTCATGACCTTGCATTATAAGTAATTGCATTATGAACTTTAGAATTGCATTAAAATATTAATCTGTTGTATTAGTAATACTCTGTATAATGGCCAATTACTATCAAAATATTTTGTATCGATCGATATTACATTAAACTTATTGTACCTTAGACATATAGAAATAGGTCACGGTGTACTTCATTTTATATTGTTTCAAAATGTATATACTTCAATTCGTTAATAAAAATTAGAAATGTACTTCAATCTATTTGGAAAATGAATTATGTTTCTGTGAATTTCAAACAATATAAGAAGCAAGCTATATTTAGATTTTTATACTCGGACGGATTTAATCGTGAAATGTGACTTCTAAAATTAAAAGATGATTTCTAGGTCGTTACTTTTCTATGGGGCTAAAGAATAAGTTCGTAGAGTTGGCATTTGGCAGCACTGTTTTGACGTGAGCTTGAATACTTCGGTAATATAACGTTTGAAATAAATATTATACAGGATGACTGGTGAATTACTATCAATATTTAAGGAGAATACTCGGTACATGATTCTCATTCGAATTATGTAAAAAAAATAGGTAGTTGATTTTTGGCCAAATTTCCATATAAATAAATAAAGTGTGGACACGTTCCAAGTGTTATAAGTGTGGACGCGTGCGGCGGCGTGCTGATACAACACCACGCCGCCGCACGAGTGTGTGTGTGTATACCTAATCTGTAGGGTGTTCACACGATGCGTAATTAATTACATAACTTTTGGTTAACTTTACTTAGAAGTTTATTAATATTTATGTTATATTAATTTTTATTTTGTCATATATGATCGTCAAATATCACGTCCTCAAGTATCGATAGTAATTCACCAGTCACCCTGTATATATATCGGCGCTATCAGCTTTAATAACGGACGCGACGTGGAAATAACTTAAGCCTGTCATCAATTATTATTAAAACTCATAAATATTCATGATTATTGTTAAAAGTAAAACGAAATCAAAGATTGTTTAAAAGGAGAATAGAACTATGTTTGAATCTTGGTATAAATATGACGTCTGGACACACGACGGCAGAGTTCAGAGTTCAGTGAGTGCGGACCATTGAATAATGTGATTATGAAGAACCTTCGAGAAATACAAGGCAATATAGAACAATTGAAGTTTCATTTTAAAATATCATGGAACATACTGGAAGATGTGACATAAGTGAGGCTGGCTTCTCTATCTTTAAAAACAACGAATCTTCTATATATATATAAAAATGGATTGCTGTTCCTTAGTCTCGCTAAAAGTCGAGAACGGTTGAACCGATTTGCCTAATTTTAGTCTTGAAATACTCCTGGAAGTCCAGGGAAGGTTTAAAAGGTGAGAAAATTTTGAATAATTGCCGGGAAAACCCTAAAAACAGCCCTTTTCTATTTCCCATACAAACGTTTTTTTGACATAAGATTTGACAACTAACTAATATGTCAATCATTCTGTTTGATTGAAACAGGAAAAACCTGATTATTTATGGCCTCTAAGACGGAATAGAGTTCGCCTGGTCAGCTATACCTACATATATTACTCTTGACCAAACTAACGCGGACGAAGTCGCGGGGAAAACCTAGTTTGTAATAAATCCGATATATATATTTATTTAGAATAATATATTATAATTTTAACTACGACGTACACTAATAGATATTTTTTGTACAGTGCTGTTAGCCATAGGGCTTTTACATCGTCACCGGGAGAGTAAACTAACACGATATTAAAGCATTGATGCATGCTAATACAATAAATAAACCTTAAGAGAAGTTTCACATAAACTGGTATAATAATTACTTTTTTAACCAGAACTTTAATTTTTTATTAAAATAATATTAATATTCGATCAATAATTACAATTAATGTTATTAATAAATAATCTGTGGCTATTGTATTATGTGAAATGAAATAAATATTGACATATTTTTTTTTAATTTCTCACCCAGATCTTTATTTAATATTAACACGTTTTATAGAAGACACAAAACTCGGCTTAGAGTTTTGATCAAGAACGACCGCTCTTTAATAGGACGATCATGGACTTCAGCGATTATATTATTCTTCGTACCTATAAAAACTAACAATAAACGCTGTCCCAAAAACAAATATGAATTGTCTCATAACTGCAATTCTTTCATACTATATATTGGTTTTTTAAACTTTAGGGGATTCAGGAATTAAGAACTAAGCTAGGCCGAACTGATTGTTCTTGACGCAGCCCCAAGTCTTATCCTGGTTACCTTTTTTTTTTTTTTTTTTTTTTTTTGTTGACGTAGTGGAAACTCTTTTTACGAGCCGTCCAACCGGCCTTGGTGGGGCCGGAAGGGATGTGTGAGGCTCGGCCTGGGCAGGCCCCTACTCACTAAAACCACTGCGAAAGCCATCGGCCGCTATGTCGGTGTACCCCGGATCTGTCAGCGACAGGGCACACCAGCGACTGGCCGGTCCTGGCAAAGACCGGACTTACTCCCTCGAAGAATGGGGGCGATCCCGGCAATTAGGACCACCCCGACGACGCCGGGCTTTCAAAAGGGCCGGGTTACCACGCCGACCCCAGCCCGGAACACAGGGGTGCTATTGGAGGCGTAGGAATTGCCTCCGACGCACCCCCGTACGTCGCCTGCGGGGGGAGGGAGCATCAGCCGCCCTCTCCCTTTCCCGCTGAGATGCCTCCTTCGTGGACATGACCGTCTCACAGAAGGAGGACACCGCCAACCAGGACCCATCACTCTCGAGCATCTTCTCCACGACACTCGAAAGCGACAGGTCCACTCCGCCGAGAGCCGCCACAAGGTCTTGGCGCTGCGCAGCCCATCTCGGGCACACCTCGAGGGTGTGCTGGGCCGAGTCCACCGCAGCGCCGCACTCATGGCAGCCTTCTCCCGGCTCTCTCCTGGCCGTCCGACACAGGTAGTAACCAAAGCACCCGTGCCCGGTTAAGACCTGCGTCAGACGGAAAGTGAGGGGTTTGCGTTTCCGCCTCATCCAACGCTCTAGGACCGGGCGAAGCGCTGCCGTTGTACGTCTACCGTACGGCTGCTCCGCCAGGTCCTCCCCCCACTCCCGCATAAGGCGCTCCTCCCCCTGCCGACGAACCGCTCGGATCTCCTCCGACGAAGGGTTCTCGCCGAGTGTCCTCCTACCCGAGACATAGGAGAACAACTCGGCTCGAACCGACGCCACGAGATCCCAAGGCGGATCGCCGGCAAGGGATCCTGGTTACCTATCCTGGCTTCAATACCCCGTTCAATACAGACTAGGACATCTTTATGAAGTGTGCTAAACTGGTGATGATCAAGTACATTGAATATACTAGAATCAGCATATACCAAGATCCCTGATGTTGAGGAACATCCTTGTTCGCTGGATCTTATGATGACTTCCTATTTGAACCTCCTATTATTAGGTTGCCAGACGCAGTTTTCTCTTCTTACCAATGGCTAATACACTTCGAGACTTGACACTTCAAGTAGGTAGATGATGATTGATTGCAAGAAGTTTGAGTATCCTATCCTAAGAGCAAGCTAGGTTTTTCGTCAGGTGATTCTTCCATTTACGGAGACTTCATCCTGGACATTCAGGAATAAGACAGGAACTCAGGAAAAAGTACAAAGCACACATACACTAATGCTCTCCTATCTAATACCGCGCAGTACCAACATCAAAACACAACATAATTACATAGTTATAAACTATTTAAAACCTTTAAACCTCCTGAGAGATGAGCTCTGGCATTTTGCGCTTCTATTGTTTGTACTATGGAAAATGTTCTGAAGAAATCTCACTCACTGCCTTAAATTAAGATTATCCACATTACTGAGATGTCTTTACTCATAAGACTGTAAGTGATTCTCAATCAGTCTTCTACTCGTGACGACAACTTTCCTATCGAGGTATTTGCTGGGAGCCATAATAGGTGTTTTTAAGTAATGTATTGGTACATTCTTCAACTTCAAGGCCGAAAATATACTCCCCTTGGGTTGCAAATATTAATTCAATATCACGTGAATCAATTTCTCGTATACACGCAGGACTTTTTAGTGTTACTTCCTTCAATCACAAGTAACATTTAATTGTTTATTATCTATTCATGGTAAATATATGTAACAATTAACATTAATATTTTTATTTTGAGCACGATGTTTCTGTTTCTATCTTCTCACCGGAATTTTTTTTTTGTTTATACATATAAGTATCAATAATTTCAAATATCCTCAAAATCATTTGATTTTTTTGCTCAAATTTAAAATTATTATAAATTGCTGTAATTGTATCTTTTTAACTTTTCTTTAATTTAATATCGACGTTTCAGTTCCTTATATACTTGCAATCCTACATATCTAAATGCATAGATAGCATAGATAGTACGAAAAAAACTTAACCCAAGAATGAACGAAGCCTTTTCCGAGCGATGTGAATGTCGCCGTTAGCGCGAAGAGTAACCTTAAAGAGGTTTTATTAGAGCCTGCAGCTTCAAGTTAATATTATTACTGTAAGCGAAAGTAGAGTTATTACTTGATTTAATTTTTCCAAAACTTATAAATATTACATAGGTTTTATACATACAAAATATTAGTATAACAGACTGGTAAATGAACAATATGTTAAAGGTTCTTTTTAACACGCTTACGGAATCTTTGAGCACGATTTTCATCAGTTTCTAAACATCTGATTATCTTGAAACTTTGCATATGTCTCAAAGACCAATGACAATGCAATAATTCGTTATCAATTTCCCGTTACCTTGTTAGGGCCGCTAGGATTAATATATTCTTTTCATAGATCCTCTATGAGAGTGAAAGGGACAGAGCTAATCTGGGATCTGCTCATGTCCACCAAAAACCAATTGATAAATCATACTAAAAAATATAAAATAAATAATAGTTACAAGCGTGTGTTTTACTTCTTTTAAACTAATATTTATTGTACTTCGTTTCTCTGTTCGCTTTACAAGAAAAACGATACTGTTAGTTGAAGGATGATGGAATGAAATGTTCACATATGTCGTTTTCTTTTTCTAGGGTCATAGTTACAAAAATTCATTCAAAAAGACAGTTTTGGATGTATAAATCTTTCGATATTGTTTCATAAATCTGTATCATATGTGACGTTTAAACCTACGTACCATAAACAAAACAATCTTCATGATTTGAAATGTTTTATTACAAAGAAAGAATTATTTTTAATAACAATAATAGTAATAAGTCAATGGTGACGTAGTGGTTAAAAGGCCCGCCTGTTATGTACGAGGGCGCGGGTTCGATCCTGGCCCTGGCAAGTATCAATGTGATTTTTCCGAGTCAAATGTACTTTCTAAGAGTATCCAGACATCACTGATTAATGCATTCCCAAAGAAGGTTGATGTCAGGCAGGCGGGCAGTCGTAAAAACAATTAGCCAAAACTATTTACAACATGTAAGGCAGAGCCTGGTTAAAGCTGGGAAATTGCTAGGTAGAAAGAGAATAATAGTACTAACTTTAGTATAATGTTATTTTCTGTCTTGTTTTTTTTTTGTGCAATAAAGGATATATATAATATAGTACTAAGTAACTTTAGTAGTTTTTTTTTATTCACATAATAACTGGATACATTTTCTATTCTATATTATTCATTATATTTTTCACTTATATACTTTTTACACTAATAAAAAATATCATAATATGTCAAAATGCATATGAGATTAACTTACTGTTTAAAACATCCCTTTCAATTACTCTCGAGCGTAGAAGAACTTTAGTTATAAAGATAAAATAGTGACGCTCATATATTTGTTTATAAATGAATTTCAATAAAAGTTTAATTTGAACATACTAATGTAATATTTCAGATATATTTTCAAATACATAAAGATCCAGTAAAACATGTATATATATTCAAAAAGTAAAAATAACTTCAATACTAATTGTATACAAATCTATGATGCACAAAAACAGTTCTATGTCTGCATTTTTTCTTATTCATCATAGAATACCAACGAATCATTAAAAAATATAACTTTTCAATATAATTAAGTACAATTTAATAAAATTATTACAATGATTATTATGCATCAATCTGGTTAAAAGAAACACAACATCAAAATTGTTGACGGGAAAACGTTAATCGGAAAATAGGTTTACTTACGTTTTATAGTCCACTGTAACAAAATTTTTACTAGTTTAATCTAATTCGGAAGTAATGTTCATTCGCCTTCTCCTCTATTAGTTATGCGCATATATTAGAACCCGATTTTAATTACGGATTTTAATTTAGACAACACGTAAAGGATACATTTACAAGTGCTTAATTAAAATTGGTGGTTTAAAATTAAGTTTATTTGATATATTGTATAAAATTAATAGATACAGGAAACTTTATATTGGATTATAAATTTAGGTAAAACATAAGTCATTATAATGTTCTATATAAAAAGTAAGTCGTGGTGGCCTAGTGGTAAAAGGCCCGCCTCTCATGCATGAGGGCCGCGTTCGAAACCTGGCAAGTACTTATGTGATTTTTCCGTGTCATATGTACTCTCTAAGAGTATTTAGACACCAATGACAGAGGTCGAAAGAAAACATCGTGAGGAAACCTGGACTTATAATTTCTATTTATAAGTTTGAAATCACCAACCTCTCGTGAGCAAGCATGGTGATTAATGCTCAAATCTTCTCCATGTGATAAGAGGCCTTTGCTTAGCAGTAGGCTCTGATAGGCTGATGAGGATGATATCCAAACTATTTCATTTCATATAATTTTTTTTGATATTCTTCTGCCTAGGATGCTTTACTTCACGCTATCAAAGAAGAGTATGTAGAAGCCGTGGAGTTGCTACTGCAGTGGGAAGAAGACAATCATGTCCCCGGCGACCCTTATGTAAGTAGCCACATATTAACTTTGACCTTAAACTCAAAGGCACATTTTCTATAGGTTTTTTCTCAAACTTTCCTAAAAATCCCTAATAGATGGGACTATAGTATAAAATTACCTAATAGATAATAATAATAAAATAATTTATTTGAGTTAAAACACCATTACAAAGAATAAATATATAAAAAAGTAACAGTGAACAAAAAAATATAAAAAAGGAAATGTGCAACAAAATAATGATATAAGCAAACGTCTTACATAAGTATTTCATAGAAATTCTTACTGAAGAAAAGGGTAAAACATTAAAAATAATAATAAGATTAAAAGCCACCACCATTTTTTACATTAAAGTTATTGTTAATCTTACCGAGTTACTGGAGACAGAATTGAACTGTTTTAACCAAAAAGGCTGCAACTCAGCGTACTGCTGCAATAAATTTAGATTTATTACAGCGCTGGTTTTCAGTTGCCACCTGTGGATGGAACTATGTATATAGCTCATTCTCTTACTTCTACATTGATTTCCATATTCTTAGAGCTGGGAGTCAGTAGACGCATCAGCAGCAACCTTCACATCGGATATCACGCCACTGATCCTCGCCGCTCATAGGAACCACTACGAAATACTCAAACTGCTGCTAGATAGAGGCGCGACGCTGCCGGTACCCCACGACGTCAAGTAGGTACAGACGTTTATGGTAGCAGGAATACATAGATCCAGGAGTAGCAGGGGAGAAACCTCAACATTACTGATCCAGAACAATAATCATTACGAAAGATTTAAACACTTACAAACGTATTTACGACCTATTTGTATACACATTTAGGGAGACCTTCAATTCTAGCAATGAATTAGGATTGCAGTAGATTTTATATCGACAACGGAGTATAATAATATCAACACAAATATGTTAATCGAAATAGAAATGTATAATATAAAGAATATCATTGACACGAATTCAGTCAGCAGAACGTGAACTTGTGACTTTAAGTTTTGTGTTTAATTAGTTTTTTTCGACGAAACTGTGAGAGAGTATAGTTAACAATATTATATATATAAAGTATTCTTTTGTATTTCTGAAATATAACTTTACTTTATTTTACTTTAAAATACTGAAACATCAGAAAAACTAATTTAACATTAAAACCAGAACCTTATGTGATGCATTTAATTAGATTTTCTTTAGGAATATACAATGATAAAAAAGAAGATATTTCTTTGTACGACATAAAGTTCAATAGACATCTATCCATAGTTATCTATGCTGCTAATATCTTGACATTATTATAATAGGTGCGGTTGTGACGAGTGCGTAAAATCGTCATCGGAAGACTCTCTTCGTCACTCACAAGCCCGTATTAATGCCTACCGTGCGTTAAGTTCTCCATCACTCATTGCACTCTCCTCAGCCGACCCGCTTTTGACTGCCTTTGAACTATCCTGGGAATTGGGCAGGTTGAGTCAGATGGAAACAGAATTTCGGATAGAATATAAGGTAAATTACATTGAAATAAATCTTTTTTTGTGTCGTCATTATCAAGGTGAGCATATGTTATTTAATATTAGCAATAAAATCATTAGAATCAGTTAATCGATTTGCTTTATCACTTCCAGATCATCATCATCGAGATCATCATCATAGTCACCATCACCATCATCATATAATCCGAAATAATTAAATCGGTGTTCCCATTATATCCCTAGACCCTACGGTTACAAGTTCAAGAGTTTGCGACCTCGCTCTTGGACCACACGAGAACCTCTCAAGAACTGGAGATCATGTTGAACTATAACCCATGGGAATTAGACTGCTGGGAACCAGGCGAGAGACAGACGCTCGGCAGGTTAAAGTTGGCTATCAATTATAAACAGAAAATGGTATGAATTTTTAAGATAATTTTATCCTTTTATATAACAATTCATGCTTATAGGTTAAGACCCAGTTTCACCAATCATTGTTAAATAAGTAACATCATGTTAAGGCGTTTGATGCTCTGTTAGAAGTATCGAGCGTCCCACCACGCACAAATGTCCGTTTAAATGTCTTAACCAGTCACTAATATTAATTCCTGCTCTGGAGCTCCGTCTAATGGCTAACATGACTGTTAATGCATTGTCGAAACTCAATTGTCCAATCACAGTCCTGATTTCTTGTAACCATAGTAACGTCATCTGTTTTGTCAGTTTCGACTATTTGCTTGTTATTATTAATAAAATGAATTAAAATATCATTTAGTGTGATGATTTTGCCTCCAGTTTTCTATGAAATTGCAAATTAAGTTTTCTTTTTATTTCTTATAATTTGAACACAATTTATGCCTATATTTATAAAATAATAATTAAAACACAATTTATTAACAGCCCGATTTTGACAGGTTACACCTAGTAAATTGAAAAGAAAGCCTTTTGTGTGCTAAATGTATGCAACCAACGATATATAAAATTTGGTCGCATTACTTACAAATGACGTATCGAGGAATATATACGATCAAAGTATAAAGTGGTGCATCATGGCAAACGTGCCGTATTAAACGCTATAGTTTCCATTTGGTCGTCTTATAACAAGAACGAATAATTTGGTAGTCGGTCATTTGACATGAAGTCTAATAATGCGTTGTTAATTTGTCATCGTGGGACGTAAATATTTTAACAGACATTTATAATTTTGAAGGTTGTTTAGCAAATGCTGGGTTTAGATAAAACAAACATTGATTGGTGAAACTGGGTCTAAATGTTAAACATTTCGAGATTATTATCCAAGTATGGAAGATATATGGATATTATATTACAGCTACCTAAATACAGATAGCATAGCATTTATAGTTTTTGCATAGTCGAATAACATACAGATACTTCCAATTTTAGTAGAATATATTAACAATAGTTTCGTTGACATTGAAGGTGAAAAAAAACAATTGCCTATATCAATTTTCATCTTATAAAGCTATTTTGATAATATGAAATTCCTAGTTTTAATATTGCTATCATTTACATAAATAAATAATCTTTGATACACAAATTAATTTTCTAAAAATCTGTGTTCTATAAAGATTTTTTAAATAACTTTACGTAGTCTAGATTTATTCTTTATCTTTTCATTTTAGCTCTTAATTTAGTAATTTGTCCAATATAAATTATTAACATATATATCATAATTTATATATTATATTATTATTTATATGTGTATATATACTTGATTTATTTTAAAATCAAAATAAAAAATACCTTTGTTTTCAGTTCGTTGCACATCCGAATGTACAACAATTACTAGGCACAATTTGGTACGAAGGTTTGCCTGGCTTCAAAAGAAAAAATATGATCGGACAGTGTGTGCAAGTAAGTGAATATATATAATGAGGGTCACTGAAACTATTTCTGAAGTCATTTTAATAGATCAGACATAAAAGACATATCAGAAATAGTTCAAAAACAAAATAAACAAAACAAAGTGAAAAAATCCCTACTAATATTATAAATGCGAAAGTAACTCTGTCTGTCTGTCTGTCTGTTACGCCTTCAAGCCTAAACCATTGAACTGATTTTAATGAAATTTGGTACAGACATAGAGTTGACCTTGAAAAAGAATATGAGATAGTTTTTATCCCAGACTTTTGAAAGGTTCTCTTGGAAACGCGATATAACCGAACTCCACGCGGACGAAGCTGCGGGCCGAAAGCTAGTATAATAATAAATGTATGAAAACAAATAAAATCATAATACAAATTTATAAGTAAATCTAAACTTATTTATTGCATATTTTCTTAAAAATTACCCTAGATGCTGATATTTTCACTATGATACGATTTCATGAACATAAATGAATGATATACATAGCTTTATATATTCCTTGCATGTCGTCACAATATAATCGTAAGTTCTGTTATTTACTAGGTGGCTAAACTAGGGGTAATGTTCCCGGTGTACTGTACTCTGTACATGCTGGCGCCGGACTCTGAATACGGACAGTTCATGAAGAAACCTTTCGTCAAATTCATCTGCCACAGCTCCTCCTACATGATGTTTTTAAGTATGAATTATATATATTGTTACTCCCTTCACACTTAATATGTAATACGATTTATCTTTACAATTCTTTTGTACGTGTTAATGTCATTGAACCTCTACGAATCGGCTGGGTGAATTTGAATAAAAAAAAATTGTATGCATTTTAGTGGTGCCCTAGATGGTTTAGATTCACAAATCAATTCGGCAGATGGCACTGCAGTTGGTATTTAAGTTATTTAAAATGAAAAGACTGCATCGTAGATTACTATATATATTGTTTTAACAATCTGTACACTTTTTTTTCCGATCGAACCTTTGATGTTCACGCAGACGGAGTTGCGAGCAAAACTAGTGTACACATAATGAGTTATGTTTTATATATTAGAGTTTATTTAAGAAGTTGCAAAATAAAATAGTCTCAGAATAGTTCAGCACTATTTCTTTCAATAACGATAAAACTGAGAAAGCATTTTATATTTTTTGTTTTGTATTTCCTGGTTCCATTTCATTTAAAATTTTAATGTTTATTTGTTAATATCTATTAGTAACAAACATAGTCAATAAAAGCAAGGTCATGTGTACAATAGTGTAATATAGAGAAAAACTTTAAGTGTAAAGTTTGTCAGTGTAAACTGGGTGCAGTCTAATAAAAATTATTTCGCAGATTTACTTCTTGTGCCTTTAAGTGAATCAAGTTTATAGTAAATTTCATAAACTAATTGCTTCCTTTTCATTGAAAAAACAGTGTTACTCTCACTCGCATCTCAACGCGCTGAATACCTGGTATTGGAATGGTCTGGAATATCCTGGCTGCAAGAACTGGTAGAATTCTGGAAACAAAGAGAACGAGGATCTTTACCTGGTCTCATAGAATCCACGGTCGTTCTATTCATAGCAAGTAAAGCATATTTTCATTAACTTATATGGTATTCTTCTGTGTACCTAAAGTCTTCTACTTATTTTTTTTCCGTAGGTTTAGTTTGGGGTGAAATAAGGTCACTATGGTCAGGCGGTCTAATGGAATATTTAAGTGACTTGTGGAATATAGTTGACTTCATCACGAACGTGTTCTATATATCCTGGATAAGTTTGCGTTTCACGTCATGGTACATTGTGCAGGTATTTCTTAAAGATTATCTATAAAGACTTCTGCATTGCAGACTGACTTACCAAAAAAAGTATTAGCAAAACTCGTAAGAGTAATCTTTATATATATAATTATTCTGTGAGTGTGTATGTCACTGAACTTCTCTCAAACGACTGGAACGATTTTGATGAATTTTTTTTTGTGTTTTCAAGGGGATCTGGGAATGGTTTAGATTCACGATTTTGTCCACTGGACAATGATTTTTAATTAATTTTTAATTTATTAGTAGTTGTTGACACAAACTTTTTTTTTACACTAGTTTTGACAACTAACTAATATGTCAATCACTCTGTCGCACTTCAAAACACGGAGATTTATGGCTTTAATAGGTAAACTCCAAAAATATAAATAAAAAAACGTAACAGATATTTCTTGATTATAGGGCGATACGAAGTTCGGCGGGTCTTCTAGTGTACATATAATATGGTATATAAAAAAATGTTTTCAGAGGGACTACAACAGTGGCAAGGATCCATGGTACCCACGTGATAAATGGGATTCATTCGATCCGATGCTGCTTTCTGAGGGTGCATTCGCAGCCGGCATGATCTTCTCATTCCTCAAGCTAGTCCACATCTTCTCCATCAACCCTTACTTGGGTCCGTTGCAAGTCTCCTTGGGCAGGATGATCATAGACATCATCAAATTCTTCTTCGTCTATATGCTCGTGCTTTTTGCCTTCGCTTGCGGTAGGTACACAATTTTATTATGAATGGAGAAAAGATATTTTCAAGATTCCATCACTTATTAATTATTATTAATATTTAATTACCAGGACTTAATCAATTGATGTGGTACTATGCTGAATTGGAGAAAAACAAGTGCTATCACCATCCGTCCGGCGTCGCTGACTTTGACACCCAGGAACGAGCTTGTAGTATATGGAGACGATTTGCTAAGTATGTCCATAGTTAAAGTATTTTTTTATAACATTTTTCTCTGGTTATTTAACACTATTTCATATATATATTTGCATAGTGTTGACATTAATGAACTACAACAAAATTATAAGTTATTTGATGTAAAAGTCCTAAGAGACTAATAAAGTCGCTTAGACATCCAGAGTGAAATTTCATAACATTCAATGGATTCACCGTGCGGTTGTCGAGTCCATCGTTGTAGTGAGAGGAGCTTTAACAGTGCCTGGGACTTGCGACCCAGGTGTAGGTTCAAGGAGCTCTAATCTAACGCACGTTAAACGCGCATCTCCACTGTCCAAGCTCCTCTCTCTGCCTAACCAAATGTGAAAAGAACCTCTTAGGGCTCAGAGCTCAGAAGAGCTCAGAAACAAAAATTATGTCCTTACTAAATATATTACGTAAACATCGTCATTATTTTGCAGTTTATTCGAAACCTCCCAATCACTGTTCTGGGCCTCCTTCGGTCTGGTGGACCTTACAACCTTCGAGCTGACCGGCATCAAGAGCTTCACCAGGTTCTGGGCGCTGTTGACTTTCGGCTCGTACTCCGTGATCAATATCATCGTACTTCTGAACATGCTCATTGCTATGATGTCCAACTCTTATCAAATCATTTCTGTGAGTAAAGATTTGACCTTACCTTAGAATGATGTATTGTAAAAAACAATTGCAATTTTACAGCGTACGAACTTATAAAATACGTAGTTTTCTCTTCTCTTAAGATATTTTTATTTAACGTAAGAGTAATAACCTTATGTGTTAAGAAACACGATATCTCTGGTTAGACATATTTTATTATTACAAAAAGTTATTTTACCGGTGTACAACGAAATCTCTACAATAATTCCTCTTGATAAGTTAGTGTATAATTTCGTTAGTGAATAAATTTCTCGAATCTTCTATGATATAGGAAAGAGCAGACGTAGAATGGAAGTTTGCACGCAGCAACCTCTGGATGTCTTACTTCGAGGATGGTGACACAGTCCCACCACCGTTCAATATCATCCCCACACCCAAACATGTGAACGGATGGATCACGAAGATACTCAGCAATAAGGAGAGAGGCTCCATCATTGTATGTATTATAATCTTTATATTTATTTAATATAAAAATGATAAAATCTCCATATAGTCTAGCGACATCGCATATTTTAATATTTAGATATATATATTTGATTAGTTATAGTGATTGGATGTACCTGTACTATAAATGTGTTTAAATTTCACTTACTAGAGAAAAACCCTTTATATATTACTCTTAATGAAAATATTAAAATTAATATGAATTGAACCTTTTACCTCCATGATTTCGTGTTGCATTTACAATATCCAGTGATTTATGTAATAAATTCCATTCATTTTTAAATATTACGAAATCTTTTATACACAGACCAAAATAAAATTCTAAAATGTCTAACATTAATTACTAATGTAAGGCTGCATTTAACATACATACTAATCTTATACAAAGTTCTAGGGGATTATCAAAAATTCGTTAAATCGACGAATTCTTTCATTGAGGTTCCATGATGAGATCTAAGACTTTCGCGAGTATTCATTTTAATGAAACTAATATTTTTCGGATCATATTACGCGTATTTTATTATTGTAAAACTACATCCTCCCGACGTTTTGGTTACTTTTCATGCCACATCTCGTCTGCCCGTGATCACTTAAATGGTTACTTAAAAGTAACCGAATTCTATGCATTGACATAATTTGCAATTCTATGTAAAAGCATATTCTCTTTAGATAATTATGTAAACTTATGTGAATAACTTAGTTTAAAATTACTACTCTTCTCTTATTTCATCAAAAAGTCTTGATAATATTTTACTAACTTCTAAATAATAATAAAACATTTGATTTATTCCAACATTCAATCATTAAAGCCACTCACTCGATAAAAAAAAGAACTAAACTCCAGAAAAGCTTATCTATTTGTGTTTACTATCTTGTACAGTCTTGCTTGTCTATCAGTCTCCTCTTGGGTTATGACAATAATACAATCTACAGTCCACTACAGAAGCAAAAGGACTGAGTTTGTCGAATACTAATTGAAGTCCGCTAGTACATTCATTGTTCTGACCAAGTTGCAAATTGTTTCATTAAATACTGGTTTGTAGTCTAAAATTTAGTGTGTGCATTTTCTTAAATAATTTATTTATTCTACCTTAATTTTTTATTATATTATTATAGTTTTCGACCTAAATTTCTATCATTAAATATCTTTAGTATTGAGTTTTTTATTTACCCTTAATATATTATATCAAGTAGTATTAACAGGAAGCAAACAAGAATAGATAAAAAAAAATCTTTTTAATTTATCAAGTTAATTTATAAAGTTTTTACTACTGGTATAAACATTTTAACCTTAAAGAGGTCCAAGAAATAAGATTCAAAAAAAAACCTAGAATACATGGACAGCTTAAAAAGACTTATAAATACCGCTTATTATAAGATTAATGACGTGACAAACATTAGTCAGTACCTCTTTAAATCCAATTAGCGTCGTAAAGAACTACTTACTTTCAGTTATACTTCCGATACCATAAGCCTCGCTTCGCTTAAGATTACTTTTATAAAAATATTCCCGCCTAATATTAAACGACCATGAAAAAGGCGAGTATATTATTATTCAATTATTTTACATGAATTTTTATCACATTATAATGAAGCAAATAATTAATTTTTAATTAGAATAAATCACGCGAGAAAGCGCGACAACAACATGAAGCAGTCATGCGCGTTCTGGTACGAAGATATGTGACAGCGGAACAAAGAGCCAGAGATGAGGTTGGTGTCACTGAAGATGACGTCATGGAGATCAGACAGGACATATCCACACTACGGTTCGAGCTGATAGATATACTTGCCAATAATGGCATGAAAACTCCAAGGGTTAATGTACATGATACTACAAGTAAGTAGCACGTACAGAAACGCCTCATTATTTTCCGATACATCTTTTTTATGGTACCAATAGGAAAGTTTCTGTGTATATGGATTTTGCCCCTTAAAGCACTAATTTTTGAACGGATTTAAATGAACCTTTGCATTGAGGTAGGTCAATCAGACATCAGAATGACTTATGGGTAATAATTTTATGCAAAATTCCATATACACACTACCGTTCCTACACAATTTGAAAGTTATATTTTGTATGAATTTACATGTCACCATGTGATTGTAATTAATTGAAATATCTATTTATTATTATCTAACACAATTTAGAATTCCTGTGAAATGAAGTCTCAGAGACAAATTAATATTATGCTATAATGCTAACAAATTACTAATTCCATTATCATTACAGTATCAGGCAAAAAAGGCAAAGTTATGGAGAGAAGAATCCTCAAGGACTTCCAGATCGGCATCGTGGAAGGTATCATCAAGGACGTGATCTCTAAAGAGAGCAAGCCAAAGGATGTGTTCAGTCAGATCGCCAAAGCAATCGTTAGACGTGGAAGTGAAATGGAAAAGTATGATCACCAAATATTTTTACTAATAATATTTTTAAAAATACTCAAATTTCTTGTTCATTAGAACAAATACGCCTCAGAAAGTAGGTCTTAGTTACAAAAAATAAAATTAATTTATTACAAATATTACGATATGGTTACAAAAGTCTTTAATAATTTTTGATAGTGCTTGATAGCACTTATGCAAATATCGTTGCCCAATATACTTCCCAGATGTTTAAATGGCATCACTTACTTATACTTTCTACTCAAGAGGAATATTTTGAAGAAAATAATGCAATAAAATCCCTTCACTTAAAATTCTTGCCTTAACTTAATACGCCAATAATGTTTTTGTCACTGAATTTTAAGTCTCAAATTTTTGCTAGGAAACGCGACTGGAATGCCCAAGTACGTCGAAGCACTATCCGTCGTGATCCCATCGGTAGCACAGCGGAGGCACAGACTAAACGAAGCAGACAATCACTGAGAGCCCACATCTTAGATAATGTTAGCGCCAGGACTATAGATCCGCAGAAGCTGTTGCGTGAGTATCACAAGCTATTGAAGCTGTCTTCAAACTAATCGAGAAACTATGTAGCTTTTTAAACACGCAGGAAATATTTGTAGCAGGAAATATGTTTTTAAAACTTTTTTACAACTATTAAATTTTGGAAGATTTTAACATGATTAAATTTTAAAAAATACGAGAACATATATTTCAGCACATTTTATTTTATAGGTAATACGTTTACTAAAGTTGAATTTCATCAGAATTTTATGGAACTTGACAAAAATTTACGTAAAACTTCATGACTTTTCCTCTTTGGTTGATCATAAAAACAGTAATACCTATAATAATTGAGATAATTATTTCTTTCTATAGAATACAATCCAAATCTGTCAACCGTGACGCCAACAACTCGAGTCGCATACGCGAAGTTCATGAGGAGCAAAATAAAGTCAGATTTCACAGAAACAGACAATGTGGAAGAACTCAATGAAGACCAGATAGCTGCACAGAGCAATGATAAAAGTAAGTTTGAATGAAAATACAAGAATATACAACTTGAACATAGTTATCGATTATAGCCACCTAGAACTAACTTCACGATGTCGCTGTCGGTACGCGCATGGTAAAAAATTGTTTACTAAATGCGCTATTATAGTAAAAGTTATCCTTTCACACAAAAAGTTCTAACCCAGAAATGTGAAAGATATTGAATTGAAAAGGGAATAAGAAAAATATTTAAGGGGAAGATAGCAAGGAATCTAGTCTTATAATTTTATATTCATAATTCTGTCTCAGAAAAAGTCTCTCTGTCCGTGAAGCAAAATACGTTTCTAAATGTTATTCTAGTTAGTAATTTCAGTTACCATATGCACAGATTTCAATCTGCCATCCAATACACTATTTACATAATCGCAGGGACTATATTCTATCTTTATGCAAAATGTTTCACTCTAAAACTCAACAGTCTAAAGCTATAATAACCATACTGATAGAGGTTTCATGTGAAACTAACATAACATGTTAACAATATATAAAAAAGGTTAATTTACTTTAATATAAAAAAGAGATTTTTTAGTCCAAAGTATCCATGATTATAAAATGCACTAAAATGTATATCTACTCACCGATCCTGAAATCTGAAATAAAATTAAAAAGGCTTTTAAAATGACAACTATTTAAAAAGTTTTTTATCTATAAAAAATATATTTATTCTATTTCTATTTAAAACGCATTTCGACGGCATCCATTACGCTTAAATCTTATTAATTCAAAACCTCTCGCCAATAATAAAAATCAGTATTTAACTTTTATTTGTGAGATCATTTTTCTTATTCTTCTACCTGGCAATTTCCCAGCCTTAGCCAGGATCTGCCTTACATGTTGTGAATAGTTTTGGCAATTTTTGTGAGATCATTTTTATTCATATTTCTCTGTAATTACAGCTTTCCTAGAATATCAATCGGTATCAGTTAACAGAATCAATTTGCGTATTATAAATGGTAAGATCCGATTTGAAAGATGCAACTCGTTTGGATGCAAAAATATATGTGTATGAATGAAACTAAGTTTTTTTAATACTATGAGAAGAATACTGATTATACAGGGTGACTGGTGAATTACTATCGATACTTGAGGACGTGATATTTGACGATCATATATGACAAAATAAAAATTAATATAACATAAATATTAATAAACTTCTAAGTAAAGTTAACCAAAAGTTATGTAATTAATTACGCATCGCGTGAACACCCTACAGATTTGGTATACACACACACACACACATACGCGTGCGGCGGCGTGGTGTTGTATCAGCACGCCGCCGCACGCATCCACACTTGGAACACTTGGAACGTGTCAACACTTTATTTATTTTTACGGAAATTTTGTCAAAAATTAAGTGCCTATTTTTTTTACATAATTCGAATGAGAATCATGTACCAGTATTCTCCTTAAATATTGATAGTAATTCACCAGTCACCCTGTATAGTTATAAAAATTTACGCATAGTATCCAAAAAATTTAGTCTCATTTAAATTTGTACACGTGAAAATGTTCGATGTCTATATATGTATGTATGTATATTTTACCACATTATTTCTTTAAACTATACTTTGATAGGCTTTTGCAATAGGCACCACATTTGTCGAATCTTTGTTATATGGTTGCACCGTTATTTATGTTTGCACATGGGTGATGTTTTCATCAACTGAAATCTATTTTATATGTTTTATTATTATACATATTTCGTTAGTACAATATTATTGTGTTAAATTTTCAGTTCGTCAAGCATTCCGTAAAAAGAAACCACCAGTTGACAAGGAAGATGGCAATCCTCAATCCACAGAAATAAAAGTTGAAGCTGAAATAGAAAATAAAGGTCAAAATATCCAAATTAATTCCTATATAAAATAAAATAAGTCTTTGATTTTGTTACTAATAATAAATTGTTTTCAGGCGCTGCAAGCGGATCGGATGATGCAAAATCGCCTCAAAAACCATCCGGTTCCAAAGCTCCAGATCCTCCTAAACCTGCTGAACCTGAAAAACCCCCTGAACCAGCCAAACCTGAACCCAAAGATCACGTGATCCAGATAGAAGAACCCGAGTCACCATCAAAAAGCCTATACATAACAAAGGAAGAGGACCAAAATCTGCAGAAACCAATTTCACCAACACCCAGCGGACCATCCGAGCAGATACTCTCAGCTGCAACCCTTGAATCCGACCAGCAGAAAGAAGCAAAGCAACCATCTGTAACCATAACTGTACCAGAAGAAGAACCAGAACCGAAACCGAAAGAAACCAAACCAAAACCTCCAAAACCGAAAGAAAGTAAACCCGGTCCTTCCACTCTTGCTCCATCACCAGCACCCAAACCAGCTCTGGTCACTGATAAAGGAAAGTCAAAAGTAACCGGGAAAATAGTATCCGGGTGGCTTTAAACCATTTCTAGGAAAAAAAATCACTTAAATCTGCCTTGCATTTCTTTATAAAACAACGCCTTTATAGATTGTTATTATATTTAATTTAACTTATTTCTTTAGATGAAATAATCTTCATTTAGTTACACTTTTAATTGTACAAACTTCTAGAACAATCTGATGTCATATTATATGCTTTTATAATTACGATAATTTCTATAAGCACGCATTTCTCCTCATCTATTCCTTCTGTTTGTTTCTAAGTAAAAATTGAGTAATGCTTGACCAAATAGTAATGTATTAGTGAGATAATAAAATGTACATAGCAATAACTAGGATAAACTGAAGTATGAATCAGAAAATAATTTATTAAGTATAACAATGTATCGTAAAAAGATTAATATTGGGTACAAGCTTCCTTAATAGTCATCGTTACTACAGACGTAGCGTTTCGAGTCTCATTAATATCAAAATCAACTTAGTTTACGATGGTCTAAACGCAAAACGCGCCGTTTGTAGTATAAATATACGTGTGGTAAGTATACTGATATTTTTTCTACAGTTTTTTATTAGTATTACGAGCATAATTCACACCTTGGATGTTAGTCTAGTTGAAATAGAAGTTTCTTGTAATTTAGTTTATATATAGAAGTGGTGGAAATATTTCTGGCAGGAAAACCTTAACGGTTTATTGAAAGGCTGTATTGGGATATATCGAGTGGTATATATTTGATGAACGTAGATAATAAATGTTTTGTTTTATTTATTTATGTCGTATTATTTGTATTTCGATATAAAAACTCTTTTCGTGCAAAACTTAATTCAATGACAGTTAGTGCTGTCAATAATAGGTTGATTAATAATTACAGTTTCTTTTTAAAAAGTATTTTCGACTTTAGGTGATTTTTTACACATATATAAAAAAATGAGCATGTATCATAACAATTTTATTAAAAAACTAGAAGACCTGGCGAACTTCGTATCGCCCTATAATCAAGAAATATCTATTAAGTTTTTCTATTTATATTTTTGGAGTTTACCTGTAAGCCATAAATCTCCGTGTTTTGAAGTGCGACAGAATGATTGACATATTAATTAGTTGTCAAATCTAATGTCAAAAAAAAACGTTTGTATGGGAAATAGAAAAGAGCTGTTTTTATAGTTTTCCCAGTGATTAATAAATTTTTTCAGCTTTTATACCTTCCCTGAACCTCCACGAACAATTCAAGACTAAGATAAGATAAATCCCTTCAGCTGTTCTCGAGTTTTAGCGAGACTAAGGAACAGCAATCCATTTTTATATATATAGAAGAAGAAGATATGTTTATGTTTAGTAAAGATTCGTTTTCACAATTATCTTTTTGTTTCGACTACTGTACTGTAAATATACTCCAGTACACGCACTTGATTATATTGTAGTCCACCCGTTGATAGGTGAAATGTAGTAGAACATTTTATGATATTTAACACTTTAAAATAGAACCATAATTATGGGATATTAACCTTATCTGCCCGCAAAATAATAAAATCGCTAGAAAACCCTCCAAAAATTATAATCATAAAAATTAAAAATCACAATAAAGTAATAATGACGCCAATAGAATATAATATAAGTGCAACAGATAAAAAATATAGAGTGAAAATATTGTCACGAGGAAAAGAGTTTATATGTATATACTTTAAAACGTCAAAAAATATTTTCTTTGAAGAAGTTTCAAATTTTCACGTCTAATTATATTTCAAAATATCTCTACGGTACTTACAAATGGTTTAAAAATTCTACTAGACGCTCCTAGCATCTTAGTATAATTTATGACGACAGAATTTATGGCCAAAATATATAATAGGATAAAGATGAATTAAATTTGACTTTAAATTGTGTTTTTTAAATTAATATTTTTATTCCCAGGAAGGGGTTATAAGGAAATTCAAGTAATCCCCAATAAATAGATACATATATTATATCAGTTAATTATCTGTAGCAACATTTACCTACTTGAAGAATAAAAATTTCAATAGCTTTCGTAAAAGTTATAGACAAAAAAAGCGGGAAAAATAGAACATTATTGAATCTTCACACGATATTTATATTGAACCTAATATTGATACTTAATTATGACATTTATTTTTATTTACATGTCATATATATAATTAGCTTTTGCCGCGACTTCGTCCGCGTGGAATAGTGACTTCCGGCAGATTTTTGGTTCTTCCCACATACTTAGTTCCCGTTCTTGCGGGGTTTTCGGAATGGTCGAGTCCCCGTAGAGTTTTCAGGATAAAACTTATGTTTTTTTTTATTCACAATGAAGTACTCTTAACCAACAACATATTTATTTCTTTATTTGAATAAAGATTTTTTAAAATTATTTCGACCAAATTAGGTACCATAAAAACGGTTTTTGTGAGTTAATCTTAAAAGATAGACAGATACTGTCGCGAACTGTTTTTTAGATCATTAAAAGAGCTATTATTCTTTAATACATATTTTTTGTGTATCTTAAACCGTATTCACGGCGCACGCAACGGAAGGCTTCAAAGATGAAATGATTCTCCCGTTTTTTACACATTTACCACTATATCTTTGCTCCTATTGGTCGTAGCGTGATTTTATATAGCCCACAGCCTTCCTCGATAACTGGACTATCCAATACAAAAAAAATTATTCAATTCGAACCAGTAGTTTCGGAGATTAGCGCTTTCAAACAAACAAACAAACAAACAAACAAATAAAATCGTCCTAAAACACTAAATTTATCGTAATTTTATGTATACTTTTAATATACCTATAATTATTTTCTTTAATTTCTTCTATATAAAATAATGAATCCTTTAAAGCCTACAATACTGTTTCAATTTATAATCCTTTAAAAGCTCCGTCACGTTACTTAAAGGTAAAATAAAAAGGCAACAATATATTATATAAGTCGTTTATTATATTTAAAAATAATTAAATATCTATAAAAAGTATATTTTAAAATAAATAAAGAAGCATGTCTATTTTAAGATTGAAAAATATCTATATTTTTAACTTAACCTTTTACGACACGAAACGGAATCTTGTTACAAAAAGGTCTTAGTTATTTGAAACTTGAAATACGCCATATTTGTTACAGATCCATCCATTTATTATTGTCTCATCTGTATAGTTTTTTTTATCTGTAAACGGCGCGAAAATAATCTTTTTGATGAAACACTTAGAATAAGATTATAATCTGAAATAAACATTACGTACTTACTACGAAAAATAAGCTCTAATGTTAATTATATTTGACTATAATAGATTACTATATCATTTGGACGGATTGATAAGGAATCTTACGTCATATGTAATAAATATTATAAGCTAAGTTTCCATAGAATTAAATTATTAGAAAAAAAAGCTTAAAATAAACGAATACAAATCCTTAATATTACTTTATTTATTTTACGAGATTCATAAATAATATTCTTATTGCATAAACAGCAGTCATTGCCAACCAGTAGCGTAGAAAAGAAACCGCTATTGAAAAGAAAACATTCCAAATTCAAATCACTTCAAACTACTTTTTATTTGCCAAATATTATATCCAGCCAGTTTTCGGCTGACGTTTGATTGTGTTGACATCTTCTATACGGCGACCGGGGGGCAAGACGCGGGGGGAGGGAGGTATCAGTAGCTCCGTGCTAGAAGAGGACAGGAGATGAGATGTGTTCGCGCTGGTGTTCTGTAGAAAGAGATGGAGAATTTAAGAAATATCATGAAATCATTCAGTAATTGTAGCATTAAGTATTTTTTTAATTCTAACAGTTTTGGCTGCGGGCTTTGGAGAGGGCGAACGTGATCTTGGCATCGGCACCGGCTGTTTTGTCGAACTATCTGTAGATGGCTGAAAAACAATATTCATGATTAAATATAAGTTGAAACAATAAAACTCATCAAAACAGTCTGAATTAATTTTCAATTAATTAATTATAGTTTCGTCAACATTTAGCTTTGTTTAATTTTTGATAAGAGGGATGTTATTTTAAATTCAATATGGCGGAGTTATCATCTGTACTTCTTTATAATATAAATACAAAATTAAATAGTTTATATAGAGAGAATAGTAATAAGAAATATTTAGTTAGATTATTTATTAAGTTTTAAATAGTTATATATTACTTTACCTTAGTTTTTGAGTAAGCGGGAGGCGGTGGTAGGCCATCTTTAACTGGTTTAATATCAGGAGCAACTGGTCTAGCTAACGCTATAACTTCTACACTGCTGTGATGTCTGTGTTCTATTGACTAAACACCAAATATATTAGAAAAAAAATATTAAAAATCAATAAAATATGAAAAAAAACTTACTTCACCAGATGGCGGTAATGGTGATTTCTTTTTCACAACTTTAGGCGGCGAAGAACCAGGTAACCTTTGAGCTTTCAATGGACTCGGTTCTATAAAAAAAAAATATATATATATAATTAATTTTATAATCCTGGCAACATTTTACTTTGTGCCAAAGTTTGAAAACTAATTACACACTAAAACAGTTATTAACAACACACATTACGTCCTAAAAGTTTTGATAAATTTTGCTTGAATATTTTATATATATTTTCGTCATTTTTGAGTTAATACATGACGCTGTCTATATTTATTTGACAAATTATATTGGTAAGAGTTGGTACCAAAAAAATATTCGATTTAATATTTCATGATTGTTGAACATCATTTTACATTTTTTTGTTCAATTTTATCTCAATAATTAGAAATAGAACATGTTTTTTATTCTTTGAAATTATGAACCTTATAAAGAAATAAACTGAATGCAGGAGAATATCGAATAATAAATGCGTTTTATTTAAATTTAAATATTAATAACTCATCACTATGCTTACAAGTGACATTAGACACGTTTGCTATCTGTCAATCAGTATCCTACCTTAAATGTTCTAAGACTTTTAACTCTAAAACTGTTAACGCCACGAATATAGTCTAAATAAACTTATAGTAAGCGTAAAGTATAAATCCCACTTAGAATCGTACGCAATACTCATAGTTCATCGTTAAACTCATTCATAAATCTACAATACTAACTACTCGTACTAAGGAAGACTTCAACAATAATGACAGGTTAATCAATATGGCGGCAATATTGCGTCTTGCTGTCACTGGGAATGGCTTTTCATACTTTAATGAATACATCTTGTTGATACATTATTTCATTTGTACTAAAATAACTATTTTCTTCTTTATATTTATAAGTTTTAATTTTAATACGGACTAGTAATGATATTATTTTATAATGAAAATTAAACTTCACAAATGTATGTAGAGATTAAGGCTTAGTGTCCCTAGTAATATTATAAATGCGAAAGTAACTCTATCTGTCTGTCTGTTACGCTTTCACACCTAAACCGCTTAACTGATTTTAATGAAATTTGGTGCAGAGATAGAGTTGACTTTGAGAAAGAACATAGGATAGTTTTTATCCCAGACTTTTGATGGGGTCTCTTGGAAACGCGATATAATCGAACTCCACGCGGTCGAAGCTGCGGGTGGAAAGCTAGTATGAAATATACTTATATTAAATTGTCATCACCTGGTTTCTCACTTCCTGTTGGACTAGAAGGCCTCGGGTCAGGACTAAGGCTTCGAGGCTGAGTTATCGTCTAATAAAAACACAATGTATTAATTATATCATACATGGTATTCCTCTTGTCTAAGAAATATTGACTAATGCACTTTTATATTAAAAATATTTTTAGATTCACTCTTTTTAAATCAAACTAATATTTTTCGGATATACTCGTCTGGTCTACCCGTGATCACGGTTGTTGAAAAGAAGCCGAAACGTCGGAAGTATGTAGTTTTTATAAATAATAAAGTACGCGTAGTATATCCGAAAAATATTATTTTCATTTAAATGAGTGAAATTTGCTAAAGATTCACTCTTTTATATATAACAAATAGTTTATGTAATTCACTAATAATAACACCGGGATATCCACGTATAATCGTATAGCATAATAATGTATTATTTCAAACATTCTGATAATATACTAATAAAAACAGTAACATTATAGAAATTGTACAGATTGGAGGCTAAATAAATACTATTAATGTAAGAAATCTCATTTGGCAAGGGGGAAGACTTAAAATATTAAATTTTAAAAGATAATAGGTTCTTATTCTTTAAAAGCAAGTTCTGAGTATATATATATATATATATATATATATATATACACTATGATTTGTATCAAAATCTTTTTACCCTAGTAGGGCTCGGTCCGCGTGGTATAGGGGACACAGCACGACTGCGGGCGTCGTTAGGGCTTAGAAATCTCGCTGGTGCAACTCCATTAGTTCCTATTGAAGAAATAGTTAAAATAAGACTATAACTGTAGACATTTTTTTGGGCAAACTTGTCTGGAAGCTATATAATAGACACTCCATTTTGGAAACTATATAGCAGGTTCATAAAGTTATTAGGAATATTCCATCTTATTGAATAAAATTAACAAAATGTAATCTCGTTTCAAAATAAATAATAATCAGTGATTTAAACTACATTAAATAATCGCTGTATGCAATAATGAAATTATAATCAAAATCGATTATCGATTTATTAGTATTTGACAAATAATACTGTCTAAGTTGTTATTAAAACTATTTTTGCTTCTTTAGCCCATGTCAACCATAACAAATATGTGGCGATTCTGACAGTAAAATTATAAAATCTATCTAAATATGTACGTATGTAAGCAAAACGAATTGACTACAAATGTTTCTTCATTTTTATTAATAAATATAAAAAAGTGTAGTAAAACAAATTTGTAAGCATAACTTAAAAGTACGTTATTCATTACCCGCTTCGTTTCTCCTCGGAGACTTGGACCGTGGCAAACGAGCACTGGAGTAGTTCTGTTCCTCTATCTCCGTAGAAATATCCTTTATGAGCTCCAAGATAGTATGTCCAGGAGTTTCTGGCATTTCCATTGGCGTCAAGGGGCGAGATCCTATAAAAAAACTTAATTAACCAAGGAACTTTTAAATGATACGAATATTTTCTGATTTACTCTTCTTTTCTTCCTGGCAATTTCCCAGCTTTAGCCAGGGTCTGCCATTTTCTGATTTACTATCCGTCTCTATTTTCCGTCTATAATTTGAGGTCACGGGCAAAGAAGGTTGTATTGCTATATTAATATATTGAAATCATAAGGCTTTTAAAAATAAAAAAAAATATCGAAAGAAATATTTTCCTTTTGAGCCACGTTGTATATTAAATTGTAGGGACACAATAATTGTAGTAGTGTGTGTAGTGTATCATGTATGTAACAAACACTACTTGACAAAATGTGCCTATTGAACAATACGGAAAACTTATTATAATAATATTAAAACGTTAAGATTACCGTGAACAGGTGATCGGGAAACCAGCTTTTGGGCCTCTTCGATAGCGCGCTGCAAATTCTGCTGCTTCTTGAAAGACTGTCGTGTTCGGCAGCGACCGATTTGAGATCTAATAAACAATTATAAATACATTAAGAACCTATTAGAAACTTAGGAAAGAAAACAAACAGATGAAGATTACTTTGTTTATTTATGGTCACTTAAAACTGTACCAAAAGAATATTTTCTATAACAAGCAAATAAAATGATACTCATAAAACATAATATTAACTTAGGAAACAAAACAGACATAGAAAAACGTCACTTTGTTTATATATGGTCACTTAAAACTGTACCAAAAGAATGTTTTCTATGGCAAGCAAATAATATGATATTCATAAAACATAATACGAGAATTGCTTACGATATCCCAGTGGCAGCCAGAGTTTGGTCCCATTTGGAGCCTCTTGCAGCAGCGGCAGCCATGCGGGCTACTCTTCGGAATCTCGCCAGACTGTCCTCATGCACAGGTTTACCGTCTTCTTCAACAGAAACTGGAGTCACTTGGAAGTCCTTCATAAGTCTCCGTTCCCAAATCTTCATTCGTTTCGCCAGTACCACTGAGTAAGGATTTAGTTTTATGACAAATTAAATTAATGAGTACCTATTCAAGAATTTGGATAAGGAAATTACATAAAACACAAATGTTATGATAAAGAATCTAAAAGATTTTAAAGCCAAAATCATTCTTTAAGTTGTAGACATCGTGTTATAAGTTGCGTACTCCGTGCCGTACTTATCATAATATACTATAATCTTTACAATTAGGTACTTTTATGGCTAATTCTAATAAATAATAATACTGAATCATTGTAATTTTAATGGCAACATTTAAGTATAAAATTGTATTTGAAAAACTATACTAAACAAAATACTGGTTTCAGTTATTTTGTAAGATATAACTGGATGAAACGCTTAACAATAAATCAAGTCTGTTACTGTTCTTTGAACAATCTATAAGACTGTATAATTGTACTGTACTCACTCTTCTCCTTTCTATCTGTAAAAGACACATCCATGCCATTCTTCTCGAATACTTCTAGCAGTTCATATCTGAGAGCGGAGACGTCTCCTTTAAGCTCATTTATATCATCTTCAGTTACTGGGTCTTCGTCAAGTCGTCTGTGCATCGCAGACACATAGCGCCAGACCAAAGCTCGCATCACCGCCGTGTAATGTACATCGTCTTTCTCTTTCTGGGCCTATTATATACATGATATAAACAGTTATTCTTGTTAGTTAAAAGAGAAGGAAAATTAGTATAATTCAAAATTAACTTATAAAGATTCAACTTTTAATATACTTAGATACGATTTCAAAATCATTGCAGTGTTTAGTGGCGTATAAAAAAGGTCATATAAAACGGGAATAATATACTGAAATCACCTTGAATGATTCGTCATTATCTTTCTTCCTAAGTCCTAACAACTTCATAACTAGTTTAGGAGTGGGAAATATGTTGAATGGAGGCGGTAAAGTAGCGCCCTCCTCAAAGTAGCTCATCCATAGACGTGTTCTGGCAAATTTCCACTCTACATCTGAATGTTCCTGAAATTTTAAATTAATATTCAAAATAAAGAGATATCAAAGCTATAAATGTACATAAAGTCGTGAAATTAACAACTTACAGTGATCATCGCGTAAGAATTGGACATCATGGCGATTAGAAGGTTCAACAGAACGATCACATTGATCACGGAGTATGACCCAAACATCAGCAGACCCCAAAAGCGGGTGTAACTTTTGATGCCAGTCAGTTCAAAGTTCTCCAAACCAACCATACCAAATGACGCCCAGAAAAGAGATTGAGAAGCCTCGAAGACGCTGAGAATTTAATATGAGATAGAAAAAAAAGCATTATTACAGGCACTTATGTTGATAATTATATACTACAATTCAAAACCAATGATAATATACGTAAATAGTTAGCTATTAAACATATATTAGCGAATTAAATTTAGTTAATATATATTCTACATGTAAACACACACAAATAGACAACATTTTACTATAAAATTTTGATAAAAATTTACAAACTAATAGATACAATATTTCAAAAATCATTTTATAGCCACACGCTAAATTTATTCTAAGATTTGTTCTATACTAAAACTATTAAGGTTTTGACAGCAAACATAAAGTTTGATTATATTTGAAGAGACATGTGTAAAGAGTAAAACTATGGTTTTCTATTTTAACTTCCCTAAGCCTAAAAATTACAACTAGGATAAATTATAATAATAAAGCGCTATATAGTATAGACTATAGAACTAAATACATCTTACATACTTTAGCGAAGAAAAGTTAAAAATTCAAAAACTCTTAATTGTTAATTACGTAAATATATTGATAGAATAATGCATAATTTTCAATTAAATCAGACGAACGTGTTCCAACTAAATTTTAAGACAATAGTGTAGTAAAAAAAATATGACCATAATTTATCTTAGTTTTAAAAAGATGATAACTGTTAAATGTTTTGTAATTTAGTAGGCGTGATAATCCATAGTTGTTCGCAGTGTCATACAGTCCACTTCATCGATTTTCAAAGTATTCATCTTTACATTGATATCTTCTTCTAGCTGTATCTGGGTCTGGAGTAAGTAACGAAGCGAGGATGTCGCTTCGTGGAGCATTTGCTGCAATTCTTCCGTACTCTTGCGCAACATTTCACACTCGTAATACAGAGCTTGTCCTGGTGGATCCCGGACTAATTCAGCCCCAATTCTTTGTGCTCTTCTCCCTAGTCTTGTGTGCGCCAATGCTATATTCCCTTCTTTCGCCGACAGAGCTTTTTGCAATTCCAAAATATTTTCCTCCATATCCGCTATTTTCTGTGTTGTTTCTCTATGCATGTCTTCAAGTTTTGCTTTAGTCCGCTTTGTGTCTTCAATGCGCTCTTTGAATTCGTGATTGCATTTATTAAATGCGGACCAAAGATCGTCAATCACCTGTTTTAATAAGATATCAATGAAAACGCGGATAGGGCGAGCACTGGTGACTTCTCTTGCAGCACTCTGGATGTTTTTGGCGGAATAGGCATTGTATTCATCGGCTGATATGTTGGCTGGATCTAGATTAGCGTAGCCCTCGTAGATAGAGAGACACAAATCAGTGGGCTTGAGAGATAAAGAACCCTTATCTAAATCTATAGCTGCTTGTTTATACTGCAAATCTCGGTCAAGAAGGTAACGAGTAGATCTAAGACGCCGCATCTGTTCATTCAACTGTTCTAAAGCTCGTTTAAGTAAACTTTGTCCTCCTAATATTGTGGTGATTTCTTGCTGAAGAGCATGTTCTACTTCATCAACCACCAAATCAATACCAATTCGTCCATCTCTAAGCATCAAACATTTCTGACAAATAGTCAGTGCATTCGTTTGCAGAGACGAGAGGCAGTCCAGCAATCTGGTCTTGTAAACACCTAGAGCTTCAAGTTCAAGGCATATTTCCTTCCTTTGTAATTGCAGTTCCTTTTTATTATATTCGATATCTCCAATGCGTTCTTCTATTCGTCTATCGGAAGTCGCTTTCATGATGGATGCCCGTTCAGCAGTTTCATCACGTACTCTCTCGCATTCACCCAGAACCCGATCAGCTAATTGCTGTTGATCTTCTGTATTCCTACATCTCTGTTCGTTGCTCAACTTCCACTCCGACAAAGTAAACTTTGATGTTCTTGGCGGCATGCAGACTATGGCTTGCTCCGATAACCTAGTAGTGGCTACCGGAGCCCCAATAACATTCCTAACACCAAATTGAGCTTCACTCATTGTAAAAGTACCAAAAACCTCAATATATTAACGAGAATATTATTTAGAAATCAGGTTCATCGAAAACAGGACTTCAAAATGACATAATTGTCTGTTGTCATAGCTACGGACTCACAAAGTTCGATCAAATAATTTTTTCCAATCAATTTACTTGACATGAATCCAAAAGTACCCTGTAATATTTAATGTACTAATACGATTTCTAATGCGATTATCTTTTTGACTTTCAATCAAATTTCCTTGTTATTTTATTACATTTTTATGTCATCTTTTAAAACTTTTAAAAACTCACTATCGTTTGATTAAGGTGTATGAATGGAAATAATTAGAGAATATGTAATAATATATAGCTTAATTTTTTTTAGTCAAAATAACTCGTCAAACCCCACGAAACATGTTATAAATTTATAATTATTTAAATTACATGTCGTCTAATCAATTATTCAAAGGTATTATAACCAGCCTTATAGTTCCCAAACGAAGTCACAAGTATATAATAAAATTTGCAACTATTAATATTTTGGAATTCAATATAAAATATCTGAATACATGACTTTGATTTTCGTTTTCTAATAGGCGAAATTATTTAATTTTATTATACCTAAGACTTAAATTATTTGTGTTTTTTCTTGGCCGTTTCTTATTATGTATTAATTATTATACATTCAAATAATCTAGCAGACTCCTTATTACGTCACCATTGAGGTTATGTAACTTAGTCGAGTTGCATATATGTATATTATTTTGTTAATTAGTAATGATAAAATAAATCTAAAACTTTGAATAAAATCAACAAACTAGAACCAAATTGTTTCAAAGAAAGTTACAGCTAAGTAGTTGCTCAATCGCAAGAGACAAGACGTATAGCAACATCCATTACCACGGTTAATCGGCAACTACTAAGTTTTCATTTGATACTACTACGATACATAGGCCACTACCATTTTTTTATTGGCCACTACTAAGTTTACATTGGCCACTACCACGCATGCATTGGCCACTACTGGTCAGCACTTTGGCCAACTCACTTGCCAAAGCTGCGCCACTTCATACATGAATCACCAGCGTGATCCCAATCCGGCAATCCACCAGGTAAGACGTAACACTTACGCTTTTCCAAATCAGCAAAGTACCAAAGCAATTGGTTCAGACCTAGCATTTGCCAAATAACATTTATGTATGGAATTATGAAAATAATATATTTCAGTCATTGAAATAAACTGTACAGGGTGACTGGTGAATTACTATCAATATTTAAGGAGAATACTCGGTACATGATTCTCATTCGAATTATGTAAAAAAAATAGGCACTTAATTTTTGACAAAATTTCCGTATAAATAAGTAAAGTGTTGACACGTTCCAAGTGTTCAAGTGCGGACGCGTGCGGCGGCGTGCTGATACAACACTACGTCACGACACGGGTATGTGTGAGTGTCAGTGTATACCTAATCTGTAGGGTGTTCACACGATGCGTAATTAATTACATAACTTTTGGTTAACTTTACTTAGAAGTTTATTAATATTTATGTTATATTAATTTTTATTTCGTCATATATGATCGTCAAATATCACGTCCTCAAATATTGATAGTAATTCACCAGTCACCCTGTATATGGTTTTGAATTAGAAGTCATCCAGGGTATATGCCCCACTGCGTCAATGTAATAGACTTAACTCTAAACCCCTCAAATTGATCGTAGATTTTATTTACTTCACATTTGTTCACATAGAAACTTTAAAAGGTTTCATTAAAATCTTCATAGAGTCTATTTTATTTGGAATTGTATTAATATTAACTCAATTTGTTTATTCACTAACTAGTTTTATAAGTACATATGTAGTTGAAAATTACATGTATTACATACCACAAGCGAAAGCGAAAAGCACCAGACTGTATATGAAGAAGAACTTGACGATGTCTATAACCATACGACCCAAAGATATCTGAAGCGGGCCAAGGTGAGGGTTTATGGAGAACAGGTGCACCAACTTGAGGGCACTATAAAGTAAAGATAGTCTTAGAAGAGGAGAAGTAATTTTAGTCACTTAGACAGTAGTCCTATGCTAATACTTTATACCTATAGACACCCGAAGTTTCTGTGACTTTTCAACAACGGTAATCACGGGCAGACGAAATACGCGTAGTATAATTCGATAAATATTAGTTTCATTTCAATGAATACTCGCAAAAGTCTTAGATCTCATTATGTGTTATAGAAAATTTCTTATTGTTTTTAACTGCTTTTCTCTTTAATATACTGTTAGGTCAAAATGAGTATTATTACCACAAAAAACAACGCAATTACAAAGGAACATACCTAAATATATTAGCCGCAGCGAACAGCCCTTCCGCAATCAATTGAGGGTCGAAGGCATCCCATTGTTCTCGTGGAATAAATCTAGTTTGAGGGTCCTTTTTAATTTCAGCTGTCTGTTGAATGTAAGCAGCTAGTCGAAGGATAGCTACTGCCACGTATAGAGAGTTTCTAGTGAAATCGATGAAGTTCCACATGTTTCGGAGATAGGAACGGATACCTTCGATGTAGATCTCATGAGTTTCTTGCCAGATGAAACCTGAGAGAAGAAATATTTTTTATTTAAACTCTTCCTAAACAATGATAATGTTATGTACAAGGTATATAAAGGCAAAACGGTGAAAATAGTATACATAATTAAAAGCATAGGCTGAAATATTACTTGATTTATTTGGGATATATCAATTATTAATTAATCAGAATTTATTGCATATTTTGCTAAGTGAGGCGAAATTTACTTATTTATATAGGTTTTTCTAGTAGAATCAGACATAATTATATCAATTGGTAATAAAAATGGTTGAATTTTCTCATCGCTTTTCTTAGAAGTTCTTAAAAAGATAATTCTTAATATCTTTGTAACAACCAAATAGGTGAATTATTTCTATCATCTTTACACAATTAAAGGAAATATTCGACAGAACTTCATATTCTACCAGACTCTAAACGCTTAAAATAAGATTCTCTTACCAACAACATATATCAACACAACAAGCTCCAAGTATGTAGGTCCATTCCCTCGTTGTTTCATCAATTCCTGATCCAGGTCTTTCACCATCCACTCTGGACCAAACGTCTGGATCAACTGGACATCAACTCTTTGAGACACCAAGATTAGAATCACTGAAAAATGTTGATTACTTAAAAACTGTAAATACCATTCGTCTTTTCTAAAGCTCAAACTCTTTTGAATTAATAAACACAGTATTTCATTTTATATTCAACTAATTAAATAAATAAATTTACTTGTAATTATTGATCTATTTATATTTTTTTACTCACACAAAAAGAACAAATAGCTTGAAGCGTGTATCAAAAACTTCATGAAGGGTTTCCTCACTAATCTGCCGGTAGAGCAGTTAGGAGCTATCATATACATACAGCAATAAAACGGAAACATTAATGCCACTCTCATTATTATCATGATCTTTTCGAAGGCAGTCTTTCTACGGAACCCTGGTACACCGTCATACCAAATGGTTGCTAATAATTGCTGGATATTTGGATGGGCGACAAACTGTAACAACATTTTTGTTAAACTAAATATGATTAAAGCAATGATTTAAGATTTTAAATTGTTTTTTTACCTTTTTCTGCTTTAAGTTTATCGCCAATTCCAATCTGGCTAACTTCATATGCTCTCCTTCCTCAAAAGGCGCTTCTTCAGGGTCGTGGTTCAAAATAATTGCCAACTCCTTCGAACTCCTTGATTGATCCAACAAATCCACTGCAAACTGCTGCGCTTGCCGTCGAAGTTCTAAGTACTGTGATTTACTTTCCTAGAAATACGCATACGTATTCGCTCTTAGCATTTTACGTGAATTATCTACATCAAATACTATATTATTATCCGATACTTCATCAGCTTTACAGTTAGTCTATAGTCTAAGTACTCATTTAGTTTATACTCGTTTAACATATTTAATAAAGAACTTGCTGAGTATATTTTAAATAATAAATAATTAAAACTAATACAATACGTTAAATTAGTAATTAACTAGCTTTCCGCCCGCAGCTTCGCCGCGTGGAGTTCGGTTATATCGCGTTTCCAAGAGAACCTTTCAAAAGTCTGGGATAAAAACTATCCTATGTTCTTTCTCAAGGTCAACTCTATCTCTGTACCGAATTTCATTAAAATCAGTTCAGTGGTTTAGGCGTGAAAGCGTAGCAGACAGACAGACAGACAGACAGACAGACAGAGTTACTTTCGCATTTATAATATTAGTAGGGATATAGGAAAATGTCTCTTAGTTAAGCGATATTTTATTTCATTTTTGTTACAAGTGTAATGTCGAACTGTAAATTCTTAATTTTTTTGTTATAAGTGTAATTCTCATGTAAGTCTTAATAATTTCTTAATGGGGATAAAATATCTTAAACCATAAGTACCTGTTCTGCAAAAGCCAAATTTCGTAACTCCCAAGATAATTGAAAAGCAGTCAGTATAGGATCAGTTGCTGACAAAGCTATTAATGATGGTGACGCCAAAGCTCGGTAAGTGTTGAGTCTTGCTAGTGAGTGTCTCAGAGAATCATCCGAAGAATCTCTTATACAGATGTCACAGCCACACCTTTATAAGAGAATAAACATTAAGATGAACTTAAAACAAAACAGGGCAAAAAAATGCTTACAAATGATACAAATTGCCGTCTACTTTAAAATCTGTAAACTCATTTAATGTATTCAATACTAAACTATCGGAATATATTATACAAAACTACCCACTTGTAAATTGAATACATTAAATGAGTAAAACAACTCGTTATTGTAATTATATCTTAAGAAGGACATTTAATATTACTTGAATTTTTTGTTTCCATGTTAGTGACTTTGTGTCCTTTTTGGTAAATAAAGATCTCTTAACCTAACCTACATTGTCATTCAATTTTATCACTTCACCAATGATCATAATGCACTTTATTTAATAGGTAAATCTTAATTTAAACTTGTTAGGTTTCTATCAAATGATGTTAAGATTGATTAAATAGTTCGCAAAAAACTCTCCTATTCACAAATACACGGAAACTATTTACATTTTATATATCTAGTAAAAGAAATTTTATCCTTTCTGCACGCAAATAAGGAATGTACATTTAAAGATCTATCTCTGTACGCTTCTTTTATTATTGTTTCATTTTATATAATTTCTCAGTAAATGAAATGTATTTATTTCTTTTGAGGAATTAATAAGGTTCTTAAACCATAAAGATAATGTTTTCTATACATCTTTATGTATATATTACCGTATGTCATGAGGATCTGGTAACGTCGCACCACGATCAAGCAGCAGCTTGATTATTTCGTAGTTATTTTTGTGCGCTGCCAACATAAGCGGTGTTATATCGGGTGTGAACATAGCTGTATTTTGATCCACTTTCTGCCAACTCTGATTGACGACAAAAAATATATAAGCATACGTAAAATTGTATATAATTGTCATTTGTTTTTATTTCAACGGAAGATACAATCGTTTTTCAGGAGCAAAACTTACGTATGGTTCTGGATGCTTGTGAATTAATTCCTCGTGCTCCAATAATAGTTCCACCGCCTCAACAAATTCCGAGTTTATAGCTTGCAGCAACGCATCCTTGGTGGTAACTCCCATCACAATCAACAGTTCTACCATTTCAAGGTTCTCCCCTTCAATAGCCATGGTAAGAGCTCCTCTACCAAGAGCATCTACGCAGTTGATATCCATATTTTTCTTCCGATGAGCTTTTTGGAGCATTCTAGAAAAATATTTAATATATTATATAAAGGCGATTTATTTAAAGTAAACTTTTAAGAAGAATTTCCGTAGATTACCTTCTAACATTTGCCAAGTCTCCTCTTTCTACGGCCAGAAGATATTTCTTCTCCTCGAGCGTCAATTGTTTTGGTAGCGTCGGCAGGTTTGCAACCTGACGCGCTACTGTTAGACCACCCTGTATAAATTGCAATAATATAAATTGAACAAATTTTCATTGTATTTCGGGTTTATATCTTTCTATAAAAATATTTTTAGTACATTTTAAATGTAACACTAGGGAAAGTGCACTTCATAGATCGAGAAGCCTTTCTAGTACAACACGCGTTAGCAAAATTTTAATACGATTGTCTAAATATAGAATTATTTATCTTTGTCGATTTGCCAGTCTTAGTTTCTTGAATAAACATTTCAAAAAGTTTCGTCTTATTAGTCTTTTTCGTATTATTATTTTGAGATTAATTTATTCATCCCTTTTTTATAAAACCTACATTTAAATATATTTGAGTCATAATTAAATACTTACGCATTCCAAATCTTTTTTATCCATTGTGAATGATTTTTAATTTGCTGTCGTTCTAATCGGTCCCCACAAGCGAATTCTGTTATAAATATAAAACAATAAAAAACCATTACATTATATAAATTTTTATTAAGACTTAATATATGTACTTTAATTTGTAGAAGATATTTTTGTATTTACTAATACACAGATTAACGTTGTTTTGTGATTCCTCATGGCATCACCTATAAGTTAGCAGAAATTGCAATACAAAATATCTAACTTATATGAAGATTTGTTGCAAGAAACAAACAAGAAATATGTGAAAATTGTGCCTTTGACGTAAGTAATTATTATATTATGAACAATGGTTCCATAAAATTTCCAATTATTAATAAAATACATCATAACAACACTATGTCATTATTTAAAAATAAAATTAATATATTATTTAGAAAGACTTTTATAAGCAATACAGATAAACTAAACAAATTAAAATATTATTTCATTTAATGTAAGTACGTTAGGGCAAAACTTTTAATTATGAAAGTAGCCAGTAAAATTTTAAAAGTGAAAAGCTAAAGGCGTAAGCTCTGACAAAAGCTGAGAAGAGGTTGTTCTTGCAAATCATATTATGCACGGGAGTCTAACAAAGCGCCAATTAACTGAAAGCCAAAGCCGAAATACAGAATTCAAGTACAAATCTAATAAACCAGGTGCTACTGTATTGAATTATAACTACTATAAACTAAACTGGTTATTTATATAAAAATGTATATATATAAACTAAGATTAAAACAAAAGAAATGTAATATAGTTTAAAAACTTGGATATATAAAATTAAGTAATCAAGAAAGCGATATAATTTGACGAACAAATTAAATTTAACTATTTCAACAAATAACAAAGATGAATGCTACCTTATTACTTCCTAAATCGTCTTTATACATTTACATAAAAATTGCCATCACGTAATCAACAAATATAAATATTTAAACCAAACAAAAAAACTTAAACTATTATTATAATAAAATTAAGATTTAAGATAATTTAAGAAGTCTTTATAGGTTTAATAATGTGTAATTATCGAATATTTCATATCTTATTTACAACCTCTTTTCAAAATTTCACGACTTTCCTACACACAGTTTCTATTGTATTGTTTTTTATTTCATAAAAAAAATTAAAACAAAACAGCCTATCAGAGCCCACTGCTGAGAAAAGGCCTCTTTCTCACATAGACAAGGTTTGAGCATTAATCACCACGCTTGCTCAAGACGGGTTGGTGATTTCAAACTTATTATTGTGAAATTGTAAGTCTAGGTTTCCTCACGATGTTTTCTTTCTCCATCAAAACAAAACTACGGGTTTGTCTAAATCACAAAATTTGTAGTTTTGTTCAATATTTATTTCATTTTGTTTTATACACTCGGACACATGAGAGTTTAAAAGCGAATAGAACATCTATATACCTATATACAACTCACTATTGAAACTTTTTGTATTTCATGATGGTAAAAGACCCAGTTAGTGACACTTCTAACGTTATTTTAAATTTAAAATAAAAACATTTTATTAAATAGTTTTATATTTTTATTCAATTAAAATTAATTGTTTATGTGCCTACGTAATTTTACGTAATGCGTTTATGATCTTTTCTAAAAATTTTGAAATCTTTTATGGTGTAAAAAATATTTACTCCAATTAAATGTTATAATAATTAGTACATTATAACCTCTCACTCACTCTTAGAGTATCAGAAACTGGTCCTTTTACCCTATCTAAAAATTTGAAATGACAGTTCTACAGTTATTCTATCTTCACGTCAAATATTCTAGGCCTTCCCTTGTCAAAATCAAATTATGACATCCTCATTCAATAACTAGCTTATGATGCAAATTTTGTATGCAAATCATAGAAAAAATACAGTTATGACGTAGTTTAATTCTATTCAGTGTCCAATATAGCCAAACATATCAGCTAACGATAATTGAATTGTCTCTAATCCGACGAAATGGCTACCCATCGATCTCATAATAGGTTTCTAGGTGGCATAACTATGAATTGAAATCAACAATTTAACTATAAGAAAAAATACGTTTTCCTTTTTTCAACTGTATTTCATCAAAGCAAAACTTTTTCTATAACATAACTTTAACTTATAAGCAAAGAGTATATATATTTGAAATGTATAAAAAAAATAATATATATATTTCTATAGTCTGTGCTTTATGAAACTATTGAAACCAAATAATACCATCAATTTTTTTTCTATACTATTACTTTAACTTATAGCAAAGAGTATATATATTTGCAAGTTTATAAAAGAAAGATAATATATATTAATATAGTCTGTGCTTTATGAAACAATTAAAACCAAAAAATACTCACATCGCTCTGTGGCTGACACGATACTGTCACTTCTGGCAGCTACCATTATATATATTATAGTTTATAATTGAATTAAGTTTATTCGTAATTCACGTTCTTGGTGGTCTTTAAACGTGATGGTACCACGTTTTATAAGGTCGGACAATGACAGTTGTAAAGACGTAGGATTAGCAATGTAATATGATTTGTTTCCAACCCCGATACATTGTGTGTGATATTTTTACTTTTCCCTATGACGTTTTTATGTTAAAATAATTGAATTTACATGTTTCCTGATATTTTTAGTTGATATTTCAATAAATACAATTCGATTTAAATATGTACCAATTTTGATATTTTATTATTAACGACCATTTGAATAATGATATTTTAGCGAAGATAAAAGTATGATTTTTGTACAGGTTTCAAAATGTAGAAACTAATTTAAATAGCGCATATTCCTATTAAGATGTTGAATTACTAATGATATTGTAATATTTACAAATTTCAAATAATATTCTTATTAATTTTCTTATCCCAAAGAATTTAATACACGGTTAGTCAAGACAAATGTTTTGTAGATACATAATAGAATATAGAATTCAATCTTACTTTCAAATCACGGCGACATAATGCCTTCAATTGTTTATGTTAAGGAGAATGTTTTACTAAAATTATTATAATGCAAGCAATTTAAATAGCTGATAGGTATCCACCATATTCTTCTGACTGAGCAGATCATCTGTTTGAAGATATGTTTGAGTTCTACATTTTCTTAATAGAATAACAAAATATCTTCTATATATTATATGTATATATAAAAATGGATTGCTGTTCCTTAGTCTCGCTATAACTCGAGAACAGCTGAACGGATTTATTTTATCTTAGTCTTGAAATGTTCGTGAAGGTTCAGGGAAGGTATAAAAGCTGAAAAAAATTGACTCATTACTGGGAAAACCATAAAAACAGCCCTTTTCTATTTCCCATACTAACGTTTTATTTGACATTAGATTTGACAACTCACAACTAACTAATATGTCAATCATTCTATTCGATTGAAACAGGAGAAACCTGATTATTAATGGCTTCTAAAACGGAATAGAGTTCGCCCGGTCATCTATACATGTATTACTAATAACGAAACTAACGCGGATGGAGTCGCGGGCAAAAACTAGTCATAAATAAAGGTCACATTTTTCCATACGTTACTTAGGTTCTTTATAAACAATCACGTTGTCAATTTTTACCCATTGTATCTAAATATTAAATATATTATCACGTGAGTTTACTCTCAACTCCTCCATTTGGAGTCCTGTAGGCTAAAATAATGTGTTTTCTGATAAATACAGAGTAGTTATATTAATACGAAGTTTAATCCACATCAGTAGGAAAGTTTTTATAATAAGATCTAACACTTTCGCGAGTATTCATTTAAATGAAACTTATATTTTTCTGATTATACTACGCGTATTTTATTATTGTAAACACGACATACTCCCGACGTTTCGGTTACTTTGCAGCAACCGTGATCACGGTAGATAAGATGAGGACGGTTTTTGTCTAATTTAATACGTATACAAACACAATAATAAACTTCTGAATTTTTTATAATAAAAATATTTATATTAGGTCTATGTTGGGTCACCTAGGTCGAACTTGTCTACGCTGCTAATAATCTTATTACAAAGACAGAAGTTTATATATCCATATATATACATATTATAAATACCAAACAAAATAGGTATTGGGGTGTATGCCTTCTGTATCGAAAATTAAATTATAACTCCAGTAATATGAACACTTTTAGATTTAAATTTAGATAAAAAGATTTCGTTATTTAAATATTTTTTGACCACTATTTACTATTTAAATGACTTGTTTATTGCTTGAAAAGTTTATAAAATATAATGAAGATAAATACATTTGTGATTGAGGTATAATACTTTTTGTTCTGATATAAAACTTAACTCGAAATTAGATTCATTAAATAAAAAAAACGAAATTCGCTATAGTGTTCTAAAGTCTAAACGCGCCGTTTTGATTCTTATGCGACTGTAACATTTGTACAACTGAAATGAATTGAATTATTTTACTAGGTATATCAAAATTAATCAATTAGTGTTTACCTAGATAGAAAATTTAATAAATTCACATAAGATAAAGATAATTTTTCTTTTACTTTTTTTTTGTGAGACACATTTGACCAAAAAAAGACGGTAGCATTTCACAAAATACTTATATGTTGTTTACATAATTTCGATTCTTTTTACAAAATGATTTTACATTATTCTATAAAAATCAACTAAAATAATAATTAGAATAGAGACAATATTTTAAACTCTAAATCTAATCTAATCTTCTTCTTCTATATATATAAAAATGGATTGCGGTTCCTTAGTCTCGCTAAAACTCGAGAACGGCTGAACCGATTTGGCTAATTTTAGTCTTGAAATACTCCTGGAAGTCCAGGGAAGGTTTAAAAGGTGAGAAAAATTGGAATAATTGCTGGGAAAATCCTAAAAACAGCCCTTTTCTATTTGACATACAAACGTTTTTTTGAAATTAGATTTGACAACTAACTACCTATTAGTCTGTTTGATTGAAACAGGAAAAACCTGATTATTTATGGCCTCTAAGACGGAATAGAGTTCGCCTGGTCAGCTATACCTACATATATTACTCTTGACCAAACTAAAGCGGACGAAGTCGCGGGCAAAAACTAGTGGGATATAAAGATTTAGTCATACATAGGATCTGTTGAAAACAACAGAAAATAATAATTAATTAGGACAAACCGCGCTTTCGAGCGGCTCGTTTTTATAATCCATTTTATATTTGTCTGTTACTGTGACGATAAAGTTTATTGTTTTGGCTTTATTGATACTTCACTCGTTTCAACGTTGCAATCTTTTAGCGTTATCAACACAAATACGAGTTTACATTCACACAATTAAATGAATGCCCAATTTTTCTACAAAACATATTGTAAAACTCACTTATAAAGGAAAATTGGTATATTCCTTATATACCAATTTTCCTTATACAAATATTCTTCATGATTATCACTAATTTGAAGTTAGTAAATTTGTTTGAACATTGTACGTACATACTGTTATTATAATTGTCATTTTTTACTAAAAGAATCATTCGTTTGATATAATCTGGATGTTAATAAAGTTTACATTAGCGACAGGTTTTTCTTGAGAGTCCTAGGTGTTTGTCCGAAAAATTTAATGGAGAAATTCGTTTAAATTTAGTTTTAATTATTAGGTACTCTTAGATTTCATCAACCCCACTGGATGCTATTTGTAGATATTTAACAAAAAAGAGTAATCAGATTATATCAGATATGGCGTAGATTAGATAATGAAGAAAGAAGTAAAATGGAATTTTGTGTAACTTCCTGATAAGAACCAACTCAGATTTGTAAATCTCAATCCTTAGTAGTCCGGTCAAATTAGACATTCGAAGTTACCTAAATTTTTACCAAACTGAAAATCGGTAAGATTGTTTAAAATATCATTAAAAACAAAATTTGAAAGTTCCCCATCTTGCCCCTATGAGGAAAAAAATTTATTAAAGGTCAAGAAACAAATTTTTTTAAAGGTATTTATTAAAGGTAAACAAAATGAGTTTTTCGCGATTTTCAGCAAAACGGTAAGTTTTATCATAAAAATATCTCAGACAAAAATTTCTTTTTCTACGAGCCACCGTTTTTGAGATATAACGATTCAAAAAGTTGTAAAAGTTGTAATCGTCATAATATGCACACTTTCCCTCGCCACCTACGAGGTAGTATACATACTTCCCGCGTTTTTTTGTGGTTTCCCCATTAGGCCTATTCCACAGGTCAGTTTTGATCTTGTTTTATTTGAAACTATTGAAAAATAATGGACATTAGCAGATATTGAAAAGATAAAAGCAATTTAATTTTAAAAAGTAGTGAAATTTAATCGTCTGAGTCGTAACTTTCAAAAACTTCTTCTTGTTCTTCTTGATCATCATCCTGAGTGGACGTTAAATGGGTTAATAGCGATTTATCGCATGTTGCCTCGTTGGAGTCAAACGGATCCTCTACTGTTGGTGATTCAATATTAGAGTACAGACGACCTTGACAATGTGTACATGCTGGAAAACAAGTTATATCTCAAAAACGGTGGCTCGTAGAAAAAAAAAGTATTAATTAATTCTTTGTAGATAATTTTATGCTCTACAATTTCGTCTCAAATGTTTTGCTGAAAATCGTGAAAAACTCATTTTTTTGCCTTTGACCTTGAATAAAAAATTTTCCTTACAGCGGAAAGATGGGGAACTTTCAAATTTTGTTTTTAATGATATTTTTAACAAACATACCGATTTTCAGCTTGGTGGGAATTTAGGTAACTTTACTTTTATTTTTTCGTCTAATTTGACCATACTATTAGTCTGAGTTAGCAACTTCACGCTGCTGAGTGGTACTTAGAGATCCACTGATTATTTTAGGGCGTATTAGGGGGATGACGACATACCAGGCGTTTCACTCCTTGAATCAGAAGAAAGCAATCGCGAAATAATAAATTATCAGCACCGTATATACAGCCACTTTAAAATATCTCCTCCTTTTTGTCCAGACAGTTCCTCATATAAATTAGTATTTTATAAAAGTCAAACACCTTCAATCTTCAACATTCGATATTTTTAAACCCTATAGAATATCGTTTCTTTATATTTCTCACATCTATATTCTCATGTATAGAATTACAGAGTTATCAATTTGCTTTAACATAACAACTAAGTATGAATATTTTACTATAATTTTCAAGGTCAAAAAAATATTTTGCTATCTTCATATCGGACCTTAACTTTTTTTATATAGGAACCTATAGCCTGAAAGGCCAGTCCTAAATAATTTTATTAAGTAAAAGTTTTTAAAATAAAACAATAATGTAAAAAATGTAAACTTTATTTATTCCATTCCTATAACACCCAATATTATACTAACTTGACTAGTGAATTTCGATATGTGGTTATTTTACAAAAAAAAAAAATAAACAAAAAATCATTGTACATAATATATGACACAATTCCATAGTTAAATACAAAAACAAAAACATTTATTAAATGATTTATAGTTATTATAATAAAATTTCCTTCAAATACACCACCATTTTTATGTAAAATCACTACACATATAAAAATTATATTAAAAAAAACTGCCAAATTAGAATAAAACAATACTTTAGATAAAATAAACATTACAGTAAAATCACAACAACAGCTAAGAACTACAATATATCTCAAGTCTTAACTCTAAACAATTTTACAACTACCTTGCACTCAGTTACTCTGTACAGAATGTACAACTACCCTTAATAAAAAAATTATTACACATACATACTGCAAAAAACATTACAAATGACGCTAAGTAAAAAAGCTAATATTAATACATATCAAAATCTAATAAAATCGTTGTTAATGAGGTATTATTTGAACTAAATTAAAATTTGACACTCTTTAAACAGACTGACTGGGGGGGGGGGGGGGGGGGGGTACGTTGATAAAACTGAACTAAAACACACTAATACATATATATATATATATATATATATATATATATATATATATATATATATATATATATATATATATATATATATACTTATTTATAACTTTAGTATATCACACTGACAGACAAACACTCAATAATATAAGTGAAAGAAAATATATATAATTCATATATTTAAAAATTATTGCTACATACAGTGGAATAATAAAGTCGATATATAAAAAATCATATAGCAATTAACATTAATTTGAATTAATTAATTATTAATTATTTTAAATGCAAACATATAAATAGTTTGATGACATCAAACTATGAGATATATTCTACCTAAAACATATACAAGCAAATTTAATTTGGACGGCCGCTACTACAATATATACATTAATAACATTTTAAAGGAAAAACAAATGAAAATCAAATTTTTTAATTCTGAATTTCAATGTTCTTAAAGCCGTTATAATAGCTTTTTGAAAACTATAGCATTCAGATTGATATTATGTAATATTATATCAACGTTCTTATTTAGTCATCAAAATTATAATATTTTAAAAGAGTTATGTAGTATTATGATTTTTTTTATTTTCTTTATATTAATATGTATTTCTTTGACTGTAATGCCATTTTGACGTATAACATTTCAAAGTTGACGTTTATTATTTTTTATTAATAGTTTATCAAATGCAAATTTACAATCTTATTTTTTTAATAATAAAAGAAAAGCAAAAGTATTAAAATTTGTCTCATTCGCGCTTACACGTGTATTATAAGTACTTGAAAAACTTGTAATGAACCAATAATGAAAATTATTTTTTGAATGATACACTCTTAATGGTAAAACTCTGATAACTGACAGATAAACGATAAGGACAAAGTCAGAAATGATGTTACTTATTAATTTACTATAACGGAGATGTGGATAATATAAAATAAATAAATAAAATGTCTTAAAACTTAACCAGTATAAAAAAAATCAATTACAAATATATATCACTTAGAATATTATTAAAAATTACAACAGGCAATTTTACGTATAAACTCAATGAATAATTACTAATAAATGTTGTATAGAAAAAAAAACTTTGAAATCAAAACTAACTATAATATTTTTTTTATTCTCGTTTACGTATTTTATCTGTGACTCGAAACAGTTTGAAAAAGGAATAACAATAAAACCGAACAAATAAAACCGAATAACAGTTGCATTAAAAAAGTATATACCAAAGAGTTTTGTTTTGTTTACTTCAAATCTTCCTCTTCGTTGTCAGCATACAACAAATCCTCCATTTTAGTTAAAAACTTGTTATCGAGAAGCTGATCCTCAGGAATTGGTTTCTAAAAATATAAAAATAATTATAAAACATATGCAAAATCATCATTATTATCTTCTAAATACAATAATCAAGTGTTACAATACAGTATCATACACAAAAATACTGTTCTAAATATTTTTTTCCTGTTATGAAATAAATTCAAACTTTTACAACTATGAAATAAAACCTTTTAAAACTTAAGAAACTTTATAAAAGTAAGCAAAATAGTTTAATAGTTTACATTACAATGCTCAACTTTAGCGACAATACAAGTTTTAAAAATTCAATATTAACAAAGTAACAAAAAAATATTATTACTACAAAATAAATTCAAATTATATTAGAACTCACCAGACATAATATTTAAACAACCAACAAATAATTAAAGGAAAATGATTTTAAAATGATTTATTAACAAATAGAAAGAAATGTCTGCATACAATAAACTTCCACAGTAATATTTGTCAACAATAGTTATAGAAAAATTACATATACTCTCATAAAATCATGTATAATTTTTTTTCAATATGTATTAAAACAGATACCAAAAAGTTCACAAGCATGATTAATTTAAAAAAATGCAAAAATCTATTTGTCTATTATATTTTGTTTATTTTTTTCTCTAAAACCGTCTCGGCATTGACCAGTACTTATTATTCTGAGTGTCGAGATATGTCTAGAGGAAGAAATATATTTATTAAGTACTTTCACTATAAAATAACATTTAAATTCACTATAAAATAACATTATACAGGGTGACTGGTGAATTACTATCGATATTTGAGGACGTGATATTTGACGATCATATATGACAAAATAAAAATTAATATAACATAAATATTAATAAACTTCTAAGTAAAGTTAACCAAAAGTTATGTACCTAATTAATTACGCATCGTATGAACACCCTACAGATTAGGTATACACACACACTCACACAGACGCGGCGGCGGCGTGGTGTTGTATCAGCACGCCGCCGCACGCGTTCATACTTGGAACACTTGGAACGTATCCACGCTTTATTTATTTATACGGAAATTTGGTCAAAAATTAAGTACCTATTTTTTTTACATAATTCGAATCAGAATCATGTACCGAGTATTCTCCTTAAATATTGATAGTAATTCACCAGTCACCCTGTATATTAGAACTATTTTTTGTAGACAAAAATATCTTCCAATGTAAAAAAATGATCTCAGTATTGTAATATTTTTTAGTAATCGCTACTAATATTATAAATGCGAAAGTAACTCTGTCTGTCTGTCTGTTTCGCTTTCACGCCTAAACCACTGAACTGATTTTAATGAAATTTGGTACAGAGATAGAGTTGATCTTGAGAAAGAACATAGGATAGTTTTTATCCCAGACTTTTGAAAGGTTCTGTTGGAAACGCGATATAAACGAACTCCACGCGGGCGAAGCTGCGGGCGGGTAGCTAGTCATATTATAAATAAAAACAGAGCCCTAATAAGGAATTGGACACATTTAATTATCAAATGAGAATTATTAGTATTATTTCCTAGCTGTATAATCAAACATACATACACATACATATATGTTTGTTGTATATATGTGTATATGTGTGTGTGTGTGTGTGTGTATTACAAGTAATACATACCACTCCATCAACTTTAGGAAACGGTGACAGACAGACAATAACAACGGTCATGTTATCACAGCCCAGGCCTCCGGTAGCACAGTTTGGTGCGAGACACAACTGCATTAGGGCTTCACAGACTGTACTCGGCTCCCAGCCGGATAAGAGTCGAACACGACAGAATGATAACACTTCCTGTTGAAATATATTAAATATAGACATCTGCCTACATTAATATATTTATATATGTATAAAAATAGCAATTTATGTTTTTAAACTCAAAACAAAAAACCAATTTCAAATGTCTCACATAAATATCATAAATGTATAAAATATAGTTTCAATGTAGTTTTGGCTTATTTAATAATAATCCTCATTAATAGTTCCAATATTTAATTATCACCTAACCTAATTGAGATATCTCAGAAAAGTAATTAGTATACTAGCACAAGCATATATAGGCAACAGACTAATAAATTGATGAATTAAATGAGGCCAATCCAAAAAGTTTGTATATAATATACTAATTATTAATTTACCTCATTTGATAGAACCTCCCAAATACCATCGCATGCAATCACTATGAATTCCCAATCATCAGTCAATTGTCGAACTTGAACATCCGGGTACGCTGAAACAAATACATTATTTATTAATTATATTTCATTATGATAATAATAAAAACAGAATCTTCAGTACTTGTATGAGAATATAGTTATATTAGTAAATAAATTAAAGTATGACTATTTTGCAATATGGACATAGGCTGAAAATGAACATATTGGGCCCTATCTATGTTAAAAAAAAACATACACAAATTGTCATTTTATTGGAAAAAAAATTTTGAAGCTAACAAATAAGATCAACTATATTTTTCTACTTATTAAGTCAGTGGTGGCCTAGTGGTTAAAAGGCCCGCCTCTCATGCACTAGAGCGCGGATTCGATCCTGGCCCTGACAAGTACCAGTGTGATTTTTCTGAGTCATATGTACTTTCTAAGAGTATTTAGATATCACTGATTAATGCATTCCCAAAAGAGGGTTGATGTCAGGCAGGCGGCCGGTCGTAAAAACAATTAGCCAAACTATTCACTACATGTAAGGCAGACCCTGGCTAAACTGGGATATTGCCAGGTAGAAGAAGAAGATTTTTCTACTCATTATTGGTACTTAATTACTATTTATGAGCATAAGAGGTCAATACTAAATGGTTATAATAATAAATCATTAATTACCAGTTACTATTTGATCTCTAGGTGATAGTCTGTAATTCCTCTTGAATATGTAATCTCCCAATGCCCTAGATAAAGCCAGATTTCCATTGACCCTATTAAGTTGCACCCAACCACCGCCGGCTTGAATGCGTTCCAGTTCTTCCTTATTATTCGGCTTGTGATCATAGGATAGTACTTCCACCTACATAATGAAAAATAAAAGTTTTAAATAAAGATATCTAAGATTTTTGCTAGTTTTATTCATTTAAATGAAATTTAACCGTGATCATTGTTGCTGAAAAGTAGCCGAAACGTCGGGTGTATTGTATGTAATTTTTTGCAAAAATATAATCGCTTAGTATATCCGAAAAATATTAGTTTCATTTTAAATGAAAAAGGTTATATGTATAATTGGCACTATGAGATGCTCCAGTTCAAATTACAGATGACATAACATTATTGCAATTATTAAATAATTACACTGTATAAACTAGAGATGAAAAAAAACTCAATCAAATCAGATTTAAACTTAAAACGAATCCCAGACAGACATAAAATTAACAAATACAGAATATAACTTAAAGTTCATGAAGAATAGTTAAGGAAATTATTAAAATATGCTTTTTAATATTAATATATTTACTTGTTTATTGTTTAAATGTTATTAATATAAATTAATTAATTAAATACTCACAGCCCCGCTAACACTAGCTATGGCCCTTGAATCTCCAACATTAGCACAATATAAAGTGTTATCTTTTATTAAAACCACTACAGCGGTGCTACCAGCCACCTTCTCTTTCATACAGTTCTCTTCCAACATAGCTTGGTCTAGATCGAGGAAACCCTGGAATTATAACAATATATGAAATACATATAATCTTCTATATATATAAAAATGGATTGCTGTTCCTTAGTCTCGCTAAAACTCGAGAACGACTGAACGCATTTATCTTATCTTAGTCTTGAAATGTTCATGGAGGTTCAGGGAAGGTATAAAAGGTGAGAAAAATTGGTTCATTTCCGGGAAAACCCTAAAAACAGCCCTTTTCTATTTCCCATACAAATGTTTTCTTTGACATTAGATTTGACAACTAACTAATATGTCAATCATTCTGTTCAATTGAAACAGGAAAAACCTGATTATTAATGGCCTCTAGGACGGAATAGAGTTCGCCTGGTCAGCTATACATATATTACTAATGATGAAATTAACGCGGACGAAGTCGCGGGCAAAAACTAGTATAAAATATCTTTACACCTGGCTAATCTTAAATATCCTTACTAATAAATGCGAAAGTAACTCTGTCTGACTGTCTGTTACGCTCACGCCTAAACCACTGAACTGATTTTAATGAAATTTGGTACAGACAGAGTTGACCTTGAGAAAGAACATAGGATAGTTTTCATCCCAGACTTTTGAAAGGTTCTGTTGGAAACGCGATATAACCGAAGTCCACGCGGGCGAAGCTGTAGGCGGAAAGCTAGTAAGCCCATATATTGAGGATAATATTATGTTATTATACAGCTGCGTGCAAAAGTATTAGGCACCCCTATTGTTAGTCACTATCTCATTATATTGCGGTCAAGTCTGTGTTTTATGGTTTAGCTATTGTATTAGCGGCAATTTTTAACCAAATTAAGATAAAAGAAAATATTTATGACATCCAGGTGTGCTCCTAAGCGGTGTTTCTTCGAATTTGCTTTTTTTGCGTTTCGGGTCATAGTGTGTTATCAGTGCTTGCAGTGAACATACACGTCTTCTACGCAACTATTCCTATCACAATTCTAAAGACTAACATTTAACGTGTTAGTCATGCCGAAAAAATCTGAACTTAGTGCTGAACAGCGTCTAAGAATTAAGATTTTACTTGAACAAGGCATGTCTCAGGTTAAAATAGCCCGAGAAGTGAAGTGCTCGCGATGTGCAGTTCAATATGCTATAAATCGCTTCAAAGAGACTGGCACCCATGAAAATAGACCAAGAACAGGCAGAAGAAAAGTTACTACTGAACGGGAAGATCGATTGTTGATTAGGCAGTCTCTACAAAACAGGAAAAAAACTGCTTTAGAGCTCGCTGCAGCATTATCTGAGGCAAAAGGCAGCTCAGTGAGTGTTTATACTGTGAGAAGAAGACTTCTTGAAGCTGGATTAAAAGGATGTAAAGCAAGGAAGAAGCCGTGGCTGTCAGAACACAATAAGAAAAATCGGTTGGAGTGGGCACTCAAACATAGAGATTGGTCAGTGGAAGATTGGTCCAACATACTGTGGTCAGACGAATCTAACTTTGAGGTATTGTTATTTATTTTATGTACAATATTAAAACACATAAATATTTTTAAAATAACGTACTGCAAGAAAAATAATAACTTTGAAAATAAATGTGTTTTTTTCGTTTGGCATAGGTCTTTGGAACACCCGGTGTGACTTATGTTAGGCGAAGGGTTGGCGAAGAATACAACCCAGAATGTGTGGTTCCCACTGTTAAGCATGGTGGAGGCTCAATAATGATCTGGGGCTGCATGGCTGCCGACGGAGTGGGCGAAATGGTGTTGTGTGAGGGACGAATGAATAGTGTTAAATACACTGAAGTTCTGGAAACAGCACTAGCAACGTCGATAACGCAAATTTTCGGTGATACAAACACCGATGGCCTGAAATTTCAGCAAGACAACGCCACTTGCCACAAGTCCGCGCATACCATGAAGTGGTTTGCTGAAAATCATATTGATCTTTTGGACTGGCCACCACAATCACCAGACCTCAACCCGATTGAGCATATTTGGTCCATTTTAAAGAAAAATATCCGCAGGCACTCGATTAGCAATAAACAAGCTCTATTGGCCGCGTTACAGCAGGAATGGAAAAATATATCAAGAGAAGAATGTTTCAGGCTGGTAGAGTCAATGCCAAAAAGAGTGGCTGCGGTTATTAAGTCAAAAGGTGGACCTACAAAATATTAATTATTTTCTTAAAATAAACCATTGTAATCATAAATGCAGTTTTATTTACACTCGCTATGCTAAAACACCCTAAAACTTGTCTTACTGTAGGGTGCCTAATACTTTTGCCCGTGGCTGTATATTGTTTTGTAATGACAGGCAGTGAAGGAGCACATCTTGAGGAAACCTAGACTTATAATTTCACAATAATTATAAGTTTGAAATCACCAACCCATCTTGAACAAGCGTGGTGATTAATGCTCAAACCTTCTCCATGAGAAGAGGCCTTTGCTCAGCAGTGGGCTCTGATAGGCTGATGATGATATATTGTCTTTATAATATATCTTATATGTATAGTCATTAGTTATCCTAATAATATTTTTCCTTACCTGTTTGAGTGCTTCTTCAATATTCCCCAAATGGTATTCCGGTCTCGCTGTTATAAACTTGTGTAGATGTTTGCCGGCATACTCAGCTATGTTTGCACCTGAATAAAATAAAAACATTTATATCATATTCCTTGTACTAAAAGCCACATAGTAAAATAAGAGTATCTTTACTATAATTTAGCATACACTAGATATGGAGCGTTAAAAGACGAAACCTCTTAGTATTCAATGTGCGGGTGCCGGGTCTATTGTTGTAGGGAGAGGAGCTTCAACAGTGACTGGGACTTGCGACCCAGGTGTAGGTTTAAGGGACCCCTATCTAACGCGCGTTTGTCATTCGTATATATTCTTAAATTATAGTATTGACATAGATTATTGAATGAGAAGCGAGAAACTCTTCATATGTAGTGTTAGACCAACTTAGACTATAATTAGTTAATATTAAGGGTGTGAGTAAGTTCAAATCGTCGGCTAGTGCTCTCTTTTCGACCGTTTGTGCATTATCATGTATGATGTCATAACAGTGGGGAGGTAGGGGTGATGAAATTTAAGTAAAGGAATTTATAAGATATCCTTCAATGAAAAATTATTTTAGTTGTAAGATAATGAAAAAAATAACATAATATGCCTTTCCAAATCAGTCAATATCCAATTCAAAACTGTCATTAACATTTCTATTTTATATCAAAATATCAAATAAGATTTTTTTTTGAACAAAAATAAAGATTATTACATTTTCTTATATGTTTTATGAAATAATTTCCCTCAGCTGTTTCAAATATCATAAATGAAAACCTATCAAAAACAGGTAATCTTAAATTTGATTCCCTTACAATATAAAAGCAAAGTTATTACTCACCTCCATGGCCGTCATAAACAGCAAAGAAAGCTGTTCCCGGATCATCGGGCAACGACAATATCTGAGTGTGGGAATCATCCATAGAGACCCTCCATCCTTGCATGCATGACGAGCCCACCAGGTAATGTGTATCTTGACATGTAGATGATTGCTTATCCGTTACAGGCTCTGATAGTGTTTGCCCCATTACTCTACTAATAATAATCTTTGTTAGATATGCTAATTATATTATTGATTAAAAATGAAAAGTACTAATTTGGACAGACCTAAATTTAATATTGACTTCAGAACTGTACTTAATGGTTTAAGATAGAATACTAATATCATAAATTAAATGATTCAAATAGTCCTGTTTATGGATGTATAGAAAAATTAAACAATAGCCCCTATAGCCCCCACAACTTATTCAATTTTAAATTAAAAACTAAACTATTAAAAACATAAAAAAAATCCAATGTTTTTCAAGTAAAAGTGTAAACAAATAATAAATGTATGACACTTCTATTTATAAGTCAAATTTGATTAAAAAATCTGATATATGACGTAAAATAATTTGATGAGCAATCAAAAACAGACTTAAGATATTTATTTTCTTAAGAAACTATTTATAAAGGCAAAATATAAAGCTGATATCATAAGGAGCGGCAATCTTATTAATTATGAAGCTAATAATAACTGAATAATTTCGATGGAAGCGGTTTTCTAAAAGAAATATACCGGATACATGAACCGCCAATCATGAGTAATACCTGATGTCATGACCAATAGTCTAAATCGCAATTGCATAACAAAATCAATTAGAAATGCTATTGGAAAAATACAAATCTTTTATATTTATCAGATACTTGAATAAATAAAGTCGTGTTGTACAATAATATGATAAAAATAAGATAAGTAAAACGATTTAATAATGTACTTTTAGCTATGTAATGTTAGCTCTGTCGAATAAAAAAGATTCTTTACTTACAGGAATAGAAAATCCTTTGTGGGATGTTTTATGGTAAAATATGTAAATCTTAGTAATATTATGAAATTCAATTATTAGAGACAATTTATAGAAGCCTCAAAGTGCGTAAGTAAACAGTGTACTACTGTCAACTTATGGAACGTCAAATATAAACAAACAATTGCCACTGTCAAAATACGAACAGACATTTCTAGTAATGCTTTAAGGGAATATTATTAAATTGTTATTAGGTACATACAATTAAAACTAACTTAACTTTTTTAAATCGATTAATATTTCTAAAAATCTACTTTTTAAAAAATATTTATAATTGTATATGATTAAGAAAAATAACCTTATTATTCTCGAAGCTGCCAACATGTTTACAACATTTGATGATATCATTAATTTAATTTAAAGCACTTTGATTTTACATCCGTTAAATACATATGAAAGCTTAAGCACATGATCTAAAGTCATCTGATAATTTTGAGGTTTTTAACAAGAAATTCAAGTTTTCATTGTCATTTATCAATAATAGACTATATGAACACAAGTATGTGTAGGCTGCCAGTACTCAATTTAAAGCAAGAAAAACGTTAGCATGGTATTGTAAATATTTTAAGAATGAATCGTGAAATATATTCTTATCAAATCAAATATACGTTATATTTATAAAAAATTTATTATGATTTACTATAATATCATAATTAATAATATTTAAATCAGAGGCAGATTTTTCTAATGACCTACAATAGAAAGATGTGCAATCTTAGATATGCAATAATTAAGTGCAGCAGCATTACATGAAAATAACACAAATAAAAAAGTTAATTGTCGCGAAAGCCATTTCGCTGAAAAAGTAAAAATTCGTAATACCAGCCATACACGCTACGCTACTGAAAAGGTAATCTGTACAGGTATGCCTGCGCAAGTAAACCGAGCAATGGTAAAGTGAATGGGAACGTTCCAGTATAGGTGGTGTTAGCATTGGTTATTGCAAAGGAAAACTTATAGCCATGTTAATTTATTAAATGAATTGAAATTAGAACCAGATGATTTTAAAAGCTATCTTCGAAAGGACGAGAAAACAGTTTTTGTCTCGATTATTGTATCTTTGTTTTTATTTTGCCAAAAACATGGATTAATTCTATAAATTTCGATAAAAGGTCTATTCCCACACATATGTATGCCGGTCCACCTGCACAGGTTGACCTCTCCTGTACACCGTAGCGTGTATGGCCGGCATAATGTTAGAATGAAAACAGACAGGAGTAGATATTGATTTAAAGGAATTTGTAGTGTTTCTATAAGACAAACATTATTAATATTTCTTACAAATCACAGTTGATTGCCTGCATCTGTTCGAGCAGCACGGGTTTCCTATCGCTCTGTCTCTTTTTATCTCCTACCAAAGCGTTAAACATTTAAGTCAACCTTTTTATAACTCCCATAAGAAGTTATATTTTAAAATTCCGTTATTATTATATTACCAACCAGACTTTTATATCAATAGAATATTAAGTATGTAACATTAAGTCACTAGGCAAACAGTTTTCATTGATTTCTGAAAAATTATATTTTTGTGACTTAGAAGGTTTTTGAAATGACCGATTCAATTATGTTACATAATATTCTCTTCTTCTTCTACCTGGCAATTTCCCAGCTTTAGCTTTAGCTTTGTCTTACATGTTGTGAATAGTTTTGACTAATTGTTTTACGACCAGCCGCCTGCCTGACATCAAATCTCTTTAAGAATGCATTTATCAGTGATGTCTAAATACTTTTAGAAAGTACATATGACTCGGAAAAATCACATTGGCACTTGCCAGGATCGAACAAGCGCCCTCGGCAACGAAAGGTGGGCCCTTTAACCACTAGGCCACCTCTGACTATTTATTTTTATTGATGGGCACTTTCAAATCATAGGCTTTGGTTGATGGAAGTGAAACAGAAGTTGTTATTTTCTTTAATAATGAGAATTAATGTTCAATCAATCCATGAATATATTCCACGGCTATGATAGTTCCTTTTCTATTTGAATCATACTGAAAACTCATGTATATCGAAGGTGCAAATGACTTTTTCTGGTACTTTGGGACTTTTTTCCATAAGATTCAGAACATATTTTTTTGTACAAATTTGGTCAGTTCAAGTTAGTGGTGGCCTAGTGGTTTAAGTGACTGCCTCTCGTGCACAAGGGCGCGATTCGATCCTGGCAAGTACCAATGTGATTTTTCCGAGTCATATGTACTTTCTAAGAGTGTTTAGACACCACTGACAGACGGTAAAGGAAAACATCGTGAGGAAACCTGGACTTATAATTTCAGATTATAAGTTTGAAATCACCAACCCGTCTTGAGTAAGCGTGGTGATTAATGCTCAAATCTTCTCCATGTGAGAAAAAGGCCTGTCAGCAGTGGGCTCTGATAGGCTGATGACTTCAGTTTTTACTTTTATGACTGGAAACGTTGAGCTGGGGTTCGAAACCAAATCAATGTATTCCCTGGGACGTAGATACGATCGTGCTTTCAAACATTTTTTTTATAACTCCAAAATCACGGTCATTTGGTAAGAAGGAATGACCATGTATGGTAAAACAATGATAAATTTTTCCGAATCTTTTAGAGTCAATCAAAGCTAACATAAGTCTCAACAAGATACTATTTTTATTTTGGCCAGGATAGCCGTCGGGAAATAGATATAAATACTTAATAATTCGCCCAACATTATTTTGGATATAATGTATCACATTGAACAAACGTCATTGGCTCGTGAAACATTTAAAATGTCGATGTTATTGTTTTTAAATCTTTAATACCGAAACGTGAACCCATAATTGGGTTTTTGAATTATTTTTTTTTTTGTGATAAATGGAAAGATCATATATAAGTTTAATAACAAAACTATTTTTATTTTATTTTTTTTTTTGCAATATTTAAAAAGTTATTTCAAAATAAAAATTAAATTTTAAATTCAGTACCGAAGACAAGCCGACAGCTCGTGAATAAACCCGAGCGCGTGTGACGTCACAATGTTAGTTTTTGCTCATTGTAGCATACAGAGATATAATAATTAGTACAGTGTTTTGAGTTTTTATCTAGTAAATTCTGTTGGCATTGTTAAATAATCAAAAGTTTTGTACCATTATGTACAAAGACTACAAAAACAACTCCTGAAAAAATGTTTTTAAATGTTCCACAAGACGAAAAACGTCGAAAGAAATGGTTTCAAGCAGTGCATCGAGATTATTCAAAAACAAAATCATTTTTTTTTGTTGTGAAGATCATTTCGTTGTAAGTTTTCATAATAGTATTGTTATTAATTATTATTTATCTAAGTGTATAAATCGAATAAGTATAGTTCAATAATTAATTTTTTTACCTGGGCTCCAAATCATAACCTTTAGAATCGTAGCATTAAAAAATTTTAATTGATAATTCAAAGCGATTAAATAGTAAATCTATATATATGTTTGTCTAATAATTGGACTTCAATTAATAGATATTTTCATAATTTTATAACATTCTAGGTTCTGTATCAGACTACATTTAAATTTTTAAAGTACATATATGTTATTTTGGTTTTTTTTTATAATGTTATAATAACATTTTATTAATAATGATTTAATGAAATAATTATTAATTATATTTAATAGAGAATAAATACTAATTTTCATTTAGAATAGTATTTTTTGACAGACTTACCTTGATGTCTTAGCATCTCGAACTTCAGCAAAATTAAACCGCACTTTTTAAAAAAATTAGTTATCATAAAAATATATTAACATCAGGAATATTATCCGATTTTGCTTTTATAAATCCTTTATCACACATAGTCGAAATAAACTTTTCAAATCGTTTTTCACTAATAAATTTGAGATATTTTTATCAAGTTAAAGATAATAGCCATAAACACTGTACTATTATGAAATTGCTTTAACATTATGACGTCACAAGTATGCTGACCAATCATGGCGCGTTTACAGTCACGTGATATATTTTTGAATTTTATCAATTTTTAATTGTTTATAATTAATTTAAAAAATATATTTCAAGTTTTTTGCATTAAAAATCCAATATAATTAATAATAAAGTTTTAAAATACATAAAAAAAATCAATACTTTTTTTTTTTTCAAAAACCCAATTACCGTAAATAAAAAAAAATTGTATGGGTATGTGAGGCAATGGTAGATTTTGCATGTTTTACATGTTTTTATATTTAGACTTAAGTGGTTTTTGAAATGGTCGATTCAATTATAGAAACACCTCTAACTGAAAAATACTATAATATTCACTTTTCAAGAAAACGTTTACCGTATTATAAAAAGAAATACTCAAATTTACAAAAAAAACACTTAATATGTCCAAAAAATATATTTTCCTTTCCTTCGATATAATTATTTAAAAATTAAATAACATTAAAACCTCTTTGCTGGTTTTGACTGTATGTCGTCATGTGTTTGTCAATACATCTCAATTTATAGGTCCAGAGAACAAATACTATTTAACATATTCAAAGCGTAACGTATGGCGCTGATTCGAATCGATCCATTATGGCGTCATATTTAAGCGCTGAAGCAAATCGTAGCATCTATTGCATAATAAGAATCAGACGTTTACATAATTTAAATATATAAAACAAATATAAAGTCGTACTATTCTATAATATTAAAAAAATATGTGTTATTTTTTTATCTGTGAGTGATAAAAAATTTGTTTCTATTTATATACTAGTTTCAACCAGACTTTTGTTATGTTCAGTAATGTTTTAAATATTGAGTATTTTTATAATAATTCATAGATAAACAAGCGGAAAATTTCTTGGTTTCTTATAACTACAGTATTTTAGCTTTAAAGAGTTAATAATTTTGGTTATCGTTTAATTAAATTGTAACCGGTTCTGTTCAAGAAGCTCCGATAATTATTTTTTTTATGTATAAGAATCCTCAGTTTGTTTTTAGCCAGTGTACTATCTTTGAATTGGTCTTTTTAAATAAAAACTTTTTTAAAGGACTACAAACGTCAAATGATTTATAATGCTCATAAAATTTGGATGTCGTAAATTACATCTTTACATTAAAAAAGTAAGACATGACATGCATTTTTATTACAAGCAACGGGTATTTCGTGAAAACCTTTTTAATAATAACAATGAAAAGATTTCCAAACTTCAATTTTATAATTGGCGCCATAATTTTTTTAAGCAATGAAACTTTTTTCTAATCATACTAAATTGAAATATTTAATATTATTTATACGAGAGCAGTTTCGATGATAAATATCCGGTTTGCAGGACACGTGTCTAAAATTAAAACAAAAAATACCGGCTTATATGAGTGTAAATCATAAAAAAGTCTCAGAATAATAACAAGTATGGCAGACTGAGGAAGTTTTGATAGTCAATGTTTTTTATACCTAAAATAATTATTTTGTCACAGAAACGTTTATTTATAGATATTAAAACTTCCGCGTCTCATAATATATGGGTCTGTTAAAAATAGTGACAAGATGTATTGTCTGAACAAAGATGAATGAACAATTTCAAAATCTTAACCCGATAACAAACGTAGAAAATAAGCATATGTTAATCATCCGAAAAATTTAAATATACCCATTTAATATAAAGACGAATAAAATATATACTAAAAGCTGTGCAATTGAATTCTTATAAATACTAATTCTATACATTTCAGCCACACTTATTATTGCAGCAAAATTTATCATTCCACCCGATTTAAGTATTACTAAATAGTTTTATTGGAAAGAAATTATTTAAAGAAACCATGTACTAAAACTCAAGTCTAAATTATACTGTAATTAATATTACAATATTAATTAAGAATCCAATTAATTTAGAAGTTTTAAAGTAAAAAAAAAATATTCGCGAGATGGTCATTTGATATGTCAGTAATGTAACGAATTGGGCTCATTGGCTCACGCCCATTGGCTTTTGTCAATTGACAGTTAGTATTGGACGCACGCGCGGCGAGCTTGATTGTGTGTTGAGTTTAACGTAATTTTAAATTTGATATTTAGTTTTGTGTTTACTATAATATATTTTTAAAAATGGCCTGTCCTATGCGGTGAGTATTATTACAGAACTTTTAATATATAGATTACAATTTCCATTTATTCTTATAAATATAAATAACCGCGAAATTTTACGCAAATATGACATACGTAACATTTGAAATTGCGTTGAATTAAAATTTTAAAAAGGGGTTTATACATGTAAACGATAGTGTGTAACACGATCACAAAACCGGAAATCTTTAAAAACCGGTAGATGATATAAAAATTTATATGTTAATATATTATTATACATACTTACTTATCAAAATTATTAAGTGTCCGTTAATTAAGAATTAGATTTTAAACGGTTTCACTGACCTATACGTTTAAGATCATCCTATCAGTGTTCCAAATCTTTATCAATTTAGGAAACAAATAATTAATTTGTATGCATGATAAGTATTAACAATACGTCTTTGAAAATTTAACGTCTGAAATAACATATTTCTAGACGGATATTTTTTTAAATTCAATATCACAAACGTAAACACAAAAATAAACTTTTTAATATATAACTACGATTCAGGGCTGTAATTTTTAGCGTAGATGGGTAGGTTGAAAAATTATTAAAAAAGTTAACAGATACTTTCCAGTAAAATCTAAACTTATTAGATACCTATAACAATTTTTAAAATTTTTCAATGTTCAAAATATATGATAATAATAAATATTTATCTGAAATTAATAAAGTGAGATGGCTAAAATATTTTTGTTATTATACAGACTATATATTATCTATTCAATAACAGAATGTTTTGAAAATAAAGAATGTATTAATTGATTTTATAATATTAAAAACAATATTTTTAATATCTTAATATGGTTAGTGTAATACAATTTTGAATTACTTTTAAACTTATTACTGAAACCCGTTTGACAGGTTTGGCAAAAGGTACAAGTTTGAAAAAAAAAGACACTTTTTATACAGTTAAATGACATATGTATACTTTTTATATGATTATATCAAGTTACAAATACAATTATATTGAGGTGGCACTTCACTTCGGCCAAATAAGTCCATGTGTGGATGATTTATTCGTCTTCATTTGACATATTTGCACAAATAAGCGAAAACGCGTAGGGACGTATTGGCATGTCAAGTGTGGATGCCGTGTTTGTGCTATTTGAACTAGATACAAATATTTGGACAAATGGAAGTGCCACCTTTATTGAATAATGATTTTATTGGTCTTAACGTATTTTGTGTGATAAAAGAAACAAAGTTAATAACAAAACATGTTAGATAATCATGATCATTACTAGACCATTGCTATGAAAACAGTTAAGTAACAGGAAAACGCGATCTCGTTCATATGAATATGTAGCTTTTTATGGTTAACGAAGAAATTATAGATTTATTTGTTTCAAATATTACGTAAAATCTAATTCGTGATTATAAAATGACAAGTTATGTATGTAATAAGATTAGGTAATAATGAAAGATTTAAATAAACTTTTAAAAAGTTTTTTGCTGATGAACTTTTAGTTAAATTAATGGTGTATTTCTGTTTTAAAATAATTAAATTTATTATTTAAATCGTAACTTTTATAGTGTCAGAATCATTGGACTTAAATCATTGATTAAATGTTTGACTTGTCTTTTTTTTCTTTGTTTTCGTTAACTACAATTTTTTTAAAACTACCTTCGAAATATTTAATAAATTTTACTTATTACACATAAGTTATCCCTATTAATATTATAAATGCAAAAGTAACTCTGTCGGTCTGTCTGTCTGTTACGCTTGCACGCCTAAACCACTGAACTGATTATAATGAAATTTGGTATAGAGATAGAGTTGACTTTGACAAAGAACATAGGATAGGTTTTATCTCAGACTTTTGAAAAGTTTTCTTGGTAACGCGATATAACCGAATTCCACGCGGGCGAAGCTGCGAGCGGGAAGCTAGTATTATGTCCATATATGGGCTTTAGGTCCGATCCTAAAGAATTTACTTGAAAAACACTAAGTAGTTTTTATTTTTAGCTCACGTTTTCAGTGTACTTGATGGAAATTTCAGATTAATTTATTTTTAAATCAGTATCGGTATCTTGGTATTTGACATATTTTAATATATAACGAATGGTTTCAAAAATATTACTTGATTATATATAGAATAGAGAAAAATTACATTTCGTATACTCTTTTGGTTTATGGTTAAAAAAAGTATAAAAACATGTTTGTATGATCAAAAACAAAGACTCTGTTTTATTTTTTTTAAATGTAGTTTTATATTGTATACATTTTTCAACTTTCTTTGATTGTTAAAATTGACTTCACCGTATTCTCTCAACATTTCAACTCATCAGCCAACGTAGTTACAAATGTCTCTACACTTATTCATATTAAGTCCCGTGAACTATAATTTCTTTGATTGACATTACAATTTACATACAATGTCAATACATTGGTCAAGAACAGAACAATAAAAACAATTGCATCTAATAAATATTGCATATATACATATTATATATACTTCTTATATGTATATGACGGCGCGGGTTCGAAACCTAGCAAGTACCAATGTGATCTTTCCGAGTCATATGTACTTTCTAAGAGTATTTAGACATCACTGATAGAGGTGAAGGAAAACATCGTGAAGAAACCTGGATTTATAATGTCAAATTATAAGTTTGAAATCACCAACCCGTCTTGAGCAAGCGTAATGATTAATGCTCAAACCTTCTCCATGTGAGAAAGAGGCCTTTGCTCAGCAGTGGGCTCAAAACTTAGAAGTATTATCTGCATATATATGTACTTATATTTTATCTTTTTATGACCAGGTCAGCGTACGATGACAGCCAAGATGGCCCACAGCTGGGAAACGAAGCTGGGATGCTTTATGGAGAATACTTGATGCTGGACAAGCTACTGAGCGCTCAGAGAATGCTCAGTGCTGAGTCTTCAAAGCCAGTACACGATGAGCATCTGTTTATAGTAACACATCAAGGTAAATTACAATTTTGCATCGTTATTTCAGTAAATTTTTTGAAACTAAAAAACTCAAGTGTCAGTTGGAATAAAAAAATATAAGCTTTTAGAAAAAAAAATACAGATTCACAAAGCGATTTGGAATTCTTGCACTTTTGCTACTGATACCAAAATTTTATAGAAAAAAAAATTAAAGAGAAAGCCACCGATTAAAAATTTATCTATGAAGATAATATTTAACTGTCGTTATTAATGATAAAAATGGTTTTAGCGTACGAGCTGTGGTTCAAACAGATTATATTCGAGGTTGATTCAGTACGAGCATTATTGGATGTAGAAGGTCTAGATGAAAGTCACACTATGGAGATCTTGAAGCGGCTGAATAGAGTTGTTCTCATACTTAAGGTAACTATGAAAGAATGAACCAAAAGTAGTCACCAAAACACTCATTTATACATATAAAATAAAGTTAAAAATTATAATAACAATCAGATATGACATCAAGCGGCATTTGTTTAATAAAAAATGATTTTTTTCCTCATATACAGGGTTAAATCTTCATAGAGTTTTACATGTTATTAGTTTTGACTAAAAACTACTTCAAGCGATTTGAAGACAACAAAATAACAATGACTATTTGATATATCATAATTATTATTATTTCGAGACTAATAAACGTATTACGTTTTGATATCACACTGACATTTGACACTAAGTGTCAATTGACACGATAACTTGAGAACGCCAGTTATTTATGATGTAAATGAAAAATAATTGTGACGCAATCATAGAGTATGCGGGCAATGTACGCAATTATGAATTGCATTTATTGAAGATTAAAATACGATTTATTTGATTATAAATCTGGATTATTGTCTGGAAACTTTAATATTCTTACAATTATATTTTTTTTTTAATCTTTTTGTAATACTTGTTAATTAGAAATAATACTATTATGTCAAACGCGAACAAGTCGTTGGTAGCAAATATCCATACTAATATTATAAATGCGAAAGTAACTCCGTCTGTCTGTCTGTTACGCTTTCATTCCTTAATCACTGAACTGATTTTGATGAAATTTGGTACAGATATAGAGTTGATCTTGAGAAAGAACATAGGATAGTTTTTATCCCAGACTTTTGAAAGGTTCTCTTGGAAACGCGATATAACCGAACTCCACACAGGCGAAGCTGCGGGCGGAAAGCTAGTTCTAAAATAATCGTGAATATATTATGTGTGGGTAAAATACATAGAAATATACAAGTACATAAAATGGAACATTATACATACAGTTATTCACATTAATTTTCACTAGATTCTATCCACTTGAAAAGTCCTAAGCTCGCATAAAAGTTTTCATTATAAACCTAGCAACGTCATTTATTAACTTCGTTGTTGTCACTCTCGTCAAAATTGATTACGGTTGAACCAAACAATTTTATTTGGCTAGACTTAATTCAAAATCATTCTACCATATGAATTAACTACGATATAAAGTAACATCAGTAGTTTTAATATGCAATTACATACATTCCAAAGTAAAACATAGTATTTTTAAACAGGTACTTAATATTAAAAATTAAACCAGTGTGCTTTAGACCACACGATTGAAGTAAAACTTTCGCTAAATCTATATGCAATATGTATGTATATGTTTATATATGTTTAATACATATACACATATTAATTTTGTACAAACATTTGAATGAATTATGAGTTATCATTGATAAATTAATATTTTTAAATCGATATTTCTTTTTATTTTCATTATATTCATCATCGGATACATCAGTAATTACTGTGGTTGATTGTAGGTGTATGATATAAGAAATAAGATACGTATGCTTTACAAAGAATATAAGAAAATTTATAAAATTACTAAATGTATTAAAACGATACTGTTCTGACGCTTCGTCACACCACATCAGATAAAAATATGTCTACCTTAATATAAACATTATTAAGAGTCTTTGAATTAATGTATTGGTTTTTTTTCACAGCTTCTTGTAGACCAAGTAATGATCCTTGAAACAATGACGCCGCTTGATTTCATGGACTTCAGGAATTACTTGCGACCGGCGTCCGGCTTTCAAAGCTTACAATTCAGACTTCTAGAAAATAAGGTAAAGTTTGATCAATTGATATATGCAAAGGGTTATATTATATATGCAAAAGCTTTTACAAAGGGATAAACTATGTAAAAATCGACATAAAATGTTATATTTTGTTAGATATAAGTTGTATTGTGTTCGTAATTATTTAATACATTCAAATTCTTTAACTTTATTATTGAAGTAGAGTACATTCTAAGATCGAATTAAGATCGAACTAAATCATTTAGTGCTGCCATCTAGTTATACTTAACACATACCAACCCTTTAATCTACGCGCGTTTAATAAATACTTAAGACTTAGATCTACATTTTAATTTCAGCTGGGACTCAAGCAGGCTCTGCGTGTGAAATACAATCAAAATTACCAAACAGTTTTCGGAGATGATCCCGAGGCTATAAAATCTTTGCACAAGTAAGTAAAAATACTTTTACTATTCTTAAGGCGTGTGAAGATAAGTTAAGAAAAAACAAGATGGTTTTTTTATTTTGTTTTCCTGGCGATTATGAAAGAAACCGTTCTTTTTTCTCCCACTTCCATATCAAACAAAAATAAGACGATATGCAACTATGCCTTAAAGAAAATTAAGTTAATATACAGGGTGACTGGTGAATTACTATCAATATTTAAGGAGAATACTCGGTACATGATTCTCATTCGAATTATGTAAAAAAAATAGGTACTTAATTTTTGACCAAATTTCCGTATAAATAAATGAAGTGTGTACACGTTCCAAGTGTTCCAAGTGTGGACGCGTGCGGCGGCGTGCTGATACAACACTACGCCGCCGTCGCGTCTGTGTGAGTGTGTAGTGTATACCTAATCTGTAGGGTGTTCATACGATGCGTAATTAATTACATAACTTTTGGTTAACTTTACTCAGAAGTTTATTAATATTTATGTTATATTAATTTTTATTTTGTCATATATGATCGTCAAATATCACGTCCTCAAATATCGATAGTAATTCACCAGTCACCCTGTATATTGATGCAATATTTTTACCGTTAACCTCTGCTTATAAACGAGAGCTTTTATAAGTTTGACGTCGAAGTCTGTGTGTAGTTTCGTAGATCTCGAACCGACCAATCTATTTCAATGAAGATTTTTTCACCTGAAAGGCAATTTCTTTTCATCTATATTTGGTTAAAATTCCAGTAATATAAGATTATCAGCTGTTTTCCAAAATTATGAAAGGCATTTTTTGATGCATATTTCCCTCGAGACAGTATAATTGATAAACAACAATTAATCTGTGGTGTATTTTTTTAAATTCAATTGCTTTTCGTTATGATGCTGCTATAAAAACATAAGATTTTTATGCCAAAGCTTTTTTTTCTTTTTATCTTAGTCCTAAACGTAAATGAAATATAATTTTAGATCAGAAGAGGAGCCGGCTTTGCTCGCGTTGATCGAGCGCTGGTTGGAGCGAACACCAGGCCTAAACGCACATGGATTCAACTTCTGGGGAAAATTCCAAGCAGCCGTCAACAACATGATACAAGAAGACATAGAAGCAGCTATGGTGCGTACAGTACTATTCTTCTACCTGGCAATTTCCCAGCTTTAAGCCAGGGTCTGCCTTACATGTTTTGAATAGCTTCAGCTAGTTGTTTTTACGACCGGCCGCCTGACATCAACCCACTTTGGGAATGCATTAATCAGTGATGTCTAAATACTCTTAGAAAGTACATATGACTCGGAAAAACCACATTGGTACTTGCCTGTACATAGTATTTAATTAAGTGGTCGTGGTGGCCTAGAGATTAAAGACCCGCTTCTTATATATGACGGCGCGGGTTCGAAACCTGGCAAGTACCAATATGATTTTTCCGAGTCATATGTACTTTCTAAGAGTATTAAGACACCACTGACAGACGGTGAATGAGAACATCATGAGGAAACCTGGATTTATAATTCCCAATTATAAGTTTGAAATCATCAACCCGTCTTGAGCAAGTGGTGATTAATGCTCAAACCTTCTCCATGTGAGAAGAGGCTGCTTAGCAGTGGGCTCTGATAGACTGATGATGATATATTTAAAAGTATTTTTCTTTGTTTTATCTAGAATGAACCACATGAGGTTGTGAGGAACCATAGACTGAAAGATGCTGAGAATAGACGTGAGACTTACCGCTCTATCTTCGACCCGGACGTTCATAACGCATTGAGATCACGAGGAGAGAGGAGGTAGGTGCTCAAGCATCAAAAATATATTAAAAATTCTACGACAGCATATTAAATGTGTGAAACATGCAGGAAACTTACGAAATAAAAGACACCAAATAAATTTAAAGCAATCAGAAGCTGTTAATGATCATTTCATAAACACGAAGTTGGTGTCTTTATGTTGGATACTAAATGACACTTAGAATATATTCTGTTTTTAATTAAGAAATATGTTCTTTAACTTTAACTCTACATATACGAATTGTAAGATAATGCAGTTGGAAATAAATAAAAAAACAAACTACATTCGTACTAGATTGTTATCAATGTATCTGATATTTTATCCATATTAACAGACATTCTTCTCTCAAAGTTCATAATACATTTGATAAAAGTATATAATTATTATGGTGAGATTATTAATTACTAGCTTTCCGCCCGCAGCTTCACCCGCGTGGAGTTCGGTTATATCGCGTTTCCAAGAGAACCTTACAAAAGTCTGGGATAAAAACTATCCTATGTTCTTTTTAAGGTCAACTCTATGTCTGTACCAAATTTCATTAAAATCAGTTCAGTGGTAAGTAGGCGTGAAAGCGTAACAGATAGACAGACAGAGTTACTTTCGCATTTATAATATTAGTAGGGATTCTAAATGTCAATTTATTATCAGGTTGTCCCACAAGGCGTTGCAAGGCGCCATCATGATAACGTTCTACAGAGATGAGCCTCGTTTCTCTCAGCCTCACCAACTTCTGATGCTGCTTATGGACATCGACAGTCTGATCACAAAATGGAGGTGTAAGTATGATCATATTATTGATGTATGATAGGCTTATAGTACAAAAACTATCAAATTTTGGTCCAAATCTTCTATGATTTTGGGAGGAAAGTATTTCATGTATTTTGCTGTGATTTTTTTAGGTGATGCCAAAATAAATAGATCTCCTTCTATTTAAGTTCATATTAATTATTGTTAAATGTATTGTTTTCATAGAATTTCAGAACTTAATAGCTTTTTTGTTGATCATGGGAACATTTATTGTTTTTTTTAAGATCGCTTTATTAGGTAAGATAATAACAGTAATATTACTTGTAGATAACCACGTGATCATGGTCCAACGCATGATTGGCTCCCAGCAACTAGGAACTGGTGGATCGTCAGGCTATCAGTACCTAAGATCTACGCTCAGGTGATTCTACTTTCTATTTTATTTTTTTACTAGCCTTCCGCCCGCAGCTCCGCCCGCGTGGAGTTCGGTTATATCGCGTTTCCAAGAGAACCTTTCAAAAGTCTGGGATAAAAAACATCCTGTTCTTTCTCAAGGTCAACTACATCTCTGTACCAAATTTCATTAAAATCAGTTCAGTGGTTTAGGCGTGAAAGCGTAACAGACAGAAAGACAGAGTTACTTTCCCATCTATATTTATTTATTTATAATATTCGTAGGGATTATTTTAGACTACATAAACCGACGTTTCATTTACTTTGCAACCGTCATATCGGTAAAATAGTAAAGTAACGCGTAGTAACCGGAAAATATTAGTTTCATTGAAATGAATACTCGCAAAGACGAGATCTAATATTATAAATTGTGACCAAAATCATTTCTTTCATCATATTAATATAATAATATTCACTATCACAGTTAGTATCCCTGCTAATATTATAAATGCGAAAGGAACTCTGTCTGTCTGTTACGCTTTCACGCCTAAACCACTGAACCGATTTTAATGAAATTTGGTACAGACATAGAGTTGACCTTGAGAAAGAACATAGGATAGTTTTTATCCCAGACTTTTGAAAGGTCCTCTTGGAAACGCGATATAACCGAACCGAACGAAAGCTAGTAACATATAAAACCTCTTTAATGATTCAAATTTAGAATATAATATCATTATTATTATTTTCAGTGACCGTTACAAAGTATTCCTGGATCTTTTCAATCTATCCACGTTCCTCCTACCACGTTCCCTGATCCCTCCTCTGGATGACGGGATGAAGAAAGATCTGAACCTAATGTGGGGAGATCTCAAGGAAATGGGAGAAAACGGAGAAACCCAACTGAACGGAGAAAATGAACCTTTGGAGCAGTCAATCTCGAATTTAACACTCAAAGATAAATCCTGATTATATAGTTTAATAATACGTTTGAAGTGTAGCTGTTAAAATCATATATTCCTAATGCATTTTGTATGAAATACCTCTTATATATTACTGCCAATAAAATTATAACTTTCTATTATTACTTATTTATTCATTTATGTATTAAGACTAATATTAATATTTTTAGCTACAAAAGATATTGAGGATAATCTGCAATGTAATAATTACATGTCCAATCCAACATTTTAATAAATAACCCTCGCTTTATTTTATGTTTAAAAAATTTGGAAAGCATAAAAGGATTCAGTGAAATTTGCACCCTTGTCTCTAAAAGCAATTTACCTTTTCCATTTCCCTTAAAACCGTAAATCAGAATATATGTATAGGAGGGCTACAGGAGCATGCACAGAGATTTTGGATAGAGTATTCCTTTTTTTTAGCTAAATCTAAGCTGGACACCTTCCTTTTGTAATTATTTTACTTTTGTCATACTCATACATCATTTAAAATGTACTCGTTATTAATTGTACTAGTAAAACCTTATAACTAATTTCCTTGCGCTTGGAAAGACAATATAACAAAATGGCGAAAAAAATATTTGAACGGTTAAAAAATGTCTTATAAAATTTTAGTAAACAATCAAGTTAGATTCTATGACCTTTTAAACGAGTTAAGGAAGCACTGCCTCTCAAACACTAAAACATACATAGTTTTTGCACACACCATGCAAAATTGCAAATATTTCCTCCATACAACACGGGATTTGTAGATCGTCCTTGAGATTATTTGTATGGAAAATATGCACCGAGTGGAAGTATTAGGGCCCGCTAAGAGCGGCCCATAGAAAAAGTTATTTTTTAAGGTAATATATGGCACTTATAACAATTTTCCCAATCGTGAATCAAATGACGTTAAATGTGTGTAAACATTCGTATTCCGTAAAGTAAAATAAAAAGTATGAAAGTAAGAATTAAACAATGTAAGTTTATTTGTTGTATAGACAGGGTAAGCAGCGCTTATTTCCATTTATAGTATGCAAGTCACATGAAAGCTATATAAACAAAGAGCTAATTAACATATTAAAGACTTAAAAGAGCAAAGTAAAACTTCATTAAGAATTTTTTTCAAAACCTGCATTACTTTCAAAAAAGCATATGAACTTTGATGGAATATAATTTGAATAGAAAAAGTAAGTATTGCAGTGATGCAGCAGAAGGAAAAAATACCAAATACTTGATTAAGGTTCTCATCAAATGCACAACCGATTACCATTTTCGATAATTCTGGTAGCTATGAAAATATTTTTTGGGCTACTTCTTTATCCAAGACTTATTAGCAATTTAATGATATATAGAATTTTAAACACATAGGCCATTTCTCGTATTATTATTTTTAAATATAATTATAGAAACATATAAAAAAATATGATAAAAAAATTGCCACATATTAGAGCGTGAAAGTATATATTTATATGAATATAATACGTATTGATCATCATTTTGAGTTGATTTATTTAGGAAATCTAATTTAGGACAACGTGTGGTGTATCGGCATTATTGACACCGAATCTGTAATTCACTTTATGTACGTAAACATCCCCGGGTGTGAGTAACGCGCTTGGGAAGTTCTCATGATGTACAGCATCCGGGAACTTCTGTGTTTCAAGGCAGAAGGCACCGTGTCTTCGATATCCAACACCTTTCTTTCCAACGAGAGCCTCTTCGTACGGAGATGGGAGAGAATTGCTAGTGTATAACTGAACTCCCGGTTGGTCGCTATATACTTCCAAATATCTGCCCGATGAGGGGTGACTGACCCGGGATACGAACGTCAGATCCTGATAATTAAGTACATATATATATAATCAAACCGCTTCAAACAAAGAAAACTGAGTCTGCAAATACATAAAGCCTATGTTGGCTAAAATGAAGGATATATTATAACAAATTAACCATTATTTCTAGAATAGAACTAGTTCTAGAATCTGGCTTAAATTATTGGATATTTTTTATATATTTGACTCATTTAACCTGCACCTTATCGTACATGTTCACGCAGAAGTTATCATCGAAACCATATCCAGTGGACGTCATTGCATCTCCAAGTCGTTTAGGAGCCCGCAAGTCGTAAGGCGTTCCACCAACCTTGATAAATTTGCCCGTAGGAATAGATTCTGACGTTGTCTCGGTTATTCTGGCAAAGAAACGTTGAGTTTTCACACTATAAACCTCTAACAGATAATTTAAACTTATTTTTCTTAGCTTATGATATAATAAAATTCTGTACTTATACTATTTAGTTAATTTCTATATTTACCAAAAAAATATCTGTCAAAACATACTTATCAGCATTAATCATGATGACGTGGTTGTACAATTCCTCCGCACCACTATCGTGTCCCGCGAGATTGAAATACGAATGGTTGGTTAGATTAACAACTGTTCTCTTGGTAGCGGTCGCCAGAAATTCAACGTAAATTGTATCGTCATCTTTTACTTCGTAAATTACATTCGTCAACAAATCCCCAGGATAACCCTCGTCACCGTCTTTAGATAAATGACTGAATATAACTTTATTTCCAACTCTAGTAGAATTCCAGTTTGCCTAAAATTATATCAAATATTATTGTTGTTTGTCATATTTACCAAACACGTTGCGAGTTGCGGTATTTTCATACAGTACTGATATGAAATACACTTGTGGTAGATAGCAGTAAAATGTAATATTCCATTGAAATGTTTACGTCTCTAGAACTGCCCGTTTCCATTAAAATATAATTTGAAATTTAAATTAAAAGAACTAGTATCTAAATCGACGTGTTTTTGCCAAAAAAATAGATTATTTCTTTATGAAGTTCTCTCGCAAAAATGATGGATTACTAAAAAGGAATTACAGTATTTATTTTTTGTGTTGTGTATATTACCTTGCATACTCAATTTCTATACTTTACCTTATTAAACCCAATAATTCCGCCATGTAAGTGATCCTGTCCAACGTTCTTGGCAAGTTTGTATTCAATTCCATCTATATTAAAACTTGCTCCCCCAATTCTGTTTGCACATCTTCCTACCGTCGCACCAAGGTAAGGCGTATTACGATTGACGTAGCCGTCCAGGTCATCAAAACCCAAGACTACATCAACGATATCACCGGTTTTATCAGGTACCTAAAGATAAAACAAAGTAACAATGGACTTAAATACCTTTTAAATACGAATACATCACTATTTAATCCGAGTTTCTTTAATAAAAGGAATATTTATATGCATTCAAAAGGAAGATTTATATGCCTAATATGGTATAATAGACACTGATAATTTTAGAAGACTGCTGTCATTATGAAAAAGCCTTTTGTGAAATTTTTTGTTTTGCAATTTCATAACTCTTAAGAACATCTTGCTTTATCTATTTTAATATTAAAAACTTGGGCGATTATAATGTGGTAATAGGAATGATACTCATAATAACTACGGTAATAATCCTTATCATTCTAAATACTTTAGTTCACTTATGTACTTGATAAAGATTTTTCTTTATTCTACGTATGCTGGCACGTAACTTAGCAAGATTTTTGCTTAGTGGGTATAAGTTTGCGCATGTACACTTAGTGCAACAAAAAATGGTCACTTTTGGTGCTTATCAATAACAAAAACTCGTAACAGTAACAAAAACAATGTGTACAATTTCACTGCTCGCAAGTGTATTCGGGAGCGAATATCCAATCACGCGCACGAAAATGTACCATCTCGTATGACACCTAAAAATTATTAAGTAAGTTACGCGCCAGTAACTAAAAATCAAATTAATGCCATCGATGGTACAGCAAAATCATAGTGGCAGGCAATGAAATTAGTTTTGTGTTGTCATAATTTGACAAGGCCGGGCTTCGACTGTGGGCTTTAGACCCAGTTTCACCAATCAATGTTTGTTTAATCTAAACCCAGCATTTAATAACCAACCTACAAAATTATAAATGTCTGGTAAAATATTTACGTCCCACGATGACAAAATAACAACGCATTATTAAACGTCATGTCAAATGACCGACTACCACATTATTCGTTCTTGTTATAAGACGACCAAATGGAAACTACAGCATTTAACACGGCACGTTTGCCTCGATGAACCACTTTATACTTTGATCGTATATATCCCTCGATACGTCACTTATTAAGTAATGCAACCAAATTTTATATATCGTTGGTTGCATACGTCATTTAGCACACAAAAAGCTTTCTTTTCAATTTACTAGGTGTAACTTGTCAAAATCGTGTTGTCAATAAATTGTGTTATACAGGGTAACTGGTGAATTACTATCGATACTTGAGGACGTAATATTTGACAACCATATATGACAAAATAAAAATTAATATAACATAAATATTAATAAACTTCTAAGTAAAGTTAACCAAAAGTTATGTAATTAATTACGCATCGTGTGAACACCCTACAGATTAGGTATACACACACACACACACGCGCGTGCGGCGGCGTGGTGTTGTATCAGCACGCCGCCGCACGTGTCCACGCTTTATTTATTTATACGGAAATTTGGTCAAAAATTAAGTACCATTTTTTTTACATAATTCGAATGAGAATCATGTACCGAGTATTCTCCTTAAATATTGATAATAATTCACCAGTCACCCTGTATATTATTATGTTATAAATATAGGCATTAATTGTGTTCGAATTATAAGAGATAAAAAGAAAATTTAATTTGCAATGTTATAAAAAAGCTGTAGGCAAAATCATCATAGGAAATGAAAGTTTAATTCACTTTATAAGTACAAGGAAATAGTCGAAACTGACAAAACAAATGACGTTACTATGGTTACAAAAAATCAGGGCTGTGATTGTACAATTGAGTTTTGACAATGCATTAACATTCTGTTAGCCATTAGACGGAGCTCCAGAGCAGTAATTAATATTAGTGGCTTGTTAAGTCATTTAAACGGACATTTGTGCGTGGTGGGACGCTCGATACATCTAACAGAGCATCAAACGCCTTAACACGATGTTACTTATTTAACAATGATTGGTGAAGCTGGGTCTAAACCTAAGATAATATTTCCGAAAATCATAGTTTCATTTAAATTAATATACGTCAGCAGTTGAAATAAAATAAAGGAAGAAAAGCATTGGATAAATTTCAATACTTTTATAAAGTTTAATTTCTAAATTACGTGATTCTTATCTAAAAAGTCCTATCTTCATGTAATAGGGTCATTAAAGTTTTATGAAACAACAATTTTTATTATCATATGGTATTTAGTGACGAATTTTATTGCATAAACGTATTTTTTCTTTTAAATGAAACTAATATTTTTCGGATGTACTACGCGTAGTAGTACATAGTAGTACGTAGTACATCCGAAATATATTAGTTTCATTTAAATGAATACTCGCGAAAATCTTACATTTCATTATGTATTTTTTCTTCACATATCAAAAAAATTTGCATGGAGTCGTGGTTATGAAGTAGTTCCAAATATTACTTATATTATTATTATTTATTATGTGATTCGTTAACATCAACGTGAAGCTTTATTAAATAATAAAATACAGGAAATCTCATCTATGAAAGTATCATATAGACTAATTCTATTGAAGTACCTAGATAATTTATTAACGCAACCATTGATTCACATCTCGTCTGCCCGTGATCATGCTTACTACAAAGTATGTAACCGAAATCTCGGGAATATGTAGTTTATAACACAATAAATTACACTAAGTAACCCGAAATATATTAGTTTCATTTAAATGAACACTCGCGGAAGTCTTAGGTGTCATTAATATGAAAGGATTCTGGCAATTCTGTCTGCATATTAACGCAATTATGTACGAACCTTGATGGCTTGAATAATAGCTCCATAAGAAATAACTGACACAGAAAAGCCGGTCTTCGTAACCCAGGTAAATTTCCTCACATTCTTCTCACCAAACTGTTCTTCAACTAAATTAACCATTCTTCACCCTTACTTTTCAACAGGAACTGTTATTTAAAGAAAATATAATAAATATAAGCACATACTAGTGTGGCAGTAAAATTTAATCAGTTTTCATACAAAATGTGTCGAGAATCAGAATCATAAACACGTCTATCTATAGATATAAACAGTAAAACAATATATTTTACATAAAAAATTATTAACAATTTCGTATCGTATATTTGAATATTAAAAGATATCAATTTATGTACATTGTATATTAATATCGTACATTAAAAGAGAGACTAAATATCTCTTCTTCCTGGCAATTTCCCAGCTTTAGCCAGGGTGTGCCAACTAAAAGAGAGACTAAATACATTTGTAGGTGTATCGTACGTAAGTTTTAAGTACTAACTTATGTAGATCTGAATAAATTATTTATTGACATGACATTATATTTGTACACTTACCAACAAGCTATCCTGCGCACGCGCACGTCCGCGTCACCTTGAAGTTGACTGATTATTTTCAATTGTTTATCTTCTCAAACAATTTACACTGACGGTTGCCACAGCTTATATGATGTGTGTGAAACCGCGCGATATTTAAATAGGTACACATGTTTTGCAATCTTCACCGCAATGATAATTTTAGGTATATTTGAAAAATTCAAACAATTATATTACAGTGAATAACAATATATAGAATTTATATTTAGAGAATCGATTAAGATAAATATAAGTATTAGGTTTGAAATATCATTTTAATGTATTACATATTTTATATATTACAAAAAACTCAAAAAAATACATTTATTATATTTAACATTGTTAATGAAACACTTTTATAAAATAAAACAATTTAGAAAAAAATAGTTTAATATTTGTACGGTTCATATGAAGTAAAAGAAGCTATTAATCGACTGACAATCTCATCAAAATTATTACAAATAAATTTAAACAACATTTAAATATTTCCTTAGAAGACAAATATTATCTACAGTTCGGTCACTATGCAGGAACCGTGATCACGGGCAGATGAGGTGTGAAGATTCACGAGGTTGCTGCTAAGTAACGGAAAAGTCGGGAGCCGGTTGCCCTTTCCCTATTCCTACCATTTCCTTATTCCCACCCCTCCCTATCCCTAAAAAACAAGGTTGGCTACGCATCCGCAACTAAGATGTTGAGGATGTCCATGGGCGACGGTAACCACCTTCCATCAAGTGGGCCGTCTGCTCATTTGCCACCTTTCACATAAAAAAAATGTTCGTAAAAATAATTATAAACGCGAAGTGAATCACATAAATATTAGTTTTATTTCAATGGACCGTTGAAGCCACACGGTGGAAAAAACCTAAGGAGATAGGGAATATTAGTAAACCAAAATGACAGTGGGCTGATGACGTAATATGTAATAGGAAATTATTGAATAATGACAGCCAAAAATAAGGAGTCATGGAAAAAACTTAGAAGGATTTTACCCAACGAGGGATCTAAATCATAAACAATAAACAACACTACATACAATACATTAATTTTAAGTAAATTCTTTCTTAATTTTATGCCAAAACTTAATAATGAATCTTCTTCTTCCTGCCCTGGTATTTTTGTAGGGTCGGCACATGTTTTACAACTTAATAACGAATATTGTAATGTAAAATAAAAAGTGAACATATTACTATTATTACAGGCCTGAGGCCATAATACGAATTTTAGAGTATTTTTCTTTTTCTTCCCTGAAAAGACTATCTACTAGTACATTTGTTTAAAATAAAACAACTTTAAAACCGATAAAAACTTTTATTACGTTATAAAAGTAGAAAATGTTACACATAACAAAAAGATTTTTAATCTATCATTTAACCACCAACACCGCAAACAGAACAAAAACTTAAAAAAATCATATTTGTGACGAAAAAGGTTTGCTTAGGAAAACTACATTTAATTAAAACAATATTTATTACCTTAATATTAAATTATTAGAAAAAAAAAATGGCAAGAATTATTAACATGTATATACGCTTATCTCTAAGGAATGTACAATTATTCGAGTTGAATTTTGCTTATATCAATCTCGTACAAATTATTATAATATTTAGAGTATTTAAACATTAATATCATAAAAAAACATTAATATAAATTGTCATGCAACAATCACATACGTATATAAAATTTAGAATAAAAATTTATTGGCACTTTCATATAAAACTCTATATAAAAATACAAAAAATTTACGACATATTTGTACTTATATTTTTTTTTTTTTATTCGGACGGTTTATATATTAAATGGCATCATTTAAGGCACAATATAAATTGGTTCGTTACGAAAAAAAAAACATTTCAAAATTAGAACAAAAAAACTACATAACTATTTAATGTCTATACTAGCTACCTCATTCGCTAGTCCGCATATATTACTTCCGATCGCAAGTTTAAGATAGCCGTCCAGACCAAAACCTTTGCCCCACGAGTTTTTCGCTATATAGTAAGGCACTTCTGCTGTTAAATCATAACCAACTAGTTCAACAGCGTGGTTTAATTCTTTGGGACTGCCGCTGTAATGAAAACATTTGGTTAATACATATATGAAATTTAAAAAAAGAATCATTTATGAACAAGAAAAATATCCAACCAATTTTTTTAAAGTTTATATTCAGCCAGCATTCCAAATACTTATGACAAAAAAAAAGATATTATTGACATTTGACACATGACAAAGCCATAATTAAAAAAAAAAAGACAAGCAGCATAAAAAGAAACATAAAACCTCTTTGCTGTCACAAACGTCAAACTATATGCGATATATAAATATATAAAGCCTCTTTGCTTCATTAACCTACCTGCAATGATACTGTATGACGCCTCCTAGGTAGTTCTGCCACGTGAGCGCATTCACCGCTACGGCCACCGGACCATGGGTTGCTATAGACTCGATTATCTTATCCTCAGCGCCAACCAGACTGAAAAAAGTATGGAAATTAGTAATAATATATTGTTTATTTTCTTCAGTTATATATAGGGTACATTTTATATGTATATATAGGGTACATTTTTTATTATTTACTTCTTTTTTACACATTAGTTAGTGAAATATCAGCATATTGCTGTACTTAAATATTAAATGCAAGTTTTCTGGACGCATTTTAGCTTTTACTTTGAATTATGTTTCATTCTTTTCTGAAATTCTTATGCAAATGTAGAATTATTTGGTCGAAATAGAGAATGTTATTTAAAAATATTTTGTCACTGGACGGTTCCAATTGAGAGAATATTATCGATTAACTTGTAAAAGCTTTCCTTATCCCGACCCACGAATTAAGAATTATTAAAACTTAACTAATATTTCAGGAGATGTTAAATATATCTAAATATAATTACAGCATCAAAAGTCCTATTCAATCAACGGATTTAACATCTACGTGGGACCAAAGCCTGTGATTTAGCCTATGAGATAAGCAAGAATGAATGACATATTTTTACGACTTTTTAGAGCACGTGTACAAAAAAATATATACAGGGTGACTGGTGAATTACTATCAATATTTAAGGAGAATACTCGGTACATGATTCTCATTCGAATTATGTAAAAAAAATTAGGAAGTTAAGTTTTGACCAAATTTCCGTATAAATAAATAAGGTGTGGACACGTTCCAAGTGTTCCAAGTGTGGACGCGTGCTGATACAACACCATGCCGCCGCACGCCTATGTGTGTGTGTGTGTGTGTGTATACCTAATCTGTAGGGTGTTCACACGATGCGTAATTAATTACATAACTTTTGGTTAACTTTACTTAGAAGTTTATTAATATTTATGTTATATTAATTTTTATTTTGTCATATATGATCGTCAAATATCACGTCCTCAAGTATCGATAGTAATTCACCAGTCACCCTATATATGTATACTAGCTTTCCGCCCGCAGCTTCGCCCGCGTGGAGTTCGGTTATATCGCGTTTCCAAGAGAAGAACCTTTCAAAAGTCTGGGATTAAAACTATCCTATGTTCTTTCTCAAGATCAACTCTATTTTTGTACCAAATTTCATTAAAATCAGTTCAGTGGTTTAGAAGTGAACGCGTAACAGACAGACAAAGTTACTTTCGAATTTATAATATTAGTAGGAATACATATTGTCTATATCTTTTTTGTATTCAGTATAGAATATTCTGGACAATGTCTAAAATCCTGTAACTCTAATTGAATTGATAGCAATCCGTATTGAAAATGCATAGTTTTATACATTATAACTCGCGTTAAATGCGTTGAGGGTGACATTTCACCCTCGTAAGGATTCAACGGCTTACAGACACTACCGTATCGAATATCCGCAAATTAACAAGATTATATAAAGAGGTAGGTTCGTTATATAAAAAATCTTTAAATTAAATTCAAACGACCATATATTAGATTTTTAATATTATAATCATTTTTTTTTAACTTGTAATTAGAAAAAATATCTGATTTAAAAAATTCTTTATCACATTTATTCCCTTATTTAAATTTTAAATGCTTAAAACCTGTTTTCGAGATCTATTGAACTTGTAATTTATAGTTTTTGAATAAAAATAAGGTATTTTGCTAGAATTTTCAAAAAAAAATAGAACCGTTTGTTTTTCAAAACTAATCTAGAAGCTTGTGATTTTTTTTAATATACCTATGTTTATATATTAAAAATCAAAATTATTAGGGATATTCTGATGCAGAAAAAATATATATTTTCTTTTAATAACATATTAAATAAATAAAATAAAGACAGGACGATAAAATTAAGATATACTGTTCTTTAAGAAATTCTGCTTTACTTGATAATCGAAAGTATAATTTGAAGGAGCCTTACATATACACACAAATATATATATGCATCCTTACTAATATTATAAATGTGAAAGTAACTCTGTCCGTCTGTCTGTCTGTTACACTTTCACGCCTAAACCACTGAACTGATTTTAATGAAATTTGGTACAGACAGAGTCGACCTTGAGAAAGAACATAGGATAGTTTTTATCCCAGACTTTTGAAAGGTTCTCTTGGAAACGCGATATAACCGAACTCCACGCGGGGGAAGTTGCGGGCGGAAAGCAATCTTCGACATCATATGAAACGGAAAACCTTGATGACAAGTTTTAATTCGACTCGTTTTTATGACAACTTATACATATAATGAAGATTGCATTGGACTAAAAAATTTCTCAAACGTGGCACTACTATAAAAAACAATCATTAATTTTGTTTAATTTCCCGCTTTGCGCTCATTCATTACAAATGGATGTGAATGGAACCCAAAACAAACAAGTCAATGACAAAAAATTACATTAGAAAACATTCCAGAAGCGATAATAATGAGTAAAAGCAGCCAAAAAAATATCTAATAATTTCTAGAAACTTCTAAATATAATTATTTAAAATAATAGTTTTTAGTACTGTGACTACGACCATTTATAATCGCTATATCATATGTAGGAGCTCTCAGTAAATTGATTTAGGTTTTCGCGATAGTAATCATAATATTCCAATATGTTCCTGGTTTCCAAATTGTATTTTAACTATATTTATTACAAGACAAAGAAATATTCTTAAACGGTCATTAAATCACCATAATGTTAGCGAAAACAGCATCCAAATCCTAATTTTCTATCTTAATTTATGAGCCTGATAAAATGGCTTTGGATATTTGATTGTTACTCAAAATCTATCTTTACCTTTATTTACTATTAGGTTACTTAAATACTTACTCAGTACATGTGAATTTGGCGACTTTAACGCCGGTCGCATTCTTCTTAGCCTGACATACGCCGTTCGTCAATTTGAGTGGATACTCCTTCTCGACTTGAACAGCTGTGTCAGTCATGAGCAACCAGTCTAATAAAAGGCAGACATCTCCACCCGCACAACCACTGTTACCCAAACCAGCGCAGTCAATAACTTCCTGTTAAATCACCAATATATACATGCCAACGAAACAAGATAAATTATGTAAACAATACTTTTAACCCACAAAATTTAGTACATGTGACTGACTCTTGACTTGACTTTTGACTCTATCATAAATTTTGTGATAGTTAAGGGAGAAAAATATGTGTGTAATTTTCAAAAAAATGTGGAAAAACAAATCAATTTAAACCAGTTTTTTGTATTAATAAATTCAAAAATCTGACGCTCAATTAGAAATTTTAGAAAAAAACATGAGTCACAGTCGGTCTAGTCAATTATATTTTAATATTAATAACTATAAATTTAAGACATTACCTTACCAGCCTTGAAATTAAACTAGAACTATAATCAGTTAGAAAATTAACTCATTCTGTAAGAGTTATGAGGAATTCGAAATCACTTACCCGTTTTAAACCCTTAAAACAGAGCGTTTATTTAAAATAAATTAAAATTTTTGTTAATACTACGCGACTTTATTTTTGTAAAAAAACTATATACCCCCGAAGTTTCGGTTACTTTTCGACGAGATATGAATGTAAATTTTTATAGTTTTACCTACATTATTTTTTGAGCAACTCACAATTTTTCTTAAAAAAAACGCGTCGTAATGACCGCAAAACTGCATTTTTTTATAAATATGCTGTAAAATTGATATTTTATATATACATAATTAATTTATCAGATTCGTGCATAAAAACTGTCCATCCATTAGTGATATTAATGAACAGAACTCGGATCAATGAGACATAATTGGATTTTATATACGTAATTATATTGATAGGAGAGATAAATATCGTATACATTATTACATACATGTAAATGAAGAAGGCTTCAGTATTTCCGTATCAGTATCCGTATACAAGTTTTTAATTAATATTTAATATAATAATAAATATTTATCGTTTTTATTGCAACTTTTTTGTATAATTTGTAAAAAAACCATGCACTAATAGTATTTTCAGAACTCTGTCTTGTTATTTTTTTACAATAATTAGTCGATATTATTATTATTAACCAAGAATCGGTATTTTATAAAAATTTCAGCATCTTTATTTTTTATGAATTATCAGTTATTTCTTTCTAAATTCTTATAATGGATCTCGGTTACATTTTTCGGAGAAAACTTTTGTTATACTTAAAAATAAAATCTTTTTAGTTTATAACGTAATGTATACAAAAAACGTGTATATAATATTTGTTCATATAAAATATTGCATCGAAATAGCCTTTTATTCCAAATGTAAAGCACATAACTTCAGTGACATTTTTTCACTGTCAGTCCTAATAGCCTCATCGTAAAAAAAATCTTTTACCAAGAGTTATGTGTAAAGTAACTATCTAGTACTTTATAGCTATGGTATATATGACGTCATGATATGACGTCACGATTAGAGGAGTACCCACCTGCACACTTAGAGTGTTAAGTTTCCCGGTGTCTATGGCAGCCATCGCTTCCATTGTACCGATGGTACTGAATGCCCAGCACGCACCACATAGACCCTGATCACGTACAGGACCTATCACACCCTTCGTTCTCCTGAATATAAGATAAATGGTACATAATTAAAATTCTGCTAAGATATTTTTCGGATATCATATTAGTATTGGAAGTTCTTGGGGTAATCAACAAAACTATGGGCAATAATTGTTGTGTAGAGATAGTGCTAGATTTGTTTCAACTCTAGAGAAAGTCATGGTAAAGGGTGGAAAGGGATATTGCTCTTTATTGACTCAAAACTGTTTTATTATTTCTGAAGCGCAAAATAACCTATATTTTATACTCAATTTTAAAAATAATGAAAGTTTCTTTTAAATATGAAAGAAACTTAAAAAACATCAAATCAAAATAAAAAAGTATTTTTACGTCTTGATACCACGCAAATAAAGGTATTGTTTATAGAGAAAAACAAATCACAACGTTGAAAATAATAACAGTGACATTAAATGCAATCTTTAATGACATTTCGGCTTGGATTATTAAACTTCATATTATATCCAAGAATTAACTGAGTTATTCATCAAGTCTTCCAAATTCGCGACAAATATTAATTCAGTTAAAGCTACCATCGGCTAATTTACTCAATCAAAGGCGTGAGCTGACTTCTAGAGCCTAAAAATCACAGTCTTATAAAAAGGTTCCTATCAGTAACTGGCCGTATAAAATATTTTTACACCAAGAATGATGTAACTGTTTTATCTCGCTTGGTAGCTTTATTAAGAGATTTATGAAAACACATACTTTTTTTTTTACTAAAATATAAACTAGATGTTTAATGCTGGTTAGAATTCTAGAAATATTATCAATATTTTTAATATATTACTGCGGTTTTTAATTAAAAGAATGAAATAGATTAAATATTCAAAATATTTTTGCGAATTTAATTCAGTAACCGGTTTTTGGACACATTATGGCACGCGCCGTTCCACGTGCTATAAATTATACTAAGATTTTTTTTCGAGAAGCTTCATTTCCTATTCAAAATTGGTTCATTAGAATCACTTTTTTGAGTTTTTTTTACTTCCTTTCTTAAACGACATTTATATAGACTGTTCAGAATGTACGACAGAATTTAAAAAAATGTAAGGACTTTTCTATCTTACCAAATATAAATATTATTTAGTATAAATTCAAGGTATCTGAGTATGGAATATTAATTACAGTTTGATCTGAGGCATTTCTGTCAAAATACACTCGGACTAATAGGCAGACCCTGGCTAAAGCTGGGAAATTGTCAGGAAAAAAAAGACACACGGACTAATAGAATGTAACATTTACATATTGATAATAATACACACGGAATCGCATTAAACAAACCCATCAATATGACAATATGATTATTTTTGTATTCCAAAACAAGTTAATATATTAAAACAATGGTCTTATAAATATTAATAAAAAAAAATGTTTTAAATCTACCTTAAAATTCGTTAGCTATTTTAGGATTAAAATTTTAGGCGTTGAGATAATTTTATTTCGTATTTTAAACAAACCTCTTTTTTAAATATATTTATATTTACAGATAAATTTAAATATGACCATGTAAATATTACCGGTTTTGGCTATATTTATCACTTTTATCGCTTGAAAGGGCACTAAAGGACAATGCATTGAATGGGAGCTAAGAAAATAAATATAAGATAAGGACACAAGAAAGTTTTTGTGGACAGATAAGTGAATAAATTGGAAACATTATGTTATGATATAAAAAATATGATCGTCATAATGAACGCATTACTATTGAAAAGAAAATAAGAACTGTTTTCAAAGTTAATATATAACATAAGAAGGCATATATTGCTTGAATATTAGGTATATCCCTACTAATATTGTAAATACGAAAGTAACTCAGTCTGTCTGTCTGTTACGCTTTCACGCCTCAACCACTGAACTGATTTTAATGAAATTTGGTGCAGAGATAGAGTTGACCTTGAGAAATAACATAGGATAGTTTTTATCCCAGACATAGGATAGTTTTTTTGAAAGGTTCTCTTGGAAACGCGATATAACCGAACTCCACACGGGCGTAGCTGTGGGCGGAAAGCTAGTTGACTATAAATAATATATATTTTTTTCTTTTATAGTCACTGGTGGCCTAGTGGTTAAAGGGCCCACCTCTCATGCTAGAGGGCGCGGGTACAATCCTGACAAGTATGTGATTTTTCCGAGTCATATGTACTTTCTGAGAGTATTTAGATACCACTGACATACGGTGAAGGAAAACATCGTGAGGAAACCTGGACTTTAATAAGTTCACAATTATAAGTTTGAAATCACCAACCCGTCTTGAGCAAGCGTTGTGATTAATGCTCAAACCTTCTCCATGTGAGAAAGAGGCTTTCGCTCAGCAGTTGGCATAATAGGCTGATCATCATCATCATCATCATCATCAGCCTATCAGAGCCCACTGCTGAGCAAAGGCTGATGACGAAATAATTTTTGCGTTTTTATAGCATGGTTTTCGGTTCCAAATAAATGATCAAGCAAATAGGACAAAAGATTACACTATATATATATTTAAATTTACTGCACAAGATTATTATATTTTAAAAAAACTTCTGCAGCCGCAAAATGCCAAGTATTTAAAACTATGAACAAAAAATAAATCAGGAATGTTTTACATTCGGTTTTGCCTATCTTATTTATTTATCAAAATACTGAGACTCCATACTGTTTAGTTTGTTTCTGAATATTTATGTGCCTGTTTTATGCAAAATTCTTATACATTTATATTAATGTTATACCATAGGCTTGTGTTAATAGTTCGCAAATATTTAACAAAAACTAGTCTGAATGGCTTGTATATAAAAACGGATGTCATTTATATATACATAAGTATAATTTATTTGAATTCTACAAATTATTATATAATATGAAAAGTCAATAGAATTGATTTAGTGACAAAAAGCGGCAACTTAATTTTTTTGTACAATAAGTATGCAAACAAATAATACGTACATCCAAAAACAAAAGGAGTATTTATTCTGATATATTATTTCGTTACTAAAATAAAAAATACCGGCACTTAATAAGAACGAGTATAAAATATTTGTAGTATCTGAATAATTTTTTGACAGTTGCTAGAATATTCACTATTCGGAAACCGATATGAGGCTTTTTGTGAATAAAGTAAAATCGAAGATCTCATATTATACTTCCATTGAACATATTAATTAATTAAATGTGTATTAAAATTAATATCACTCACCAATCAACCTGAAGTGGCAGCATGGCGCGTTTTTTTCTTATAACTATATAAATATTATGATGCGGACTACCCTCGGCTTCTTTATCATCATCATCATCATCATAATAATCATCTATTTTATCGGCTACGTCCTCAATATTCTTCGCTCTGCCTTTACTCCAACTCTTTCCTAGCTTATGTCGTCTATATCTATGTGGTTGTTCATCTGATAGATGTATATCTCTGAACTCATCTTTCGACATATCCGACATTTGTGTGAGTCCATACCTCGCTCTATGCTGTTCGGGACCTCTTGCCGCTGAGTTTAATCTATCTATTTCTTTTACGGAGGCCTAAGTAATAAAAAATATAATGAGCACGTGCTTAGCGTATTAATGGCTAGAATAACGAACTCTCTCGAACAAAACTCGATCGCTTGTTGTTGCAAAAGTTAGTTTTAAAAGTAAATTTGATCTTCGTATGGAAAAAATTGAGAATATTTTTGTGATTAATCGTCACAAACTAGGATGTTTATATTTCTCATAAAAATGGGTACTCGGGAGTAGCGACAATTGAGAAAGGACTTATGTCTATTTTTAGGCAAATTTTTATATATTTCGTGCATAAAGTTATTAGAAAAAAATATTATTTAATCATAAGTTCTGTGTAGAAATATTGTTGCCTTTTGCTCTCTAAAAAAAACTACGCCAAAGAGACTAGAATGACAAGAATGATGTATTGTACATTACTACTTAATAAAAACTCCAATAATATCTTGAACAACATTAATATTTTTAAACATAAATAAAATTTTCTACTACCATGTAATATTTAGATAAATTTAAACAAATAGAAGATTTAGAAACTGGTGTGAACTAAACCTACATTGGAGAACCCAAGATAACATATATTTTATGATGGTCACTTCTGGAAACTAATATAAAATGTATAGTAATATTATCTGCCGATACACTTCCATCTAGCAACAATAGACCATTGAGCCAATGAATACAGAAGAGTATTGATGTCTCTATGACCTTAAATGGACTGTATTGAATTATTATTACATATAAGCAAAATGTGGTATAAGTGTCTGATAATTTTGTAATTATGATATTTTTTTTTTAATAATCAACCTACCAACAGTGGGCTGTGATACTGGAATTTGATCTACAAAAAAAAAATTAAGACTCCAGGCATTCTGCCGAGAAATTAATCATTTCTATTATTCAACACCTTTCATGAATGTGTGGTATACATATACAGTGAGACTTACAAAAGCTAAAGTTCAGATACATTAAACACAAAAAAAAGGAGAATTTTTTGTAATTAATCGAAAAATAAAGGTAACCAATTTGAAATACATTAATGATGGAACTTAATCAAAATAATTTGCTTATCAAGTATCAGTTTTCTTAAAATTAAATATAGTGAGAAACACACTTGACATGTTTTTTTACCTACGACAAAACTGCTCATAGCTAGATCTACTATTTGTTTATTTGATAACGATAGGGTAGATGGTAGTAGAGACATAATAAATGATGTAAAATATATAAAGTAACATTGCATAATATTTAATGTTTTGTTTTGTGTTGTAATTATCATTAAAATGTATTTAAATGAGACTAGTTATTCAATATAAATTAAATTTTTATATTTTATAGCCTACTAATTACAACTTTGGGGGGTATTCCACTTATATTTAAAAAAATATATAAGATTCTTTTTATATCAACACAATTATTTTTGGTTATAACTTACCACAAAATGCTCTAATCTTTTTTCGTACTCCGCAGGGTCGTCCTTATAGGTTTTATTGAAATTTTCTATATACTCATCAAACATAGGCCGAAGTGTTTCTTTAGTCCTGTCAGGATATGAAAGAGGTATAGCAACGAATAACAGACACACTAAGGCCACAACAAGAATCCAATTCCACCATTTCTTCATTTTAATAAATTATAACTCAACAAAACATAAAACACGTCCACTTCGCGAAGCAGGTTCAACTAGATTCGAAGTTGAAACAACTTAAACAACTGATTAACATAACATTTTAAGTTTTTTGCTTAAAAAAATGACATTGACATGGGTAATCAAATTTTAATAACATGATAGTAAATCAGATGACATTTGTCACTGACAGTCGATTTTAAATAAGTCAAAAAATTTAATATAGTAATAGATTTGTTTTTATGTTCATTAAACCTTTATATTTCTCGGGTTTTTGTTTGTTTTGATTAATAATATAACGAACGTAAACATCCATATTGGTACTTATTGTCAAAACTGGATTGAAACTGCCTACTGGCAATCCTGAATACAGTATTAGTACCGTGAAAGATAGTGTATGTATGTAAATAATAATTTGTTTTTATTTACATAAAAATAGAGATATAACCGCGATGAACACATGGGGACAAGAAAATTACCAGATGGGGATACCTCCAATGATGCCATCATCTATTTTACCACCACCTATGATGATGCAGGAAATGAACGTGCCTCCTATGAAACCTCCGCCTATTCCTCTAGATATTATGTCTACTACGACTGAAGACATGAATATCGTGACTGACGAAATAAGTGATACAAATATCACATACCATGATGCCTCTAGTAATGAAAAACAAAACCGTCGTTCTAGGAGCCGTGACCGTTCCCAACGACGTGATAAAGATCGTCCAGGTATTGGCTGCTTACTTGTATTCTCGTATACAATATAAAATTCAATACAGTTCAGTAAATAAATGCATACTAATATTTCTATAATCCTATGCAGGTGATAAGATATCTGATCCGTATAAATTAATAACAATTTTTGTTGCTGTCAATATAAATGTGATCTAAATGCATAGCTTAAATTTTCCAGATCGAAGACATCGATCCAGATCAAGGGATGGCTATGATAGATATAATAGGAATGACAAGAGGAATGTAGAAAGAAGTGATAGGAATAGGAATGTTGAAAGGGAACGGAAAACAAAATGGGATAACAATAGGGCACCAAAGAATAATGTGCAACAGATTCATTCTGGAATTAACATGGGAATGAATATGGGTATGATTCCAGGTAATATGTGTTAATATATATAAAGTTATATATAGAGAAAGTGTATATAGGATCGGGATGGTTAGGTTGATCATAATTATATTGAGACTATCTAGTTTTATATGTCACATCTATTAAAAGTTGCTATAATTACTTTAAAATTTGATCCTCTGTATATTTTCAGGAATTAAATAGACCAAACTTAAAAATATATTTGAAACCGATATTGCTAAAAAGAATGAAATCAGCATATGGATTATAATCTAATAATAATTCAACTTTCACAAATAGTCTTAAATTAAATTAAATTAAATGAAATATACTAAATGCCTTGCTAATATTATCTATAATTTTTTTCAGGTATGAACATGATATCTTTCCAAAATATGCTTCCCAACATGATAGGTCAACAATCACTGGATGGCACCATGATGCCACAGCATCTAATGCCAAATATCATGATGACTAACATGATGCCGAATATGTTAGACCAAAATATGATGATGATGAACCAACAAAACATGATGCCAATACCGAACCAACAGATATATCTTAAAAATGGGGTAATGTTACCTCCGATTCCTGGAACTGTGACTCCAGAACGACGAGAAAGACCCAAAGGTTGTCGCACAATATTTGTTGGTGGTCTACCATTAAATGTAACAAATGATACACTGATGGAAATGTTCCAAAAATTTGGGAGTATAGAGGAAATTAAATCACCTAAAAGCGGTGTTTATTATATACGTTTTGAAAAACCTGAGAGTGTGGCGCCATCTTTCTTCTTGACGGGGTATAGATTTAAATTTCATGATCAACATGAAAATGAAGCTACAACGATCTTTGTTGATTATGCTCTGGTAGGTAGTTTTGAAAAATTTGTTTTATATTAATTATATGTATTTATATACAAATTTATATATCTTTATTCTCAAAGAGGGTTGATGTCAGGCAGGCGGCCGGTCATAAAAACAATTAGCCAAAACTATTCACAACATGTAAGTCCGACCCTGGCTAAAGCTGGGAAATTGCCAGGAAGAAGAAGAAGACAAAACTATACATTTATACATATATAATGATATTTACAATATTTTTTGTATTCTATATTCACTTTATTTCACTATCTATTCAATGTTTTTTGAAAGGGTTTTATTGTTATTACTATTAACTTTAATATTTCAGAATCGTGAAGATCAGAACGAATATGAGCGTAAACAACGAAATAGAGAGAAGAGCCCGCCTCGTGTGGAGCCATTCTCACAAACAGCGCTCACAAATTTATCTGAAAAGATTAAAAGTGAAACAGAATTTGCCACCGCTGCTCCTGTTAGTTAAAGTTTAATACTGAAAATTTGATTCAATATAAATAATATTCTAATTCTAACATAAGATTTTTATAAAGATATATGACAATATCATATGTATTTATGTATGAATCTAATAGTTACGAATCGATTTAGTGACATTGAATCTATAAAGTATTATATAAAACCATTATAAAATGGACTTCCCTCTGATATCTTTCAAATACAGTTCTAATTAATTAATATTTAAACCAGAGGTCAGTAAAACTTATCTTTACAATATAAAATAATTTCTAGACTTTAGCTGTATGGCTCGAGCGTGGTGAATGCAGTAAGAGGCACGCGAATGCATTCTACTCACTCATACAAGCAAGCAACAATCAGATAAGAAGACTTTTCACAGAGAAAATGCAACTAGACGATGATTTCCAAAACATGAAGAATGCTATCAAGGAGAAATTCGCTCACGTTGTGATGCAGTGTGAGTATGTTTGAGTATATGATAAGGTAATTAAAACTGAGAATTTCGCGAGTATTAATTTAAATGAAACTAATATTTTTGGAAATTACAGTCTTCGATATCATTATATTAACCAGTACGGATTGGAACTTTGGAGTACCTCAAGACGAATAAAGCTAGATTATTACCATCCTTAAATTTTCTAAAGCAAGGCTGGGATCATGACGTCATACCAACATATGTTAAAATATCACATAAAAAGACATCAAATATAACAACAGAATACTCCATCAGGCATGTAAAAGGCTTAATGCGTAGTAATCCGCAAATATTAGTTTCATTTAAATAATATGAATTATCGCCATTAAATTTAGATATTCGAAATTTAAATTTTCGAGTATATGAAGGTAGATCGAGATATATTAAGATTGTCTCAGCTTTAGGTAAAAAACAAGCCTACAAAGACGACGATTTTGGAGTTAGGGTAGATTTTCCGTTATTTCTAGAATTTTTGTTGGAAAGTTATTCAACCTTCCATTCAGACAAGGTAAGTAAAGACCAGTTTAAACAGTTGTTACCCATGAAACTGTAATTAGATTTCTACTATTATTCTGGGACTGCAACTTTGTCTTAAATCGAGTTAGGTAAGCTGATAAATGTAGCCCAAATATGTGCAAAAACATTTTTAGCAGATGCTAGTTGTTCAGTAAGTAAGTATGTAGTCTAAAATAGTGATTAGAAGGACTATTTCTTAGAGAAAGAAATTGTTTCTTCAAGAGCCAACAGGAGAAATAGATTGACCACAGATTTGTTGGACAACCGATTCTCCAAATAATGGTAATTATTGGACAGGTTCTTCCTTTAGGATTTTGGGAGTCTTCTTGAGTATTTAACTTGATTCACCAGCATTTGTGAAGGTAATTTTACAGATCATCTCCCAGGAATTTAATGCTCAGTAAAGTGTACCAGAAATCTTACAAGCAAAGAAAAGCTCGGACGAATGCAGTTCGTAGACGAATAATCAAATGAGTTTATATTTTTAGTAATATAATATAATACTTATACAATTTTATAATAACTTTTTTAGAACTACGATTTCCAAACAAAAATAATCGACTTCAAACAACAAAATGTATTGATTGAAATAACTTCTTCGAAAATTCATATTCTATATTGTAAAATTCATTTTATGCAACGAAATACTAAAGAATCAAAAACCCTAATTTTCTTATGAACATCGTTAATAAACACCCAATGGCTGAATACAGAACCTCGTTTTTTGAAGTCGGTTAATAATAACTTTAAATAGCTCTAAAATCCCAGTTTCTAACAGTCGATCAGGTTGCGAAGATACTGTCGGCGGCCAAGCATCAACGTGTTTCCGACCATTTCACTAAACAACAACGCAGGAACATTGAAATGTGGCTCAAAATGACAGAGGTATATATAAAATAGCACCAAAATTAATCATTACTATTTTTATATGTATTTTGGGTGGATTAGCTTATGGAATAACAGAAAAAATTTGGCACTATTACAATGGAAAGGCATCTGTATATAAGAAAGGTAAAAAATTATGAAGGTAAGTTTAAATATAAGCCTTCTGGAATGAAATGAAGCAAAATTCCTTGATGTTGGTGCCTTTGACCTGGTGGAGTCGAATTTATTTCCTCACAAGAGTGGCAGAAGGTACCAGCACTTGTGATAAGAATTCTACTTATCTGATGCCAATTGGTAGGTATTTCCTATTATTTAAACCGAGCAGGTATACGGGTTACGGAGTTGAATATTCTTCCTTCATAATTAACCGAGACATTTGTTGACTTTGCGAAATCATTGGACGTGCAAAACATTTGCGATGATGTTGAAGTTGCAAGCGGTATATAATTCGTATATAGTCTTTTTTCTCTCTACATAAACCATTCATGGATGACGAATTTTGAATATCAATTCAACAGACTGTAAGTATTAAATTATATAGGATCTAATCCACAAAAAAATTGGGTTTTGGAATTACATTAAAATATTATGATGTTGTAATAATCAAGAACGGAAAATAATACACTAGCACTATTAAGGAGCTAAAGTATTATCAGCAATTGCCAAAAACCCAAAATAATTCCAATAAAAATAAAAAATCTATTTTGGTAAGTAAAGCTTATAAATTTTCCAAATAACGTATATTTAGAAAAAATGTATATATTACAGGAGGTAGAAAATATTAAGGAAGAGTTCAATGCGCTCTTCGATGAAGACGAATCGGAAAGACCGGGGAAGAATTCTGTTACATTGGAAAAATATGAACAACTAAAGGTATCGTATATAATTCTGTGCCTAAAACTATCATTTATATTATACAATAACTTTATACTAAGTCGTTATTAATTTACAGCAAGAAAATGAAAATTTAACTTACGAGTTGGAAGGCTATAAGAATGAAGCGTACCTAGCGAAAGGCGAAGCTGAGAGAAAATTTGAAAAGTTCAAAGCACATTTCATTGCACAACAGGCTCTACAGAACAAACAGGTATATATAAATACGACTTAATTTAAGCATTAGAAATACCAGACGAATATTTCTGATTATTATTTTTAGGCATACCCATATCCAAACCAGTTTAAGACGGATCTACCCTCAAAACCAACAGCCCCTACAACCACAGAAGAAAAGGTCACCACTTCTGGTTCCTCAATAATTTCTTCTGAAGCAAAACTCATCAGTATTCTAACAGCATTCCTCTTAGTACATCCTCTAGGTGCTTCTACAGACTATCTAGTGTCATACGTAAAGTCAATGACCCCAGACGTCACACAAACACAGATAACGACAATATTACAGAAGTTTCCAGAAATTTTCCATTGTGAGACGTCTGGTGTTGGCGCCTGTATCGAACATAGATGGATCTATGTTACTTTTGATAAAATAAAGAACGAGAAGTGATGTTTTATTTAGAATAATACATATATCCATATTTGCTGATATGTTAATAATAATTTAATGTTTTAACATTGATGACCATTAAGTTAAGCTTATATGTTAATCTTTCATGAATTGTAATTCCTTTGTTATTAAACTGCGAGACTATTTTTTAGGTTTAGTGTAAAAACAGTTCCAGTTTATAGATATACATCTCCTGAATAATTCTTCTATAACGTGAATCTTCATTAAATTGACCATTTCCTGATAAACTTGAGATTTATATAAATAATTGAAAGCCTTATTATTCATATACAGTATTGTTATATACAAAAATAAATATGATCAACAAACTAAAATAGTATTTTTTTTACTCTATTATTTAAATAAACTTTATTTTGTATTCAAAAATATATACATACATATGTATGTATGGTACTGATTTTATTGTCTTACTGCTATTATATAGTTTTTTACTTTGTAAGATATTATGTTATATTGTAAATAAAAATTTGAGTAATGGTGGATGACCCAATTCAAATGAGTCACATTTCCATATTGTGGTAATTAGTTTAAGAAGAAACTTAATAGTCATTTAGAAATAACTATCTTGGTGCAAATGTTCTTAAATGCTGCACTGAGTAAAGAATGTTATAATATATGTATGATTTATATTTGATATAACATTGGAGAAATGGTTATAGAATATAGTCTTTAGTATACATATGTATATCCATATACTTTATGCAAATATTTGTTAAATGTTTGACTAGTAAATTTTCACATATAATGTTATACCTAATTGCTTTTGTTAAAACTCCCATTTCATAATACTGACAATTTTAATAGTACAAAGGCAATGAGTTCTTCTTTTTAACAATAATGTATTATAGCTATTATTATCAACTACTAAATATTGAATGAAAGTTGTAAAATACATAAAAGCTTTTGTGTAATAAATGAATTTAAAAATTGTTATTTCTGTATAATTTTGATTAGAAACATACATAAATAATTCAACTTTTTATTGTACTTAAGTGCAAGAAGCCACTTAAAATAGATTTATAAGTATGTTGGGGTACTTTGTTTTATTCATATTTAATTAATGCACAGTCATATAGACAACATATTTTTGGATTACAATTTACTTTGGACTATTCTCTTCTCAATATTATTTCTGTAATTTAGTGTCCCATAATAGCCGATGCTTTTTTATTTGGATATAAACTTCTTTACTTCCTTTTTTGAAAAATTTATTTTCCTTTTCTCCATATGCAATTAATTCATGATATTTTGGAAGTTTGTTGTGGTCATTACTACACTATAATAATAATTGATAAGCTATGAAAAACTTATCACAACTTTTCATAGTCGCATCTCATAAACAACAATACCTATATATTAAATACCAATCCGGAGTGGGGGGGGAATGGCTATCGATGCCGCTGCAAGTATTTGTGCAGGTCGGCGTGCTGTGTGTATGTGTGAACGTAGTTCAACATTAATCGACCGACGTCAATGTGTTTTTTTATTCGAACAATATTTTTGATGGTTACTTATGTAGGTATGTTTAATATTGGTCATCCGGTTTAAGAGTGCAACCTAGAATTTAGAGCTTCGGAACGGTATCTTTAAATTTAGATGATGTCTAAACAGCCAAGAGCGCCAATAATTTTATAGGGTTGATAAACCATCATCAATTCAATACATATTATAAAACAAAGTCACCTGCCGCGTCTGTCTGTTCGCAATAAACAGAAAAACTACTGCACCAATTACCAAGCTTTCAGTATTCTATAGCGTGAATCTCGAGAAAGGTGTTAATATATAATTTGTTAAGGTTTTGTATTGATTTGTGTTAACATTAAGGATATTTGTTGAAGATGTCGGGAAAAAATGAGCTGCCTGGGATCTTTTAGCGAAAACGCTGCCAAAACCCTTTGAGATATAACAAAACAATGTATAGTGGAATTTTGTATCTAATCTAGGTCTACCGAAAAGTCCGCGATGTCATATGTCTGTCTCTTAAGAATAACATACTATATCCATTTTACTACTTTTAAAAATTGTCATTCATGGAGCGTTTATAGAGAGCTATTTTCATAATTACAGTATTAATCTTATCAAAATAAATAACTTTGTTTTCAAGGCTGCGTTGTTACGCAAGTATAACCAGATAATAAGTTCAAGGTATAACAATGGTATAAAGTTCGGAATGCTGACCCTGTGCCATCGGTGGGAATGGGAAAGAGAAGACCATCAGTGGGAATGCAGAATGCCATTCAACATACGAGTATATTCATTCATATATACCGCTGACTTACAGACACCTCTTTAGCATGTAGTTAGTCATAAGACTTAATTATAGAATGGGTCTTAAGTCAATCGCTGACTTAAAGACCCCGCCTTAGCTAAAAGTTTAAGTTAAGTCTTAATTGGTAATTGAATATATTTTATAAGCAAAACGGATTTTTCGTGCATCCTTCGCTACAACCAAACGTAATTACGTCGGTATATCTATAAAGTATTTTTTGAATTATATTTAATTTGGACTTACCATTTAAAAGTTATTATAAGTTTAATAATTCTCAAAATTAAATCCACGCGATAGCTCACTTTTACAAAATTTTACTGTTTTTTTTTTACAATATTACAATATTTCACAAAATTTTATTGTAATAAAACAATATTATTAACATAAAAATAAACCGTTTTTCTAAGTTCAAACTTAATGTTTTAATTAAGAAAATGATGAAATTTTTGTTTGTTTTCATTTAACTTAAAAAGAAAGTACTCTAGGCGTCATACGCAACATAGGCTATTTTAGATTTTTGTAAAGTATCACTGCGAAGCTGGGATGGGTATATATATTTTGTTTTATAAATAAATAAAAAATAGTGGTGAAAATAATATACAAATTTTACCTTTACCTGCTTTATTATGACAACAAAAATTTGCTGTATAATCTGTCTTCACTCTATGCTCTATTGTTGTAATGTCTTCTGAAATGTCTACAAGTGATTTCTTGTATTGTATTAATATTGTTTCTATTTTGTCCTACTTATTATATTACAAATATAACTGACATTTGTTTGTATTTAAAAATCTGTGTACCGCATATGTGCTAAGTGATACAACTCCGATATGTGGTATGTAATGACATTTTACTGTTGTTAATAAGTGTACGCCAAACATAAATAATGTATGTACCTATTTGGTTTTAGTTCTGAAATGCCGAAAGAGTTTCAGAAGACTTCTGAGGTTTTACCGTTCACGAAATATGGTATTTCCACAGTGGATGAATTTCAAAAAGTTGAAAAGGATATGCATCATTTAGAATGGTTAAAAAAGATTGGTTTAACATCTGAAGAGATCAATTTATACCAAGAAAACGAAGCAGGTCTTCTAGACCAACGTAAAAAGATTGAGTCCAGTGCATTAAAGTCTAAATTGGAAGCATTGTATAATAAAATCAATGAAAATCAAAATTCATCAGGAAGGTAAATTCTTAGATTTTTTTTCATTAGAGAACTATGTAAATGATTCATTACTTTTTGTTTATTTCTGAATAGAAATATCGAAACTTTGTATTAAGGTAGATAATAGTAAATCCACCATTAAGCTGATAAAGTGTATGTGTAATGTTTGCAAAATATGTAATATTACAGTTGAAAATTTTTATGGTGGTATTATTAAAAATGTATGTAATATATATATTTTATGTACATGCAGTTCAAAAGAAACCAATGTCAGCCCAGGAACGTCTGATGTTCAAGAGGATAGATTAAAAAGATTGCAGACAAAAACAATTTCGTTTTTTCCCGAGGGACATCCAATGAACGAGCTGAAAGAGATTGAAGAAAACCTATTTGGACATTTGAGGAATGATAACATATTACCGTTAACAAAAAGACGTAAAATACTAAGACGACTCGAGAGAAAAAAAGAAAAATTAATTTTACAGCAAAAGCAACCAGGAATTATACCTGTTGCTGGCCCGTCGGAAGTAAAACCAGGAAGTCTATGGGATGTTAAAGACAGACCAAATAAAACATTATCGGAAAAATCAAAGTTGATAGGTCCAAAACAACAGAATATGTACACTGTGAAAAATAATAAAATTGTCAGATTGGAACCCATACAAAATGAGGATGAAAGGGAACAAGAGTACCGAGCGGTTGATATTGTGGTTCCTGTAAACGCAGCAGAAGAACAATTGTTAGAAGGCACCAAGATGTGCTTGGATGATATTAAGAAGATAGAAAGATTTAAGGATTATGAACCTGGTATACCATCTAAAGTGAGTGATTTATTATATAAATATAGAGTCATATACAAATCTTTAAAAAATTCCATTGTGTAGTGTTAAATGTGATTATTAATTAAGCTTGTAATTTTTCTTTAAGATCTATATCAGACAAAAAATATATATTTGTGAAAATCTACTTCCTATTGTAAGACAATTTATTCTTAGTTATTGTGTTTTCAACATAACTAAATCTTAACATCTCATTAGCACTCAAAATGCCAAAAAATATGATTTCAAAGGTTCCATTACTAATGTATCACTGATAACATTTTGTATTGCTTATTGACTTTATCAGTGAAATTGATAACACAAATACTGTAAATCTTTAAGAGCTAATTTAATTTTAATGTATCTTTATGTATATTTCAGGTGTTATTCCTAAAGAACATATCACCGAGTATAACTCAAGAACAGTTATCGCTATTGTTCAATCAGTTCCACTTAGAGAATGGTGGTCCGGTACAATTGAGACTTATGTCGGGATGGATGAGAGGGCAGGCTTTCGTGACATTTCAAAGTAAATAACTTTATATACACATTAAATTTATTAATATTACAAAAGTATCGGATTACTTATATTCTTAATTATACTTACTCTAAAATTACTTTTACTAATGTCTAAATGTTTCTTAATTTTCCAGGTGAAGACTTAGCTATACAAGCTTTAGAAGAAGTGAATGGTACAATAATGAGTGGTCAGCCAATAATAGCTCAATTTGGCAGAAACAGCAACAGGATACAAATTGAAGAAAATAGATAAATCATACAAATTAAATTAATATACTCGGTACGGTGTACTCCTAAGTATCATATTATAAATTTTAAGTAATCTAATATATACTTATAGTCTAAGAATATTAAATGTATATAGTGTTACAAAACTATCTCTTAATTTCTCCTAAGTTACACAAACTATTTTCTAGTAAGACTTATTTATCCAGCTAAATAGTACTAACTACAACTATGCTTAGAGCCCAACATATCCCCTAAGAAATAATCAAATTAATACAAAACTTATACAAATACCATATATAAAATAAACATTCTGCTTTAAAACCTTATGTAATATAACTTCTTATGTTATAATTACTTACTACACTAGTTAAACTCCAGTCACACACAAGTGTTTATACACATCACATCCAAGTTTAGTCGATTTTTGAAGACTTGACAGTATTTTTAAGGCTAATAATGCTTGTGGGTCAAGTCTAAATTAAAAATGACTAAAATATTCACTGTTGTTCCTTGGATGATGATTTCCTGCGCCGTTTAACGACGCGTTTCGGTGACAATCATTCGGACTCCTTCTTGGCAGGTGGTTCCTCAGCTATGAAAGAAATATAACATTATATATATTTTTATATCACATTAAATATGATTATAATTTCAACGACAGGAATCTAAAACACTGGAAACTAAATGAAAAAAGAAACTTATAAATTGTGAGTTTGATAGTAATCCTACTAATACTATATGTAATTGCAAAAGTTTGTGAGTGTGTGTGTATGTTTGTTACTTCAAGCTCAAACGGCTGAACCGATTTTGATAAAAAAAATATACAGGAAACTGACGTCCTGGAATAACATATAGGCTACTTTCATCCCGAAAATCCGCGGTTAACACCGCGGGGCGCAGATAGTAATAAATATTTTTAAAACTATATATTAGCAATCATGATTTTTACGATAAAGTAATGTATATCACGCTCACGCTTAACGTCATGATGAGCGGGGTGTTGTGGGTGATGTGAGTAGTGCTCCGCTGGGAAGTAGTGCGAGTATGGAGGGAAACCACCGACGCCGCCCACGGGACCAACAGCGCCCACACCGCCCACGGGCCCGACAGCGCCCACGGGCCCAACACCGCCCACGGGCCCAACAGCGCCCACGGGACCTACTCCGCCCACACCGTAGCCTGGATAGTAACGCCCACCGTACGGCGCTGAGCCATAACCACCTTCACAATATATATGATGCTGTTAGTCACATTTTCCACATGTAGTTAGTATTTGTTTTAATGATTATGTTATATTTATAATGACCATATAATATGAAGGTGCAAGGTTAATATGAGTGTTAATGATTATGTTACTCAAATATTTGACATAAACTTGTTAGCTAGCATATTGTTACAAGACTAGTAAAAATAGTGATTAGTAAGATAAGAAATTTAGTTAGTTAATAATTTATTTTACCGGGAGGTGGTGGGGCGTGAGGTGCCCCAGGTGGGGGGCCGCTAGCTCCCGGAGGTAACATCATAGCTGAAATATAAACATATTAAAATAATCAAGAATTGAGAATAGGACTTGTTGCTTTTTTCCGACTTTATAAATTTTTTAGTTAGGAATTATTTTTCATTAACAAAATATTTCTAATAAATGTGTAACACAATAAATTATAATAAATATATTAAGTGACAAATTATAGATTTAGATATATATATACCATTTTAAAATCTAATTAATAAAATATCGTTGTTAATAAATAACTTGCTTTAAATGACAGTTTAAATAGAAACTATGTATCAACATTTCTTGTGTGTAAATTCAATTCAATTCTGATCTTCACATTTCTGGTACAAGTACATAATTTTCATTATATAGCACTAAACAATCATTATATATTTCCTTCATTTCTAAATATTATAATAATAGTAATATATTTGATAGTTATTCGATCCTGGCAAGTACCAATGTGATTTTTCGGAGTCATATGTACTTTCTAAGAGTATTTAGACATCACTGATTAATGCATTCCCAAAGAGGGTTGATGTCAGGCAGGCGGCCGGTCGTAAAAACAATTAGCCAAAACTATTCACAACATGTAAGTCAGACCCTGGCTAAAGCTGGGAAATTGCCAGGTAGAAGACGATATTTGATAGTTATATGATTATTAAGGAAGTTTTTATTGTATTTACTATACATATATTATATACCTGGGTGTGGTGGCGACGTGATCTGCGGCTGAGGCGGCCCGGCCGGCGGAGGACCCTCCTTACTCTCAACTTTCATTTCAATCGGCTTATCTTCTTTACGATCACCTGAATTATAAAATAATATATAACTTCTATAACTTATAATATACTAAAAACTCATGTGTTTCTTTTAGAAACATTTATCAATTAATCCATCATAGTATGTTTGTATGTATTCATGACACTTCTAAACCTACATACTTTTCCTTACAATATGAACAACTACATTATAAAATAAACTAATTGGATATTATTCAAATTTAATTCCTTTAAATTTTGTCGCATTAACAGACTATTCATAATTTTGATCTTGTCATTATCTATGTTAATAAAATATAATCAATAAAACAATTGAATTACAATAGCATACAATTTATTCCACACTAGTTTTCCGCCCGCAGCTTCGCCCGCGTGGAGTTCGGTTATATCTCGTTTCCAAGAGAATCTTTCAAAAGTGTGGGATAAAAACTATCCTATGTTTTTTCTCAAGGTCAACTCTATGTCTGTACCAAATTCATTAAATCAGTTCAGTGGTTTAGGCGTGATAGCGTAACAGACAGACAGAGTTACTTTCGCATTTATAATATTAGTAGCGATAACTGTGTTATATATACTGTAATCATTCTCTATACCTTCTTCCTGAATTTGTTTTTCATCATTCTTCAACTCCGTAGTAATGTTTGTATCCTGTTTCCCTTCAGTGGTAGACACTTTGTCGACTTGAGTGGGCGCGTTGGGACCATTCGTTTCTGGTTTGGGCGGATCTTGATCCATTGGCTGAAGTATATGTTATAATTTAATTGAAAATCACAGTGGACAAAATGTAAGCACTAATATATTCATATATATATACTCTATATATACTCTTTATAAGAAATAAATGTCTTTAAACCGAATATATATTAAAAGACTAGCTGACCAAGCAAACGTTGTTTTGTCATATAGAAGAGAGGTTGGAGATAAAAAAAGTAATTTTTTAGGGTTGTATATATTTTTTTAATGAAACAAAATAAAAAAAAGAAATTAAAAATGTCTAAATATTAAAGAAAATTGTTGGAGACAACCCTTATCACTAAGGGGTAGGAAAAATAGATGTTGGCCGATTCTCAGACCTAATCAAAATGCTCACAAAATTTCATGAGAATCGGTCAAGCCGTTTCAGGCCTCGGCCTCGAATTTTGCGGGCAGCGGAGCGGCAGCGGGAGCGACAGGATCTTACGCGTATAATCAAATGGACCGACCCTCGAATACAGCGGTGCCCGCTGCCCGCTAGTTTGGAGAATAGTATGCGTTTCCGTGCCGCCGCCGCCGCCGCTCCGCTGCCCGCAAAATTCGAGGCCGAGGCCTCAGAGGAGTACGGGAACGAACATTGTGACACGAGAATTTTATATATGAGATATATGATTGTTGATACATACATATACTTAATCTCCTAAATAGGTGTTAAAAAATTTTCTCTAAAATAAATATGATCGACAAGTATTCCGTTATAGGAAGGACTATACTAGTTAAGTAAGGACCAAACGAGTTAAGTAAAGACTATACTAGTTAAGTAAGGAATATACTAGTTAAGTAAGGACTATACTAATTAAGAAAGGACTGTACTAGTTAAGTAAGGACTATACTAGTTAAATACAGACTATACTATCTAGTTAGTGACTATACCTCATGAGGTCGAGGATGAGCCGGCTGAGCGTGTTGTGCCGCGTGGTGGGGATGTGTAGGGTGCGAGGGATGCGTAGGGTGAGTCGCGTGAGGATGCGAAGGGTGCGGGTGATTAGGATGTGGGTGCGGCCCAGCAGCACCCCTTCTCTGCTGATCGATCGCTCGCTCCACCATCCTGGCGAAAGTTTCGTCATCCACGGCTGGTTTACAATGCTGAAACAGTTACAGATTATAAACACACACACTAATCTATTGTATAATGTACAAACTGTTTAGAAAGATCTTTTTCGTTTAAATCTATTTCTTTAGTTAAATTTTATATTATAACTGCCATGTAATAAAATATAAGTTTTTTGAGTATTTCTTTGAATAACAGTGCAAACTCGATATAACAAATCGAAGGAGAACAAGAAAATATTCGTAATATCAAGTAATTCGTCGAACTGAGGTTTGTTATGTTGAGATAAGGTTGGTCTAAAATTCGTTATAAAAAGGTAAAATAATAGTTTTATTTACCTCAACATTACGTTAATATTCTTAATTAATAACAACTTCTACTAATAAATAATAACACATTTTTATCAAATTACTACTGTTTACATTCAAAACTGTTAAACTAATTATTAAATTTAGCCTTTGATATTAATCTACATAATATGTATATTCTACATGTAAATATAATCTGTGTGACAGTTGAATAAATTCTCTCTCTGTGATTCTCTAACAAGTGTAGTTTAATTTTCAAGACATCTCCTCCATTTAATAATAAAGTTATCAGGTTATGGGCCCAGTCAAACTCTCAATTCCTGTTCAGTGTAGTACAGTATAAATTTAAAGTCATCATCCTGTAAATTAAAGCAAATTAGTTGATTTTGAACAAACAAACGTATAACCTACAAAATTGTCCACGCGGTCGCCGAAGTTTTTGGATTTCAGCTATAATTTTGAGATAAAATGTCATCAAACGGATCATTGATTCAAATTGAAAAACTTACAGGCCGAGATAATTGGACAAGCTGGAGTTTTGCAGTACAGGCATACCTGGAACTGGATGATTTATGGGAATGTGTCCAAGGAACAGATACTGATCCAAAGAAAGAGAAAAAGGCAAAATCAAAACTAATATTATTAATCGATCCAATAAATTTTATACATATTCAAGATGCGACGACGTCAAAACAGATTTGGGAAAATTTATTAAAAGCATTTCAAGACTCTGGTCTACTGAGAAAAGTTGGTTTATTGCGAGACTTGATTAACACTAGTTTAGAAACGAGCACCAATGTAGAAGATTACGTCAACAAAATCATGAGCTCAGCTCATAAGCTGAGAAATATTGGATTCAGTGTTGATGATGAATGGCTCGGGACCTTGATGCTTGCAGGTTTGCCCGATGAATACAAACCTATGATTATGGGTATTGAAAGCTCAGGAGTAAAAATAAGTGCAGATCTGATTAAAACTAAACTTTTACAAGAAATAAAAGATACATCAAGTAATTCAGCTCTGTACACAAGTAATAAAAATGCTCAAGCTAAGTTCAAAAATACAAAGCATCAGTCAAAGTCAAAAGGTCCAAGATGTTTTAACTGTAACAAATATGGACACCTTGGTAAAAATTGTTGGTTTCTAAAAAATAAATCACAGAGTAAAGAAAATAACAAAGGTTTTGTGGCAGCTTTCTCGGCTATGCAACTGAATGATTGTGTGAACTGGTATGTAGATTCAGGTGCTTCGATGCATATGACAATGCATAAAGATTTATTACAGAATGAAACAATACCACCGATATCCACAATCAAAATTGCAGACAATAAAACTTTACAAGTCAAAAGCTGTGGAGATGTGATACTGCATATACCTAATAAAGATGGCAGCAGCAGTGAAATACTAGTAAAGAATGTTCTATATGTACCAAAATTGTCTACAAATTTACTATCTGTTAGTAAAATAATAAAATCTGGTTGTAAAGTGGAATTTGATAAAACTGGCTGCTCAGTATATAATATCAAATAATCAAAAAGTAGCCACAGCTAATCTAATAAATGATACATATAGACTGAACATAAATTACAGTAAAATATTTGCCATGTCAACAAAAGCAGAGTCAATTACACATCTATGGCATCAACGTATGGGCCATCTAAATTATAATGATGTTCACAAATTACCTAATTGCACAACTGGTGTACAGTTATCATCACAGAATGAAAAGTATGTATGTATAAGATGCCTAGAGGGCAAGCAAACAAGGCAATCATTTCCAAGCAATGGCTCCAGGGCAAATGGGTTGCTAGAGCTAGTCCACACAGATGTATGTGGCCCGATACAAGTTGCTTCGATTGGCGGTGCCAAGTATTTTACAACTTTTATTGATGATTATTCAAGAAAAGTCTATGTATACATAATTAAAAGTAAAACAGAAGTGTTTGAAAAATTTATTGAATATAAAAACCGAGTAGAAAATGAATTAAATAAAAAGATTAAAATTTTACGCAGCGATAATGGATTGGAGTATACAAATAAAAACTTTGCTAATTATTTAAAGAAAAATGGAATATTACATCAGACTACCAACCCCTACACGCCACAACAAAATGGTCTCAGCGAGAGAATGAACCGGACATTGATTGAACGAGCTAAATGCATGATGCTTAATGCTGATTTACCAAAGAATTATTGGGCTGAAGCTGTAACAACTGCGGCATATATAATTAACCGCTCGCCCACACATGCTTTATCAGATATTACACCTCATGAAGTATGGACCGGACAAAAGCCAGACTTAAGCAATATCAGAATATTTGGTTGTCCTGCTATGGTGCACATACCCAAAGAAAAACGTCAAAAATTAGATGTGAAATCTCGTCAGCTAATCTTTGTTGGGTACAGTGAATGCACAAAAGGCTACCGGTTTATAGACCCGAAAACAAATAAGGCAGTGATCAGTCGGGATGTACACTTTCTGGAAGAAAACATTAAAAGTAAAATAGTAGAATCAATTTCTTTTGATACATTTTTATCAAATGTGGAGCTGCTGTAACATGGAGCAGTCAAAGGCAACACACTGTCGCTCTATCAACTACGGAAGCAGAATTTATGGCGGCCTGTGCTGCCACCAAAGAAGCCATCTGGATTAAACAATTATTATGTGATCTTGGTGAATTTCAGCAACAAATAGTAATGATAAATATAGACAATCAAAGTGCAATAAGTGTTATTAAAAATGTAAATTTTCATAAGAGGTGTAAACATATTGACACTAAATATCATTTTATTAAGGAAAAGTTTTATGCTAAAGTTATTGATCTTAAATATGTTTCAACATGCAATCAACTTGCTGATTTTCTAACAAAGGCTTTACCTAGGGACAAATTTCAATATATGAGAGACCAAATTGGAATGTTACCTATGGATATGTTGTGTAATGTTAATGTAATTAAGTAATTTTATTTTACTTCTGTAATTAACTTGGTACATGAAAGGCTCAAATTTGGCAGGAGTGTTAAACTAATTATTAAATTTAGCCTTTGATATTAATCTACATAATATGTATATTCTACATGTAAATATAATCTGTGTGACAGTTGAATAAATTCTCTCTCTGTGATTCTCTAACAAGTGTAGTTTAATTTAAGTTTGTTAGAAAAGAATGTTCGCAATGTAGAGGTATATTTTATATTGAATCGTATGGACAATTCAAGGGAATTACGAAAAATTCGTTCAATCGAGGAATTCGTTATATTGAGGTACGTTATAGTAAGGTGGCACTGTAATTGTTTTAATATATTTCTCTTCTGCATATGTTCCTACTAGTTATTATTATTGATACTACCTTCTTTAATTCTTCCTGGAAGGATTCACTGCTCTCTATAAACTTCCTTTTCTTCGCTTCAAACTTCTCTTCTATCTGTTGAAGTTCGTCTTCTAGTTTCTTCTGATGCATCGTCAATGATTGTACTTGCTTCTTTAAGATCTGGAAAAACATTATTATTTTCTATATATGAACATATTTCAATGTTTTGACAAAGACTTCATGTTCTCAGAAATTTATTTAGGGGGAAAGCATAACTGAAGCATAATAAAATATCTGAAATTACTATGTTGTAATGAGTTATATTTTAAACACTCCCATCTATATCAAACATTATAAAATATAATGTTTCATATAATTGAATAATAATTATCAATTATTATTTTAAGTCAGTGGTGACCTAGTGGTTAAAAGGCCCGCCTCTCATGCATGAGGGCGCGGGTTCGATCCTAGCGGGAGAAAGTACCAATGTGATTTTTACGAGTCATATGTACTTTCAGAGAATATTTAGATGTTAATATATAATATTTAGAATAATAATGTTGATTCCCAAAAGAGGGTTGATGTCAGGCAGGCGGTCGGTCGTAAAAACAAATAGCCAAGAACTATTCACAACATGTAAGGCAGACCCTGGCTATAGCTGGGAAAATGATAGGTAGAAGTTATAACGCTTATAATAATTATAATCGGTTCATTTACCTGCATCCTAGCGGTAGTGACAACCGATCTTACATCTGGTACCACCGTGTCGGAGAAGATCTCGTTAATAAGACGGTGATTACGAAGATAGCGTGCATACGCCACGTGCTTCACTGACAGACCCTCGTCCTGATCTGAATATAACATATTAAATGATTATTTTCCACTTTAAATGTAGTAATTAAATGCTTCATGCATACACTTTTGCTTGGGGAGGAAAACAAGGAGAGTTATGTAGGACTCTCGTCGAATTTTTAATTGCATTTTTTGAATATTAAAATACGATTAATTTGATTATAAATCTGGATTATTTGTAATAACTGTAATATTCATACAATCGTATTGACTTTAAAATCTTTTTGTAATACTTTTTAATTAGAAAAAATACTATTATGTCAAACGCGAACAAGTCGTTGGTAGCAAATATCCCTACTAATATTATAAATGTGAAAGCAACTGTATCTGTGTGTCTGTAACGCTTTCACGCCTAAACCACTCAACTGATTTTAATGAAATTTGGTACAGAGATAGAGTTGACCTTGAGAAAGAATATAGATTAGTTTTTATCCCAGACTTTTGAAAGGTTCTCTTGGAAACTCGCGTTTCGAACTCCACGCGGGCGGAGAGCTAGTAAGTAATATGTTGTTTTTTGGTTATTGATTTATATACATTTGAATAGATTTAGATATTTTTAGATAAAGTCACTGTGGCTAGCTTTGTGATGATATACTCTTTTACATATTGAGTCTATCATTTTTTTTTTGCCGGAATATTCAACTACCCAATACATAAGGTAAATAAAGCTAAGAATTAGAAACTACAAAACATATCCCACTAATATTATAATTGCGAAAGTTTGTGAGTGTGTATATGTTTGTTACTTCTTCACGCTCAAACGGCTGAACCGATTTTGATAGAATTTTGTATACAGGAAGCTGACATCCAGGAATAAGACATAGGCTACTTTACATCCCATAAATAGTAGGTAACACCGCGGGACGCAGCTAGTAAACATATATAAAGTTACCATCTTCATCTTCAGCTGGTTGTATGTCAATTCTTCTGTCTTGCTGCTGCGATTCCTTCTGTGAGCCTCCCTTCTTGCTTGAACTCTCTTCCTCCAAATTCCCAACTGTTTAGAAAAATGGTAGTTTAATCACAATTTTTTACTATTTCCTTTATTGTTAATAGTTATCTTTATTAAACTCAAATATGTAGAATATTCTTTGGAACACTTATGATAAGCATTTGCATGATAATATCAGTCAAATCATTTCCTACACGGAAATATATGTTTTTTGTTGCTACTATATACAAATTTAGTTAAAAATCAATCAGTATTTTCATAATTTTTAAATCTAAATTTACTTTATAAATTAATAAAGGTCATAATAAATTTTGTTTATAATATACTTAAGTACTTTTCATGAGTAGCATAAGAGTAGTTTAACTTTAGTTTGGATTTATGAAAGACTAAGTTCTTTAAGAAGTAGCATATATATCCTACTAATATTATAATTGCGAAAGTTTGTCAGTGTGTGTGTATGTTCTTTACTTCTACACGCTCAAACGGCTGAACCGATTTTGATAAAATTTTGTATACAGGAAGCTGACGTCCAGGAATAACACATAGGCTATTTTACATCCCGGAAATCTCGGAAATCCGCGGGGCGCAGCTAGTATATGTATATATATAATGTATAGAACATGCAAAATATATCATACCCTTACCAACAGCCTTGTTCTTAGCGGCGATGTATGCGAGGTACGCCGGGGAATTGTGGTATGTCTTCAAACTCTTCTCGTATTCCGACTAACGTTAATATACGTGCATGTGGAGAGAGGTGCGTGTTAGTTACGTGGTGATATGATGCATTATTTGGAACATCCATTGAGCCTGGATTTGAGGTGATTTGACCGGATTTGATTTGGAACACTATCCATTGAATCTGGATTTGAGGTGATTTGGTCGGATTTGATTTGGACAAATTTTTATAACTAATCATATTCTGATGATAAATGATCTTAAATTTTAAGACACTTGTGCAACAATTTACAGTGTTTTGATAGTCTAGCATTCTACTGAACACAATATGTAGTCGCCACAAGTATTGATAGCTGGCTCGGGTCACTTTCCTTTACCACAGTGGAAGCGAGTGATTGTGTGACAAACAAAAGTCAATTTTTACTCTAACAAGATCACCTTTGTTCTTGTGAGCCAGCCACTGTAAGTATGCGGGCGATGATTGGTATGCTTTCAACATTTCTGTGTACTGCGCCTACACCATAAATCATTAATATGCATATCCCTTAGACTATATGTCATTTTCAGACCATTTTTGCTAGATCAGATATCAAAAATTTCAAACCTAATGATTTTACTGCATTTTGAATAAAAATCTGAACTAATTTAATTTTGATAATAGTAATTGTTAGGTACATCATTCACCAGTAAATCCCTATCAAGGTACATAAGAAAAATTATATAATTTCTCATAAAATCTATCGTTCTGATGAAATAAATTTCATTTAATATCCCAATTCTAGTTATCAAGTAAATAAGTGTTACAAAACTTAGTTGTATAATTCTTTCATCATAAAAAATGTAAAAATAATTGTTTTATACATTTGATTACTCAACATACCTTCTCAGCTTCATATTCATCCACAAAAGCATACTTTTCCGACTGCGGCAGATCTCTCCACATACCACCAATAATTCTGCCGATTTCCCATAGCTTTAGATCTGGATTTGCTGCCTTTACACTGTCCCAAACTCGTCTCGAATATCTCATGTATGGCATAAGAGGCTTTTCTGGTGGCTTCGGTGGTTTTGGCAGGCCGGCACCCTGGAAATTAAAGTTATACTCATATGTTATTATTTATTATGACTATTTCAATAATATAGATATTTTTTTTCCAGCTCTTTATACTGAAACAAGTATGTTGTGATTGATTTAAAATGTATATAGTTTGGTAAGAAATATCAATAGCCAAACCTAAATGTTACTCTTTTGAAGTATAAGATAGTAAATGGAAATTATAATGTAATATGTCGTCGTCATCAGCCTATCAGAGCCCACTGCTGAGCATAGCCTCTTTCTCACATGGTGAAGGTTTATGTAATATGTAGTTTGAGATTCCACAGTTGATTCTTACCCCACCGGTTCCTTTGCCAATCTTCTGCGGTTGGAATCCGGGATGTGAATGTATTGTCGACACGAATGGGCTCGTCTTGTCATCTTTGCCTGGCTGCGAGGCTGCTCCGGCCGCCCTTCGAGCGCTCTCTGCAGCGAAACGCGGCGAGTGTTGCCAACCGTACCCCCCATGAACCGAGGGGGGAGGCAGGCCCCCCCCACCCTGATATGAAGGGTGGTACACGTGCGGCGGTGCATTCATACCGCCTTCAAGCCAAGCAGCGTCGCAATACAATGAAAGAAAAAACAAAAAGCGTAAAGGATAGGACGGGTAACGGAACGCGCAAAATAAAAATAATGCATCTATCTAAATTAGTCTGCGGCTAGCGGTTAAGTAGGCTCTAACAGCGTATATATAAACAGATTTGATTGCGAGTCGATATCATTACAATATTCATCATAATAAACCCCAAAAACCTAACGTTTTTTAATAAATTTTGATAATGTATAATAAATCAGATGTATTATTACCTTTCATCATACCGAAACTCATTGGGGGCCCCGCAATCATGTATTCTGTTTCAACATAACAAAACATGTAACAAATCCAAAATAAGAGAACAATGTAAGTCTAATGCATAAAGAAAAATAAGAGAAAATAAAAGTATAAAGTATCATTGCAGATGCATAACTGTTTATAATAAAAGCAGATAGAATGCGTCATGCATGTCTGCTGAGTGGTTACCAGCATCGCTCAGTACCGAGCCCTCCAAGCTTGCAAAGTCGGGGCTCATACTTTGCATGTTATATGTTAGTATCTAACATTCTATACATTAATAATAATGCCATTCGCAGGCAGTCCTAGTGCCTTCATTCTATATACTCTATGTTTAAACTATGAGTACGGTGATTAACTGTTTTTTTTTATATGTAATGGTATTTGAAAGAAACAGTGAATACAAACGCGTATTGTTCTGAGGGCTTGGCATCGACATTGATGTGTTTTGTTTGTAGCTGTTTGTTGTAGCCATAACACGCTGTAATTAAATAAATATATATAATACGATACAATACATCCTTTAAGGTTATCAATAAAATATCAGTGTGTTATATAAATAATCAATACGTAGGGCAATAATTAATAAATATAAAAAGTAAATACATATGCAATAATATAATTAAGTTAATTTAATTAAGGTTTTTAATAAAAATGTAACAAACAACTTATTGCAATCAACTTCAGTTACAAATGTAATGAAAATTGCCTGTATAGCAGATTCCATAGCTATTTTTACCTGAAATGATATAAAAAATAACTTCCTGATAGCTTGTCTCCTCTTTAAAACCCCAGTAACAATATTTTCACCTGAAAGTAATATAGCGTCACTAAATCAAGACGCCATTCCCAATTAAATAGCGTCGGACATTTTGATGTTTGAATGTTGACAAACTGACAAACGACATTGACAACTGACAAATCATCAAGAAGTTTAGAAATTTAAGAAATAGTAAATTATCTTATAAGGAGGAACATTTATTTATAAAATAAATTTAATTCTATTGAAAAATTACAATTTTAAGATTATAGACTTTAGATATGCGAAAAGTAAACTTTACTGAAAATAATTTTAATTTTGTAAAATATTTTTAGTCTCTGTAGCATTAAAATAATTTATTGTAAAAATATACTAATTTTCTGTAAATTTTGAGTTATATAAAGTAAACTGTTAATGTTTATGTGTTTTTTAGGAAGAAATACAAAAAATAACGTTATTAAAAACGCAAATTTTTAACATTTGGGAATTACTGTCATGTATTTCTTTTTCAATTCACGGAGATACAAATTTGAACTAAATTACCAATAAAATTTCAAATATAAAAAATGTTTATTTATAGAATATTTTATATAATTGCAATACCGTCAGTAATTGGCAATTACCTTAATGACCGACTGACATTTGACACAGGTGAATGAAACTAGATTAGTACAGGTCGGTCACTGCACTGATGTATTTATTGTTGAGCTGTGGTCGCTGACATATTATATATAGTCTGTGCATAGTCCAAGTTTGCATCGACACTATATACGAAGAATTTTCCGTTTCTTATTCAACAATCTACGTTAATATTATAATATCTGAAGGTTGATGAATAAAAAACTGTTAACGCTACTTATTTAGTATGATGATCCTAACTTAGGCTAAATTTATTGATTGATAAAATAAATTTAAGAATTATTAATAGAAAATACCGTATATAAGTAATATTTTCTTATTTATGGGGATTGATTTCACATATTTCTTAAAAGGATTTTACTATCCATATTATCCTATCCAATAACCTATTTTAAATGATTAAGTTTCTCTTAAATTTATATAAAAACAAATAACTTTTTCAAAAAGTTAAACGAAAAAAAGGAAAAAAGTAATTACCATTAAATTCTAAGATACAAAAACTTTTTTATTTATTATTAATAATAAAAGGAAACCGTAAACAAAATAAGATTAAAAATGAAGTCGTATTTATTCTTTTTTTTTTGACAGTGACTATGATACGCAGATGTATTTTAATTTGGTAATTGAACTCTATTAAGCATCATACATAGGATATGGCAATTACAAATTATGAGATCAATTAAAGCGGTTAAAACAGCATTAACTGGATATATCTTGATATATTTATGATATTTTTTAAACATTTGCAAGTCATTTAGTAAACAAAATTGGTCTAATATCTTTTTATTATTCCCTATTAACGTTTAAACTTAGTAGTACGATTTTTTGGGGGTAATTAATTATGAAGAAGAGAATAGTATTTAGACATCACTGATTAATACATTCCCAAAAAGGGTTGATGTCAGGCAGGCGGCCGATCGTAAAAACTATAAGCCAAAACTATTCACAACATATAAGGCAGTCCCTGGCTAAAGCTGGGAAATTGCCAGGTAGAAGAATAACTAATTATGAAGAAGAAAATATAGTTTTCATACATATTCATCATACAATAAAAATGTTTGAGACAGTCACAAATATTGCTATAAAATATAAGTAGGCGCCTAGAACGTTAATGTCTAGACAAAATCGATTTATAAGTAATATCCACCAATCTTGAGATAAGAGAACACGAAATCATGTAGTGTGTATTATCAGAATGAGTAATGTTTTTATATTACATAGTTTTTATCACGCATAGACCACGTGCTGTATCATATACGCTTGATTCAAGGCAAACCTTGGTTGGTAGTGTGATTAGGAAAATGTGTTTACAAAACACTACTTATTTGATTACGTAGTTTTAATAATATTTTGTAAATATTCTATGATATTACATGTTTGGTATAGATATGGGTTATTAGTTAGTGTCTGAAGGTTTGGAAGTTTTGATTACAGTGAAAGGTCGTAAATTTTCTTTAAAGATAACAAAAGAAAGTTATATGTAGAAAAATTTGGATAATGTTATCAGAATTCCAATAGTTTTTTTTATATTGGCCATACAACTATTTAATTGTAAATTTTTGAAGTGCATAAACTCCTTACATAGTCTGAAAAAGAGTTACGAATTAAAAACGCATACATACGTCTATAAAATTTAATTCATTGATTTCCAATTCACTGAAATATGGAAGTTTAAAATTTCTGTTGTGTATGAGGCAAAGGAACTTATCTATTTTAAATGTTTCTCAAGATAAAATTGTCCAATTGTTTTAGAGTGAATTCGGAATCGGAATATTTTGTTTTCGACTTCAAGCTGTTTTTTAAGCAAAGTTTAAATACCGACTCTTTAAAATAAATACCTCATTTCATTAACTGATTCGAAAGACTTATTTTTAAGATAACTTTAAACATTTAAAGCAATTGATTGCCTTTATTCTTATCAAGCAAACCTAGTTTTTATAGACAGACATTTACATGTCGTCTGTCCGTGATCACGAAACGTCGGGAGTATGTAGTGTTAAATAAAAAAAATAACGCGTAGAAATCCAAAAATATAAGTTTCATTTAAATGAATACTCGCGATAATCTTAGATCTCATTTTTTGTATAGTTTACATATATTCCTTTTATTTCGCGGTAATGCTATATGTGTGTTATACAAATAGTTAATTGTCTGAAAGGCTGTAATCATAAACTCAGCCATAATGACTGAGACCCTGACTCAGTTATTGTGACATCAAGATACGTTACACTGTTATTATAATATATACATTATTCCAATGTTATTCATTCAGATATATTTAAACCAAAAAACTATCCATAGACACTTTTTTTTTAAATATAATATAGACAATATCAATAAACGTGTCAATAATAAATATTAATATAAAACCTTTTTGGAAATATAATTCGGCTGAATAGCGAATACCTCAATCATTAGCAGCCAATTGACATGTCATGGAAATTTTGTTTGTAGAAAAAAGATTAATTGATGTGGAGAAAGAATTAATTATAAGGGAAAAATTGCATTTTGTTTTTGATGTTTTTGGTATTTTTCCTTCGTTTTTTTGTGATGTTTTTTCTTGATAACAATGTTCCCAAAGTGCTTTTTGACGAATTTTAAATTTGTATTCGAATTAAATAAGAAAAATATTAGTTGGAGTTACGTTATTAAATCAACTTTTTTAAATTATTTCTGTTTTTATAATATAAAGAAAAACCTTGTCGAAAAAGTGAAAATAATTTTATAGTTGTTATAAAAGTAACAATTATACAAATCATAATTTCTAAGCGATGAAAATTTGTAATCGGTTTATGTTATCGTATTTTGAAATCACATTTTATGCAAGTTTGAAAACCAGAAGCAACGAGTGGAAATAAAAAACTATTGGTCTCGAAATACATAAACAATAAATGGAAAATATATGAGAATTTTCAGTCCTGTTTGTTTTAGTCTCAGTAAATACTCTTTGTAGATTTGGCAGACTTTCAAACACTCAATAATCATTGATATTCCAGACTTTGACTGAGACAAACAAAAACTCTTCCTTAATTTATTACATTCATATATATAGATATTAGACACTTATAAATTTATTTAAAGATGAACGTGTAAGAAAATTTTTCACGATTTTCTGATTATTCATTCTGTTTTGAAAAACTTTTTATAGTCAGAAAATTAAAAATATCCATAAAAATAAATGCTATAAAATAAAAATAAAAATGATGACAATGACTTTAATAGTGTTGGAACAAGTATGGAATATAATACATATACATATATACAAATACATAAACGCAGTCAAATTTTAAACAATCATTTACATATTAGATGTAATAATATACACATTCAAAATAAGCTATTAAAAATATAACACAGATTTCCTTAAGACACTCGAAAAGTTTAAACCTTCAGGTAAAACAAATAATATAACTATCGTTACAACTTACAGACATTACAAACTCGAATAAAAGATATTTTGGGCTAGACATCAACAAAATGAGTGTTACTATACATTACATACACACCCCGGTGATGACAGCTAGCAATAGTAGATAATTACAAGCCTATAACCTTCAAAACGCGGTAAACGCATTTGGCAGTACACTAGTTTCACACTACTCAGTAAACAAGCGATCAGTGCATTCTAAAAATACGCGCCGTTCTTTAGTTTGTATACAACAGTCCTTCGACGCGCACGTATTATTTGTTAAATAAAATGTGGCAGAAACTAGCACAGATGCTCTATACGGACGTGGATATGATGAGGTATAAAGATTATAATTATTATTCTGACGAAACCGTCGTACCACGCCGACCGAAGAAGAATCTGCCGCCTCTGCCCGAAGACAAGGAGTGCAGTAATTCAGAATTAAAAAAAACTTATGTGATAGTTATCAAGAAAAGGCGGCAAAGGAGACAGATCAATTTGCCTGTGCTACCAGAAAATGATGAGTGTTGATTGAACTTACATATTATTATATGTGAATGTCCGTTTAATCGTTGTCCTTGAAAATAGCCCCGAGGCCCGAGTGCAACGCATTTGTCATTGGTGCACACAATGTGATTTGCGACATTTAAGCATAAAAATGCCATGTCATTTACGCGGTGGATATATTTCAAAAATGTTATTATATTCTTGTTCGAGGTAGCATTTGAAAATATGTTGAAATTGTACATATATTGTTAACCTAATTTGTTGTTATGTGCGATCTCGTAGTTTTTTTGTATATTTAGTTATTTCTGTAGCATTTTTCAATTCCTCTGTTATTTGTTATTGTTTTTAAGTGTATTAGATACAATATATTATGTGTGTAATGAAAAGAAGAATTCTGTGTATATTCTACATTAGAGGAAAGTTCGTATCAACGATTCTATTATCACTGGTTTGTCAGAAATCGTAATGATAATATTTTATCGGGTATTATTAGCGTTTTATCAATTATCGTACAATTAATAATATTAAGGGAAATAAAGCTTAAAGAACATGTAATGCGCAGTTACACTATCTATATATCCAGTGATTCCGATTAACACTCATTATTATTTTAATTAAACGCACTTTGTAATCGCAACAATATTAAAACCAAAACAAAATCATTTCAAATATATGATTATTTTGTATATTACATATTGTTTTAATGTTACTTTCAATGTGTTTATCTGTGATAATTGTTTGTTTTAGAAAATAAATTTATTAAGTATTATATACATTATTTTTACTTTAAACTTCTAAGTCCTATCGTAAAATATGTTTTCCTATTAAAAATCTAGATGAATTGTATTAAAAGTATTACGTGTCCTACCTGGCAATTTCCCAGCATTAGCCAGGGTCTGCATTATATGTTGTGAATAGTTCTGGCTAATTGTTTTTACGACCGGCCTCCTGCCTGACATCAACCCTCTCTGGGAATGCATTAATCAGTGATGTCTTAATACTCTTAGAAACTACATATGAATCCGAAAAATCACATTGGTACTTGCCAGGGCTAGGATCAAACCCGGGCCCTCTTGCATGAGAGGAGGGCCTTTTAACCACTAGGCTACCACTGACATTTAAATCTAGATCTGTGTTTGTAGGTAACATAAATCAAATACTTATATTTCAATACACAATAAGCGATACATATTTTATATTCGAGAAATAAGAATTAAGGTTTTTCTATTTGAAAACAAAATTAGTCAATAACTATTTATTATCTTTATTAAAATGACAGTTGATGACATAACAAGATGCCATATCTTGACAGGATTTTATTTACCGATAAAGTACATTTGCCTTTCGAGTGATCGTTTTGGTTTTAATATTTAATCTTATTACCAAATGGAAATGCCAAATCAGGTATGTACAATATATAGAGTGCAATCAATATATAACAATGATTAATTAAAATGAAGGTCACCTTTCATTAAAAAAATCATTCGATTAAATGACGCTAGCCATCTATAAATAATTCTTTCGTATAATTATGTCAACTTGTAGAACTGTCATAATCATTTTTAATGCAAAAAGTTTTCATGGTTTCAAAGTTTTCTGCTATAAATATGAGAACTTATTGCTAATTTTGTTATATATAAACAAAAAAAACTGATTTTGGGTTAACCCGATTTAATTTGTATATAATATTCGTCGAAATCGTAAATTCACTCGTGCCTGACTCGCGGGAAGTAGCGGGAAATGTATTTCAGAGTTTACACATATTAAAGTATAGCTGACCTATTCTTACAGTAATATATGTAGTAGCATTCGACTTTTATAGTAACTAGATATATCTGAAACATCGATACTAGGATATAATAAATTGATTCAATTACAATACTCGTATCGTCACGATAGGGTTGTGGAAACCAACCAAAAAAGCGTTCAGTAAGTTTTGTGAGAGCCTTCTCTCTAGGCACTAGGTCTATAAAATCAAACGTCAAGCCTATTCAATCTAAGACTTTCGCGAGTTTTATTCATTTAAATGAAACTTATATTTTTCGGATATACTACAGGTGTTTTATTTTTGTAAAATACTACATACTCCCGACGTTTCGGGTATTCAGCTACCGTGATCACGGGCAGTCGAGATGCCGATAGTATGAACGAAAAATATTAGTTTCATTTAAACGTCGAGTCTTACTTTATATTTAAAGCGGCTTCGGATGGGACTATAATGATGGATGAAAAACAATACCCGGCACCCGCACGGTGAATCCATTGAATGCTGAGAGGTTTCATCTCATATAGTACAATATAAATGAGATTTTCTACATTTAATGACAGGACACATGAAGGCATCTTCGCGTATTCCCAGTTTCCACATTAGGTATATGGTTTGTCAAAATCATGGCTGTATGTATTATGCTTATTTTAAGTAAGACTTCAAAATGAGACGAAACTTCTCAGCATTACATGTATTCACCGTGCGTGTGTCGGATCCATCGTTGTAGTGAGAGGAGCTTCAACAGTGCCTGGGACTTGCGACCCAGGTGTAGGTTTAAGGGGCCCCTTAACTAACGCGCGTTATACGCTCACCTCCACTGTCCAAGCTCCTCTCCCTACCTAACCAAATTTGAAAAGAACCTACTATGGCTGCCTTCGACGTACGTTCCAAGAATGAATTGATGTTAGTTCTGGACGGGCCCAAGTCTTTTAGTAGGTTGTAGAGAGATTTCGCTGTTATACCTCTCGCTCCCACCTCTACCGCGTACAAATCTATCTAATTCTAATGAATAAAAAAATATGAATTATGAGCACTTACATCTTCTTCAACTTTGATTGTATCGAATTTCAACCGTTCGCGTAATTTTCTTACATACGTGTACGAGGTTTTCGTTTTACATATACGTATATAAAAATATGGATTATATAATATTATTTAATACCAATATCGTGTGAATAAGAATAACATCTAGTAACTGTCAAACTATTAAATTGTACAAGTGATTGTCTTGCGCAATGCGCCATATTTAAATCAAAAATAAAACATTTTACGATAATAAAGTCAAGATATAACAACACGTTTGTACTTGATTTATTAGAAATTTATCTATACATTGAAGTTGGATGAAATATTGTGCTATTGAATTTAGTTCAACATATATTTTCTTAAAGATTTAAATAGACGTAGAAGAATAATTTACATATATACTTGGTCAATTTTCAAACCCCACGCCTCGACCTTACAAACTGAATTGAGGTAATTTTTACGCATTTTTGGTCGACAATATACACTTATAACATTTCCGTTATCTTGTACACAAAGAACTTTGATTATCTGTGTATAAGTCAATGACAAATCGGTTTTTTTTCTATATCTAAAGTATGACAGATTTGCATTTGACAGTTTACGTGTTTAATACGTCCACTACAGATATGATACAGCCGGGATATTATTTATCTGATATAATCGAAAACAAAGTTACGAAGTAAAACAAAAAAGAGGCGCCTTATTAAAATATAGGTAGCGTTATTATGAGCTTTATGGCACCATTTTTATCTATATAATATGAGTTATTTCAATTTTTTAATATAATTATTTTTGGAAGTCTTAAATAAAATTATAATTTTGGGTGAAAACTATGTACATACTGCCAACGTTTCGGTTGCTGCAAAGTAACCGAAACATTGGCAGTATGTACTCTTAGTTAATAAAAATCTCTTATTTAATCCGGAAAAAATTAGTTTTAGTTTTGGATCTAATTATAAAATAAAAACGTTTTATCATATATACATATATAGACTCGATTCTAAATACATTTACTTACAGTGGCGACGAACTTAATTTTGTCATACAATTGTTTACATCGTACTTACAGCCCACTTAACATATATCGTCATGAATTTCAGGTAAGTATGATAAATATGTTATATATATGATAAGTCTATATGACGTATATATCTTACAACTGATATCATGATTCTTAGAGCTGCATAGTAACAACCTTTTCTGTGTCAATATTAGCTCATAACACCGTAGTAAATTTATTTTTGAATTTGACGTACACTGTCATACAAACGATCGTAAATTGTAGTATTAATATACCTATATAAACTTGTATTATGACAGTATTCTAATAGTATTTGATATGCCACAGATTAAATATAATTTGATGGTTGTTTAGCTGGACTGTTAATAGATTAAAAATTATATTATTTCTAGTTTATTATAATTATCAGGTGTAGATCTAACTATCTTAGATACTTGTGTTTATATAAGAAAACCTAAAGATATAAAATTTATCACATAAACTCAGTAGCAATGAAAAACAAATAAAATATACATAATAATTATTACTATAATAAAACCCTGATTAAAAATTACAGTACATTGAATGAACTGGTCCGAAAATTATTACAAAATTCGAAACTATGTAAGCAGTAGAGAGATTATAGAAATTTAGTATTTGCGGTAAAGACAACCCTATAATTTTTGAATTGCAATTTGAATACTTCTTCTTCTACCTGGCAATTTCCCTCAATTACCAGGGGGCAGGGTCTGCCTTACTTGTTGTGAATAGTTTTGGCTATTTTTGTTTTTACGACCGGCCGCCTGCCTGACATCAACCCTCTTTTGGGAATCAGCATTAATTTGATCAATAATTTGAATAAATAAATGATTGGCGATGTATTTAGTAAACGTTTAGCACGTGTATGACTGTTGGGAGCTCTGAAACAATGACCACACGACCACGTGTTGGCGGTTAAATGTGCAAACACGTGACATGTTGCTACGACGCACAATTGACATCTTCCTTCATTATGACAAGAATATATCGTAAAAATGAAAAAGAATCTTTCAATACTTTATCTTGGTACTGAATCATTATTTTTATAACATATTATTTCAATTTACGAATATAATATGGTCATATCACTAACCTTAGGATCATCGTCTATTTTTTTTACTTCAAAAAATAAATAAATAGGCGCGTATACTTACATAAGTCACAATGACAGAAGCAACTGTCAACGAATTA